TCAATAGTACCTACTACGTGTTCCAGAGCCATTGTGTATTTCGCCACATGTCTTAAGGGGGACAGTGGTATACGTAGTGTGAGCGTAAAAAAACTCTTGGTGCTATATATAGCTCACCACGTATTATCAACGTTCGTGCGGGCCGTGGTGTAATTGTGATTGATAAAACAAATGAATCATTAACCGGCAATAAACGGCTGCGACCGCGACCGCATTCCTGTGATAGCATGTGTAAATAAAAGGTACATGACGTACTGTCTGTGTAATAAACGAACATCAATTATACGAAATTTAAATTTAACGTTTGAATACATTAAAAGAGCTGCTTCGCGTTTCAGAATTAAGCAGAATTAGGGTACCAACCCGAGTGGGATTACAATACGCCCTAGCAAGCGTAATTGCCCATAAATTTTGCGGGTTTTCTTTAATACTATAGGACATCGGTCATGAACTCCTGTTGGGTACGTAGCTTCATAGAAAATTTTATAGGTACTTGCCTACCGGCTGGATTTGAATCGCACCGGGTGTCTTACAGACGCTTCAGAATACCGACAAAATTCGTAAATTAGTGATTCGTAGTGCACAAACATACATAGATAATGTGGACTCAATATTTTTTAGCAAATAATAGGCACTTATAAAATATAGGTCCGATCAGAAACGAATAAATCAGAAACCTTCTAAATCAGGTGGTGGGGTAATTAATAAGCAAATCAAAAATATACGTAATGGTTCATGACGTCACCACCATTAGGATGCAGGCGTTTGAGAATTGAGAGATAGAGAGAATATTTTTTTCCTTCGCCCTATTTTTATTATAAATTTTGTACATCATTTTATATGATAATTATAAAAATTCATTGAAACTTTTATAAAACTTATGCAGTGAGATTGCACTTGCACGGAATTTACAAACAACTTAAAGGCTAGTGATTAGATCACCTAATAATACAATAGTCACAAAATTACAAAGTGTGAATAAATCAAGTGACTCAAAATAAAGAATACTAAAATCGTTAAAAAACATTTAAACAACTGAATTACTTTTACAAGACGATTATGACCACATTTGATGTCATAATACATTATGTAAAATATGTAAATTGAAAATGTAAACCTCAGCTGCCTGAATTTTTAAAAGCACCTATCAAATAAATTATTAGCATTTCTGTAAGTCTGACAAATTTTATTAAAACGGAACTTTAATTAAATGAGTATAACGAGTGTACCCCTCTTCATCGTGTCTATCGTTAAATGCATGATCTTTGCCCATTTGTTGAAAATATTTGCCCGCCATATTATGATGTATTCGTACGTTTATGGCACTATTACAAAAACTTCCCTAAATTGGCGACATCTCACGATTAATTCAAAATTATTTTTTATATATTTAATGAATAACTACGAACAAGTGATATAAAAAAATTGAGACTAAAAAAAACAAAAAAAATATATTTAAACTACAATTAGCAATGGGTTAAACTTACGTAACACCTCAAATTTTTCAATAAGCTACTAGGAGGGATCCACTAGTAGTGAGAATGAGATAGAATATAATGACTATTGATAACTTAATAATTTATTTTTCTGAGTCTCTCTACACACGGAGTACGGAGCTTTTTCAATCCCTTTAAAAAAAAAAGTTTTGACTTTGTTCTGCAAAAAGCTCTCTCCGACATCCATTACCTCGTTATCGTCTTCGTACCTGTTTTCTCTTAAGTATTCTTTCAATTTGGGGACCAGATAAAAATCGCCAGGCGCCAGATCTGGTGAATAAGAGGGGTGGTCAACCAATTCGAAGTCAGCTTCCTGAATGACAGCCATCGCAACTGCCGATCTATGCGCGGGTGCGTTGTCGTGATGAAACAGCACGCCCCTTCGAAGTTTCCCTCTCCTTTTTTCTTTGATGGCATTCCTCAACTTGGGAATTAAAGCTGCATAATATTGGCCTGTAATAGTTGTTCCACGCTCCAGGTAATCAATCAACAATATCTCTTCTGAGTCTCAAAATATTGGGGCCATAACATTGCCGATGCCACGGCACCAAACTTCTTCGGGCCGTTTCGTAATGATGGCCGTTTCCATTGCGAAGATTGCTGTTGTGTCTCGGGATTAAAATGATGGGCCCACGTTTCGTCCATTGTTACGAAACGAGACAATAAGTTTTCAGAATCTTCTTGAAACTTGTCCAACAATATCTTCCTGTCGGTTAACATTCTCAGCGCCCATCTCATATTCAAAGATTGTTTCAATATGGATTGAACACTTCCATATGAAATGCCCGTTTCTTGAATTAAGTATCGGATGGTAACTCTTCGATCGCTCAATACAATTTTCTCGACTTTCGCAACATTTTCTTGGGTGACTAACGTCGATGGACGGCCGCAACATTGTTCGTCTTCTCTACTCGTTCTCCTTACTCGAAATTGTGAAGCCCACTTTGCGACAGTGGAAGACGGCGGAGCAGACTCTCCTAATGTTGCCTCCAAATCGCAATGAATCTCTTGCGTCGTTAACTTTTTTAAGCAGAGGTATTTAATAACGGCTCGCACTTAGTTTTTCTCCATTTTCGACGACACGATGCAAACAAATGACTACATTTGAGTCGTCTATTATCAAAGGTGGCAATCTGTGCGTTTGGACAAAAAAAAATTATTGATATGTCAATACAGATTGATTTGAATATAATCGTCTCCTTCAAAGAATACGGTTCAAAACCTGCATTAAATAAAGGTTAATAGTTAGCCTGTTATTTATCTAAGATGTCGTTCCGAAGAGTTTTGTGACTGCCGATGGAATACAAAGTCAATAATTCGTTTTTCTGATTTACCAATCATTGTCCAAAAGTCAGATTGCCGCCTTTGATAATAGTCGACTCATTTAGGAAAAAACCAAAGAGAATCGAATATTTTTTTCTTTATTAATATTACTTGACAAATATGTATCTGAGCTATGCCTGCCAGTATTATGTTTTTCTTACAAAGAGTATGTCGTTCTCAGTAGGTACTTTTGATCCCTCCTCGTACATATAATGTTATCACAATGGGCATTGTTATTAGATTTTCTCCCATTTTTTCGTTTATTTCTTTGCTTTACAAATAATTGAACTTTTTGACTTGAAATGAATATACCTACTTTATTAAACCTTGTGACACATTCGTTACGACTATGTTTTAATTTTCACTTTTCATTAGTCAGACTATGGAACTCCCTACCACATTCAATACGTGTCAGCTGCTCTTTTGTATTATCACTAATTTATATACAGTAAATAAAAAATAGTAAATATAACAAACACTAAACATAATATTGTTTTGTTGATGTGTCAAAATTATGAATTTACAACCTTGTACCTAAGCTTAAAATACCTCTAGATTTTTAAATAATTATAAATTTGTTTGGTTCAACCGTTTTTTGTCACTGAACGAGTGTCATCACTTTGATTTCTTTTTAAAATAAAAAAATTATAAAGTTTAATTGAATGAGAAGTGTGGCGCCAGTCAAGTAAGCTGATAGAGTTAGTAATCGAGATTTAATTTTAAAGTGTTAATCCCTGATTAATATTATGACGTTTTTAACACCAATTAATAAAATCTATTTATGTCACCAAAGACACAATAGCATGTTTCAAATGGATTTAAAACCTTATTTTAAGGTAAAAAAATAATGTATTAGGACACTTATAAAAAAGACACCGCATACTGATACTTCAAATTCATAGTATTTGTCAGATCAATCGGAGTATGTATATGTTTTATTATTTAGTTAGAGATATATTCAGCAGTCCTATCTACTATACAAGGTTTAGGATGCTTCCCTATACTGGACACCGGTTCTTTGACCCGATCCCTGAGCTAAACATCTATTGACATTCCTGAACTGATAGGGAATTTGCATTTATTCATTAATAAATAAAGTATCCCAGCAATCTAAAGCGCGCTCTGCACCCCTGTCGCACGAGACCGTTGACCCCATGCTTCAGCTGATGCTATACATAAGTATGTATATTAAAGTACATTTAGATGACTGTTTACGTAATAAAGTTCCAGGTAACTCACATGTAGTTATGTTATGTTTTCACCTAAGACTAAACGTTCTTAGTATTACTACATAGAATACTATAAAGTTGCCATTTCATTTATTTTACATGTATTTTTGTTAGTGTACCTACAACTATATTGTACAACAACAAATTTTCACACGTCACTCTATTCATATTCATATTTAGTACAATAATACACATATAGGTGTCTAAATTACTATATTGGTTCTCTTCAACTTTCTCTGGAAAGAGCTTGGCTGACGTTTCCGGCAAGAAACATAAAAGTTTCTGCAAGGGTTGATGAATTTTACTTATATTTTAAGTACCTGTGTTCTTAAATAACTTAAATTTATTAAAAAAAGTTATGAGAGATAATGTAATTAGTAACTACTAGCTGTACCCATCCGCTTCGCTTGGCATTTAAAATTAATATTATTATTTCTCACCCCCACAAAGATTCTCATCATTAACGCCCCCAACTGGTGTAGGGAGCCCAACACTCATATAAATATTAGCCTATCAATTAAGTACATGTATTTTCTACATGGATACCAAGTTTCAAGTAAATCGGATGCATGGTTCAGTGGTTATAACGGAACATCCGTAAAAACCACTATAGATTTATAAATTAGTATAGATTGAACATTTTGTCGTTATCATAAAACGTCATTAACTGTTAAGCATCCAAAATCTTGAATGTCAAAATTCGTAGCGAGATGTCGAAAAGTGGAGGCACGACGACGGCTTTAGGTATGCGAGGACGCAAGATGCGGCTGGCGTAGGGGGAGGGGCGCTCGGAATCTGAAGGTCGTCCGCATTCCTCACGTCGCCCGTCCGCTGCTACCGCGCTTACGTAGCGCCTGCGCACCCCGCTCCGCCGCCTCGACCGGTCTACCCCTCCCCGCGCCCCTACCCGCCGTCACAAACTATCGCGCATTTACTAAAACAAAAACATGTTCATGGCTATAAAAGAGCCACAGAGGTACCGGATGGTATCATATTAATTCGTTTCTAGTTTTTTTTTGGAAGCGTTTCAGTTCTACATTCCTTCAAAGTATTGTGCTCGTAACTACAACTAGGTAGTAAGTAGCAAGTAATATTCTACTGCACGCCTACGCAATGTACCCACATTAGTTATCTATTTACCATTAGTTGACCGGGCCACAACTTTAGATAACAATACATGTTTTGTTCACATCCAAACTTGTACTTTCTTTTTCTTCAAAATAACATTGTTCTCGTTATCCTATCAATTACCACTACCAGTCTCTGTAGCTTCGGGTTTGAGAAATATGTATTTACCCACACTTATATTTAGATTAATTGAATTTACCTAGAACAATATATTAATATATCTGTTAAATATCCTAGTGAATAATAGTTTATAGGTAGGGTATATGAAAGAGTGTAAACAGTCAAAACAACTAATTATCTCTCAGGCACGTTCACACTGTATTGGTGATGGCGTCATAAACCTTAACGTGCATCCTTTTATTTAACCACAGCCTTTACCACCTATTGAAAGACCTAGATTACTTTTTATGAATCCTTATTTTAAATTAGACGCTTCAATTTCAGTGCACAGATAAGTGAACGACGGCCCTTCTGGTGTTAAGTGATCCGGAGATCATAGACATAGCAACGTGCCGCCACCTACCTTGAGACTTGAGGTCGAAATAAAAATGGTATTGTATAACGCTTGTCTCACCTTTCAAACTGGAACGCAACTGCTTTGCGGAAGAAATAGGTATGATGGTGGTATCTATGCCTACCACCAGTGTTTATGTGTTTATTTATTCGCTATATTTTGTTTTGGACGTGAGGGTTTGTTGTGACCCTTATGCACAGTGGCCTTTACACCTTCACCAGGACAGGTGAGCTAGCTCAAGAGCTTAGCCGGTAAGGATAAGGTCTGATAATATCTGTTTCCAAGGCCCTAACAGCTCAAAGACATCTGCTTAATCAGTGGATCTACTATGGGATCGAAATCATGATCCGCTGTGAGAATCCGACTGAGGCTATGGGCGTCATGCCAAACTCTTCGACAAGTTTGTTCGTAATCTGTGCGATCGTACGTGTTTACGATTGAGTTGAAACTTTGTCCGGTGATTGTTAGCACTTCAGTGAAGGTTTTTGTCATAGTACCATCAACGAGGAGAAGCGGCCCAAATGCTTTTACAAAAATAAAATTTTTCATTCATTTACTGATAATCACTGCGGGCATAAATTTTATGAATGAGAGTTTGTCAGAAAAGTGAAAAGAAAATCCTTATATAAGTACATTGCATAACACTGTTGCGACGTATTTATTCCATATCGTATACCAGTAGCGCATTCTTCAAATTTATTCCGTAATGTTTTCTATTTGGTACCTATGTAATTATTTCAAAGAGTTCATTGATGTTAAATTTAATATATTCTGATCACGGTTCTGCAATCCGATCGAAATCGGCATCTTTGTATAAAATATTTCGGTCCAGGTATCCTAACTTATCATCCTTTTAATAATAATAAATAAAAACAGTTTAACCGTTAACCTATTTGGAGATTCCGAATAGTATGGTCGTAAAAACTACGTGCGCATATTATAATGTAACAAGAAATATTTAGAACTTATTGACCTATATTTATTTAGGTAGGTTCATTAATTAAATTTTATACAAATTTAAGTTTGTTTACTGTAATCATGTCGACTTACACATAGCATACAAAACAAACATTTTTTGTAATAAGATATAACAGCTATAAAATTTACACATAAAACATAATTGTGGATTATTTTCATGTTCTCAGACGAATACCTTAATTATGTTTAAGAAAGTACTTCAATTGTCTCACAATAGTCTATTCAATTGCCTCACAACATCAAATAACAAATTTGTACAATTTAACTTCAAAGTGTTTTAAAAAAAGCTTTTACCTAGATTAGGTTACTGCATTTTACAGTTTAAACAATTCGGGAAGAAAGTTCGCCAATCTAATAAATATCATTAATTTTAAATGCAGCTTGAAACTTCCTGAAAAATAACGCATCTTTAGTCCATTGAAATAATGCATATTATAACAATTTAATAAAACTGCAGAGTCTCGTGTATTTCTATACTCTATGGTCTGCTCTTTGCAGATCTCTGCATGCAGGTAGTAAGGCAAGATCGTAAAAAAATGGAATCCACAGATGGCGCATTTCTGAACATTCCAATGCCTTGCCGATGATAAATTAATAGTCACGACAAATTCTGTTTTACTAACTTCTTTTACTGTATATGATTTATTTATATTTATTTTCGTAATCAAAATAGCTTTCATTACTGCAACACTTAACTGCGTTTAATCACTTGTCCATATTTTATTCATTTGAGAAAAACTCTTTCAACGGTGCGTTACTTCCAGGCAGACACAACGTACTCAATCCTAATTGTGGAAAAGTTTGTTAAATGAAGATTGTTGGTACGGAAGTGCTGGAATAATTCGACCCAACGGTTTCCAGTAGAAGCATTCTCGGCATTCCAGTCAGAGATTTTTGCGTCAAAAACTCGTTGACTCGTATCTTGGCTTCTGCTACTAAACCCTTGTGTCTTCAATAAATCAAGAACGTTCTGTACCTCTTCTCACATAGGCACTTTTGTTAAATTAGCCCTATTAAATTAGTTCTATGTTTAATTGAAAAATAAATTTTGATCTGTTTGCAAAAGCGGAACTATGCCGGCCTCTCTGGAGACAGCGGGACATAATGCCCGAAAGCGGGACTGTCCCACCACAATCGGGACGTATCGTCCCGTTATATATACAGGAATTCAAGTTCTCATCTAGAAGATTATTATCTTCTATTTGGGTGATAATTGCTAGATGTAAAATCTGAAATACACCCATGGTTAAACGAGTTGTATGGCATCTACTATCCTTTTTTATAAATTAAGTCTACGTGGTATGCGTGGAAACTAACGATTTTATTATCGATAGACACACTAGGTATGGCAGAGTTCACCTGGTATAAAATTGTTACCGTAGGTCTTATGGTATCTCTGATGTGCATACATAACAAACTAAATGTCGCTATCCACTTTAAAACAAATCAGGACGAAATCTCGATTATTTAATTACTGATCCACCCTTACCGCACGATTGCTTCGCAGCAGAAATAGGCGAAAGGTCGGTACTTACCTTTGCGGAATCTCGATAAGCCATTAGTAATTACTCTTTTTTTTAAATATTATTTCGTTCATAGAGGAAGATGTTCACGGAAACTTCTTATGTACACTTATACTTTTAACAAAATAATACTTATTATACAGATACCTAGATATTTGTGGTTTACGTGTGAAATAAATATTAAGACATTAATATTCAACTGTGAAAGAAAATATTTCTTTTAAAAAAATTTTATTTTCTTTTAGCCATTTTCAGATTATACTTTTCGATTATATTTACCTTATCTTATACAATATTTAAGTTAAATTGCCTAAAAGTAAATAAAAACGCCTTTACCGCCTAAAGATTCGTTTATTCGTTTTGTTCTGTTCCAAAGAAAAAACTTTAATTAAAATTATTATTTTAACCTTACTTTCTCCCGATTAACTCTGTGTTTATTTTAGGAAGTTTACTTTGTTACCTGTTCGGTACATGTTTGCTACTAATTTACTAGTAACGGATCTTACTACCCTACCAACTCTCTATGAGATGTATCATTGCTTATTCTATCCAATTTTTTCTGTATTTATTTATTAGTCACACAATAGACATCACAAGCTAAAAAAGATACATAAAAAACACAAGTAAAAAGAAACAAAATCTGGCTTGCGACATAAGCCTTGTGCGCACGACTAAACAAGACAAAGTGCTGAATTTGTACACAATGTTCCGTAAGACAATGAAAAATAATAATGTAATATTTATTATTTCAGAGGGTGTAACAGTAACATCGAGATGCGACATGCGCGCTCTGTGTTCGGTTCGCGGGCCGTTAGGCGGAGACACTCGCGCTCTAGGCGCGGGTGCTCGGTTTCTGTCCCTCCGCATGCCCGGTCAAGCACAGCCTCTTCACTTCGTTGTGGAAGCAAAATCAAGAGTCAAAGAGTTAAAAGCATTGGTCAACGGACATGTCCAGCTACGAGGCATGACCGATACGGATTTTTTCGGATTAGCTGTATTACAAAGTAAGTAGTTTTAAAGATTATTCTATTGATGTTCACTGATGTTTACGCAACTTTACACACGTAAAATGTTCACGTCACGATTTCACAAAGTTTACACTTCGCATTATTTATTCACAGCGTAACGCATTCTTTGCAAAGCATTCTGCTTATCTATGCAAACAAGCGCTGCTTTATAATCTATGTTTCATAAATACTTTTTATTCAAATCACAACGTCACATCGGTAGTTAGTGAACATTGAACATACGCCTTTCGGAACATACGCCTTTCATGTACAAAGTAACACGTATATATTTCGCAACACATAAATTTAATGAAACATGTTACAGCTGTAGGTACAGAGAGTGAAATCTTTTTTATTTTATGTATAGACTACCTTACACCCCACCTGATGATAAATGTCTACCGGAGCCCATGTTTATTTAAACTAAGGTAAATGTTGCCACCCTCCTGGAATACATAACTATTAAATATTATACGTTTAACAGAACGATGGTAATCTACATGTACGAGCTCAAAATGACCTAGCACCGGTGTCTAATCAACGCTGGCCATTTCTGTTTTACAAGATGTTATTCTTTACAACAATTGGTACTTGTTAGAATATTTGAATCCCGGTAGAGCCATATCTCCCGATGCGATTACACCTGGTGCCCCAAGAAATCCTAATGGCTTTGCTTTTCCGCAGACGGCGAGTATTTGTTTGTTGATTTGGAGAGCAAATTGTCGAAGTACGCACCAAAGAGTTGGAGATCATCACACACTCATGTATGTCTAATATTCCTAATATAAAAAATGTAATAAATAAAAATACAATTGCATGAAATCATTAACTAAAATTTTATTTATTTTACAGGGATTAGATGCAAATGGAAAACCTCTCCTGGAATTGCATTTTATCGTCCAATTCCACGTTGAAAGTCCATTACTATTGCATGATGAAGTTGGACGCCGTTTGTACTTCTTACAATTACGTCACAATATTCGAACCAGAGACGCTTTACCTGCGGAGATGGTGCTTTTGCTTTCTGGCTTGGCATTACAAGCAGAGTATGGAGACGCAGACGCCTACGATAATCATGATTACTTCAAAGTTGAAGAATACGCACCTGCGTCGCTTACAGGAGACTGGGTGGCTGCGGCAATGCGCGCTTGCCATCGTGAGCACCACGGCTTATCAAAAACAGAAGCAGAGACGAGATTTATACGTGAAGTTTGTTTGTTACCGGACACGCTAAATTCGCACCGATACCGCTTAAAACAAAGTAAATCAGAACCAGAACCCGGAACCGTTTGGTTACTCGTTACGGCAAAAGGCATAAAAATCTTACCAGATAACGGAACCCTGTCGGATTTTATTTGGAGTGCTATAGGAAAACTCAGTTTTGATCGAAAGAAGTTCGAGATTAGAACGGACGACGGCAAAATAACTTTGTACTCGTCGAGCGAAGAAAAGTGTAAATACCTTTTCGCTTTATGTAAGGAAACCCATCAGTTTTCAATGAAAATAGCACCAAGATTCAGTGAGATTTTAAGAAAAGAGGAGGAAGAACGTAAACTTTGTTTTGGCTATTCAAAATCTTTTAACTCTCGGTACAACCAAAACAAAAGTGAGCAGAGAATATCGGTCATCTCTTCAACGAGTTCCAACACAACATCAGGTATTGTCAGTGACAGAGTGCAATCCGAAGATGAATTAGAAATTATGATCGACTCCCCTCCGGCACCTTCTACGGAAAGTTTGGCTATTGCTCATTTGTTAGACAGCTCGAATTCGTACGTTATCAGTCAATCAACTCAAGAAAATATATCTAATAGCTTATCACCTTTTCATTTTCAAAAATCGAGATTCAAATCAAAACGCACAAAGGAAGAATGTGACAATACTTTAAAAAATGAAACCTTCAATCCGGAAGCAGTACAACATTCGATAAATCAGATGGATGAAACGACTTCTTTGCCTGATCAAAGCGTTGTCGAAAGCGACAGTCCGACTTCAAGCAAATTAAAATGTACTGGATCGCAATGCTCATCATCATGCAGTACAGTTATAATGACTAGGACGGGTCTAAGTACTCTAAGTAGAACATCAAACGCGAGCAGCTTAGAATTAGGATACAGTCATACGGCTCAAAATTCAATGATCAGTGATAATAGCACAGGTGGTATAGACTTAGAATACTCCCAAGATACCGCTTCAGCATTATATGATGGGTTAGGTCAACCGGCAACCATAGCTGCTTCTAGTGAAACAAGCGGTGTTTATACAATGACTAGTTCAGAATTAACAACTAGATTAAAAATAGATGCAATGTCAGAAGATAGCCGAACAGATTACGATGAATCTCATTATGATTGTTATAAGCAAGCAAAAGAGAATGATCTTGCAGAGTTTGACAGCATTTCGTCTATTCTTAAAAATAAAGCAAAAACACTGAATCACGTAACGAATAGATTACAAGTGCCAAGTTCCGATTGCGTTGATGGTTCATCGAAGTATGCAAATCAGGATCACGATAAAGAAAACATTATACTTTTTAGAGAACGAACAAACTCCAACGTAAGTGCTAGTTCGTTCCATGGAGACGGAAGTGACCCAACAGATAATAAGCATAACTTATTAACAGCTAGTGAATTAAGTGATTTGATTGTTGGAAGGGGTGTTTATCCTAAAAAACAATCAGTGAGTGACACTCTGGATTCCGTATCCGATTATGTAAGGCTTCCTTTACCTTTCTCTGGGGACAGTTATCTCCCGGGTCATGAAGACACTGCCCCTTGCGATGACAACTACCCCAACAATCAATTTTTCGACCGACCTCCGACTCCTCCGACTAGAATAGACAGCCGTAAACTGCTCAATTTGTCTTTACCAAATATATTAGACATAAATCTGGATACGTTTAATAAGCCCAGTTTTCCTCAAAAACCGCCACCGCCGTATGAATTTAACCACAGAACAGTTCCATCACAAATAAAAACGCCGTTAAAAGACCCTCCTGCGTATCCTGGATGCTCATTGAGTACATTGAGTACATCCTTGACGCATTTGTCAGATAAAGAAGAAGTATCTGCAAGGATGGTCACGTCCAAACCAATGATTACTATACTGAAAGCAGAAGCAGGAGAAGTGAATACACCCTGTGAAAGAACTTTCGCTAGTCCCATGGTGCTGGAACATAGATTTCAAAAATCAAAAAGACATCAGGCTTCAAGTCGTAGAGCCGAAAGATCAAAATTAGCTCAAGGAATAAGTAATCTATCTCCATCAAGAGAAGTCCCTCCACCCCTTGGAGTTGATTCAAACGTGTTTGTAGCGATGATGAAGTTACCTCCACCTCCGCCCCCACCAAGACGATCTAGGCTTCCACCACCTCCACCAGTCACTAGAATACCTCCTCCACCTCCCCCACATAATCCTATTTTTCATCAACAGCTGTACAGCGACGTCGATTACGTTTATTACCCTCTACAAGATCCAGCAATTTCTCAACAAAATTATCTTGATCACAAACTAACAGAATCCAGACTGACAAATATGCAAAAAAACAGTTTGCAATACAGAAGCACGCCGTACTTATCAACATCTTTGTCTGCATCGTCCGTATACGGCTCAATACAAAACCTTTCGGATTCTTATATCCAACTTCCGGGAACGCGTGCGAGCTGGTATTCATTAACGAGCAAAACAACTCTCAGCAATCATTCCATCAATGTGGATAGGCCGCATATGCCGCCATGTTTCGTAGATTTTTCACGACCTAAACCTGACGAAAAGGTTCTCATAAAAGAACCACCACCGGTGAAAATGAGGAGAATGCCACCGCCGCCGCCGCCACCCTACGAGCACAAGAAAAAACTGCCACCACTAAAAGAACCGAAACAACCACACGGCAGTGCAAATGTGAAAAGTGAATTTAGTGCTAATAAATTACACGCTAATAACTGTGATTTGGACATTAAAACGCTTAGGGAAAAAAGCAAAAACCTAGACTTACCTCTTATAGCGGCATTGTGTAATGACCGCTCTTTACTCAAACAAACTAAAGCTTTTGGTGCTCCAAAGTTATCGAAACAAACATGTACTGATTATGACAGTGAACGTGCAAAGTCCGCTCCCAACACCACCGATAACGTAGATATAAGAAATAAACAAGAAATCAATGTCAAAAGAGTTGCAGGGTCGCAGAAAAAGATTTTGTTAAGAAATCCTACAGACAAACTTCCCGCATTACCAGGGTCGGAAGTGCATACACCTAGAGCCATGTCTAACACGTACGTTGTGCACCCCGCAGTAGTAAAAAATAAAAAAATTCAACCAAACTCATGACATCATTAACTTTGTCTCGTCTATGCTACTTGTGAATCCTTCCAGTGCTATGATCTTTCATCCACCGATTCGGTATCATTAAAAGACTGATATTATGCATCATGACAATCCAACTTGGGCCCACATAATCTAAATTCAACTTCACATTATTTATCTTTGTTGTTAAAGTTTTCTTGAATTATACAATTATGTTTAATAAACAATAATAATTTTAAATATTTACTACACTCGTCACAATTAACTATTAATGTGGACCCAAATAATGTAATTACTTAACATTTAATATGTACATATTTTTGATAATTTCTTTTTTTTCTTGTTAATATCAATATTTAATATGTAAAAAATCAATGTTTGTTTGATTTAAATTGACCTCAAAAAATGAAACTTATAAGATAGTACATTTATGATGTACGTAATAATAATATTATTACCTATGCAGAATGCCTAATTCATATTTAAGTACCTTGAATAAATTAATGTAGCGAAAAGTAAACGATTTTTTTTTTTTTAAGTGGGCCGGAACCCATATACGTCAACAACATAAATGCCGCAACCTACCATGAGACATTAGCTCTAAGTCTTAGTTTTTACAGTACAACAACTGCCCCACTCTTCAAATCGAAACGCAATAATGCTTCACCGCAGAAATAGGCAAAGTGGTGGTGCTTGCCCGTGCGGTTTTCACAAGATGCTCTACCACCAATAACTACAAAATTATCTGGACACGGGATATTATAGTTAAGTAACAGCGTGATAAGGAGCAAGGCAATCTCATATCCTACATTTTATTAATTTAAGACTAGACAACATAAATGAAGCCCACAGATTATACACAATTTACTTAAATCATTGACGAGGGAGATTACCTGAGAATCCGAAAGTAGTGATACGCTTAGGGAATGAAGTACGAAGTGAGAGTAAACTAATTTACAGGTCGCACACTGACTGTAAGAATTCCAGCTTGCTACTGTTGCTGAATAACTTTTTTTTTACACAAAATCTCGATGGTGTTACTGTAAATGTATCTATTGTAAAGTGCATTCGTCCAACTCCGAAAATGCTATTTAAAAATACTTATTGGTACTAAAAATATCGCATAACCGGCATCTTTCAACGGATTAAATTCTATAAATAATACTTCAGTCGACTCTATTGTGAATAGCGATCTTATGTGAACGAGAATACCTATATCCCACTTTTGTTTTTAAATTTCATTTTTATAGGAACATCGTGCCTTAGAATTTGTTTTTTTTTTATACTCGACGGCCTAAGAATAAATTTTAACCAAAAAAAAAGGATTGTCCGGGATGCTTCGCAAAACTTGTGATATATGCTTGATTTAATTAACTGAAGTAGGAAATTAATCGATAATAAATATTAAATTTTCCAACGATACAATACATTTGAATACTTATATCATTTTATATAATGTGAAATAGTATGATAATTGAAATAACGACCACGTATCGCCAGGTTTGATCAAAACTGACGAAACGTAATTATGTAAAATTTAAAATAATCGTGTCAATTACGAAACAAGCAACAGTAACTGTGTTGGCAGTTTGGTGTTTGAGTTCTTCGAACAAGGAGATTGTGTACTACCTATATACCTCGTGCGCCAAACGTTACGAGGCTGCATGCAATCGACTTAAAATCAAATCACAAGAAAAGTTCATTTCACAAGTAACAAGTGCACTTCTATTTTTTGTAGTTTTTTGGGTAAGGGATTTGTCTCTGTCCTTTTCCCGCAAGTTCAGTTAATGATATTTATTTGAGGTCTGTGGGCATTCAATATACTTAGTACCTACCACCCAAAAATAATAATAGGAATATTGAATTTAAAAGATAATAAATATTTGGGAAGTTACACACAGCCCTCACAGGTCCCAAACTAGGATACCCTTGACTATCGAAACCTAAGACTGATACATACATACATACTTATATACGTATACATATCACCCAGACCTAATTCAAACACAATGCTTGTTATATGTATGAATGTTTACCGAAGCGGGAATCAAACACACTATCATAAGCCCTGAAACAAAGGAGCTAAACTACGCTATCGGGTCCGCGAAATTTCATTTACTATATAATATATATTATGATGATGGTTTTAAATAGTTATACACCATCTAATAGTTATATTACACTGAAATACTCGCTCGATTTTTTATTTTATATGAATTTTTGTTGTAACAGCAAAGTATGTTTATTTGTAAAAATAATAAATGTAGCTTTTTCATCAAATTTTTATTTTATATATACGAGATATACTATGTACATAATTATGTACAAATATATGATAATACTTTTTAACAAACAATAAAATGTTTTAACCATCTTTGGTATTTCTAAGGAACTGAGAATTGTACAAATATTTATTAATATTAATAATTACTTAATATTATTCAATACTAAAATATAAAAATTCAAAGGAAAACGATTGTATTATTCGTTATTTTAATGTTAGTAACATTAGTAAAATTTTAAAACAAAACAAAAAATAATACTTATCAGATCTATGGTCAGTCATAAATAAAAGTTGAGATTAATCAAATTCAATACTTAAAAAAAAAATGACATAAGTAATCATCGCCCTAAAGAATTGGTTAGGATGTTATCCCTACAAATTCGTTCGAATGGCTTTATTTCTCCATTTTAACTATTATTGCTGAATTGGGCGAGAAAGTCACTTTCTCAAAATACAATACTTGACCAATTAATGAAGAATTAGTGCCAGCAATAACTTTCCCACCATAGAACATTGTAGATAAATCGGCTGTTATAGTCTTACTGCCTAGATTACCGACAAAAACGCAGGCATTTCTACGAGGGTACCAACGCTCAATCACAATCAAATCTTCTTCCGTTTGACGTATTTCTACATTAGGTTGCATAACGCCCTCCTTGAAAATTGCTCTTAAGTAAATTGTAGGAGTAGTCACTCTTACCTTAATCAAGTTTTTAATGACATTAAGAAAATCATAATTTGGCTTTAGTACAGACTTTAGGTTCCATGGTAGAATTTCAACATTAGTAGGGGTCACCTCACTATCAGCAAAAGCCATTTGGACTAAGTTATGAATATCTTTGTGTTCATGGAAATCTTCTTCAACATCATCTGGTATACCGCCCAATCCTATCTCATCTCCGTAGAATATACTTACAGTTCCTGGAAGAACGAATTCTAAAACTGTCAAAGCTAAAGTATTATTAATATGTTTTGTCGCTATTCTTTCACTGTTCACATTACCAATATTCCAATGTACCCAAGGATAATGAGGCTTAGACCATAATTGTCCATCCACAACCTTCTTGATTTTATCACAAATACCAGCAGTTTCTTCTTCTAAATCTATGTGAACATCTATGAGATCAATTCTTGACAAAAGAATATTCAAAGCATCACCTGTAGCTTTACTATAAGCCAATTCGCTCGCAATCAAAATTTTATTGAATCCTATAATTTGTTTCCAAATCTGAAGAGTTCTACCAAAATATGGTTCGTTCACAAAATTTTCCAATTTTTTTAAATAAAATCCATCAACTCCTTGTGCTTGAGACCAATGAATTATAGCAACAGTTGTTGGATCCAAATAGTTAACTTCAGTATTATTTGCTATGATAATAGATGAAGTGGAGTTAAAAATGAGACTTGGAAGAGCCATTGAAATTACTGGTAAATCAAGTATGACTGACATGTTCCTTTTATGTATATTAAATATTAGATCCTGTAAGTCTTTAAGTACGCCTAAGCTCCTGTCTATGTCCAACATAGAAGTTACATTATTGTAATCTTCAGGATAATGATCAGCTTGAAATATATAATTAAGTCGAATAGCAGCAACACCTAAATTTTGTATATAATCAAGTTTAGTTATCAGGCCTTTAAAATCACCTGTGCCATCATTATTGGAATCTTTAAAACTGGCAGGAAATACTTCGTAAAAAACCTTTCCTTGATACCATGGTAGGTCAATATTACATTCTTTAGGAATAGTTATTATCATACCAATGATAGCTGCAAGACAAGCAATGAGCCCAGACAGTACTACCCACAGTAAAATCTTTCGTATAACAACCCAGTTCCAGTTCACAAAGCTTGGCAGTTTCCTATTATTAATTTTCAAATTCCCATTCAGTTTAACATCTTCTGCCTGAAATTAGACAACATACTTTGTATTGCTACACATTAATTTCCTACTGCCATCAATGAGCAGATGAGTTCAAGGCTTCATAATTCAAAACACATATAAAATATCAATATATGGTGTATAGTATTTAGGAATCATCACTAAATAGGTGTTGTCAGGCTGGAATGACACACATCAGTGTCATAAAAAAGGCAACTATGGGATACATTAGAATGTGCAGCAGCATTTTTTTAAATATTCTGGCAGTATATTATGGTTCCCAACCCATATTTAGTTAGGTAGGTTATATTGTCTCTACATCGGTTGGTACCACCAACTTACATGTTAGTGCTACGATTGCAGCAAAACATTCAAGTTTCAAGGTAGAATAGACAATACGTCTATGAACTCTGGTAAGTACTTTACACCAGGAGGGCCCTGAGATAGTTTACCCATCAACGAAATAAAAATATTATTTTTTATTTCAGGTCACTATTGTTTGTTCAAACTGTTGAATAAATAATGAAGTTGTACCTGTCCAATAATAAGATCCCCATTCTTACTCAGTGTTTGATAATCTAACATACTAATATTGTTTATCAATTGTGCACTAACTGGATCCTGGACAACTGAGTTAGAATCTGCCGAAGAACTTGAATCACCTGCTGTAGCATCTGAAACATTCAATAATATTGTAAGGAAATCCTTACTTATGTATAAATGTCAAGCTCATTATAACTTTATGACTCTACCTATAGAGGAAACAATGGGAGAGTGTTATATAATACCATTAAGACTACAACCCCATGTCATAAGCAGGTGGTACTGTGTGTCCACATTTAACAACAGATGGGCCTTGAGCGAACTACATCTAGGCTATAAATGAATAAACTAACTGACTCAACGTTTCTTTTCAGAATCATAGAATTATATACCACTCCATTTAAACACTCTTGGATATTCAGAAACAGAACAGTAGTACTTTCAAGTTCTAATGTTCTCAATCTTGTCACATACTTAATGTGCCCACTCTCGTAATATGGTAGTGTGACATTATCCATTTAAATCAGCACTATTCCTTTCACTATATTTTCTAATATTTTTGAAACCATTAGCATGTTTAATTTATTAATAGCCATAAGGTAACTTTTCTGCTTGTTTTCTTACTCTTTGTCAATATTTTGTGATATCTTTATATGCTGTCAAATTCATAGCTAATAACAAATCTAATTATTACTTTATATAGGATGTATATAAGATTGTTAGTGCCAGTGTTTTACAGGATATTCCCTATTTCTGGGAAATTATTCTACGGCATTACCACAAGACAACTCTGACCTTGTCAAAAATTTCATATGGTGCAAAGTAACTTAATCTAGCCATCAGCAATTACTTCTTATCGGATTGATTGTAAGTTCACATATTTTATATTATACAATAAACATCAAAATAATACCATTTTGGGTGTCAGCAATATCAATATTATCTCCATTTAATGTAAGGAAGGGCTGCTCAATAAGTTCTTCAGATAAAGGATGCTGAAAATCCAAAGTAGTTGGACTTGGTGTTGTTGGGAGCAACAAACATGTTGAAGATTTTACACCATGCAAATAATCAGAAGTCTCTAACTGACTTCCACCATTAGTACTGTTCTCTGGTAAGCTGTCCATCTGAAACTAGATATTACATAATAACACATGGTTATAATAATATGATTTACGTTAAAATTGCTGTTTAATGCATTTGTAGTAGGTAGATTGTTTTTGTTGTAAAATTCACAGCTCGGTGCCTAAAGATGACGGACGATTCTATTATTAAAAACACTGTCGCTAGAGTGACGGTAGCTTATAATTTTTGTTTTGTTTTGTCTATTAGCAATCTTATATAAATAGTTATACCAATTGTTTACATATTAAGCTTCCAACGATTCCAATTCCAACCTACCTGTTCTTAAATATTGAGTGTAACTGTATTATCTATGTACGTTGCCTGTGCTGTGGATGGATTGACTTCAACCCTGTCCCTGTGCTTCAAGTGGCTTCAACCAGATTAATTAACTAAAATAACCACAAGAATAAAATACCTACGTGTTTCAGGCAGTTTCAGCTGCTCGAGTATGGTAATTGGCAAAGAGTAGAGAATCATACAGAGATGTAAATTTTTTAGAGTGGTATATTTATATGTGCATGTGTATTTGTGTTTGTATGTATTTATTATACAATAACATATATACTTAGTCTGGCCATAAATACTGTTACAATTAAAAATAAACAAAATATTACATTTGAATTTGGAATCTGTCATTTTTATATGATTGCTCATTGAGTTTTCTCATTTTGGCGCCAATACATTGTACAATATTTTGCGATATTAAAATGGAGTGGGGTGATAAAGAGAACCGAATCGCTGTGATTGCATTTCACGAAGTAGATATGGAGCCAAATGCAATTTTTAAAACTCTCCACACGCTCGGTATTAGTAAAATGTTTGTGTACCGGGCTATTAATAGGTGCAATGAGATCTCCTGTGTTTGTGACAGAAAAAGATCTGGCCGTCCACGTAGTATTCGTACGAAAAAGGTGGTCAAAGCAGTAAGGGAAAGAATTCGAAGAAATCCTGTCCGAAAGCAAAAGGTTTTATCTCGAGAGATGAAGATAGCACCTAGAACCATGTCGCGTATTTTAAAAGATGACTTAGGACTTGCAGCCTATAAGAGACGTACTGGTCATTTTTAACTGATAATTTAAAAGAGAATAGTGTGGTAAAATCGAAACAACTACTGAAGCGGTACGCAAAGGGAGGTCATAGAAAAATTTTGTTTACGGATGAAATTTTTTTTACAATTGAGCAACATTTTAACAAACAAAGTGACCGTATTTAAGCTCAAAGCTCTAAGGAAGCTTCCCAATTAGTCGACAGAGTGCAACGTGGGCACTATCTGACTTCAGTGATGGTTTGGTGGGGTATTAGCTATGAAGGAGTGACTGAGCCATACTTTTGTGAAAAATGTATCAAAACATCGGCACAAGTGTATCAAGATACCATTCTTGAGAAGGTAGTGAAGCCCCTTAACAACACCATGCTCAATAATCAAGAATGGTTCTTCCAGCAAGACTCGGTGCCAGGTCATAAAGCTCAGTCTACGCAGTCTCGGTTGGAAACGAACGTTTCGGACTTCATCAGAGCTGAAGACTTGCCGTCGTCTAGTCCCGATCTTAATCCGCTGGATTATGATTTATGGTCAGTTTTAGAGAGTACGGCTTGCTCTAAACGCCATTATAATTTGGAGTCCCTAAAACAATCCGTACGATTGGCAGTGAAAAATTTTCCCATGGAAAGAGTGCGTGCTTCTATTGATGACTGGCCTCAACGTTTAAAGGACTGTATTGCAGCCAATGGAGACCACTTCGAATAAGCTTTTTATACATTAAATTGTTTTATATTTATGTATTAAACTAACACACTGTAAAAGTAATAAATATTATTTGCAATAGATTTTTTTTTATTTTTAATTGTAAAAGTATTTACGGCCAGACTAAGTATATTTACACTTATGTATAGTATGTATGTATTTTTGTGTATATAATTTTAATTTAATTAATAAATTTCGTTGCACGATTTATTTATTTATTTCCGCTTCATTTCGATCTGTACCCTGAAGTTTAGCTTTTATCTTGACTAACTAGCGTCGGTCTTTTAAAACAAAATATTGTTTTTGGTATTAAATGGCTGGACGAGCTCACGATCCATCAAACGCTTAGTTTACAGAGCTCATACACATCACAACGTGAATGTCGCTACCTACATTGAGATTAAGCTTTACTCTTTTAAAAGTTTTAAAGCCTTTTTATGTAGCTGAAACTTCAACTATGTCCCCCTTGCCTACTCGATTGGACAAATTGAACAAATAATGACCACATCATACTTTTTGGAATCTTAGTACATTACGCCGGGACGGATAGGTGAGCTCCGGGCTCAAACTGAGAGAATTTGCTAACACTAGCCCTGACAAGAGCAGTGCTTCGCAGAATCTTACCACCGGATCGGAATCGCGACCCACTGAAAAGATCCGGCGAGAAACTCAGTGAGCTATTGTTATCTATATTATTGTCTATGAATTAGTTCGCTCGTCGAACTCTTCGTCGTAATCGACGAGTTCATCATATCATCTTCATTAATTTCATTTAATCTCATACCAATTGATTGGTGTTCCGAATTAATTAACTGCATTTCATTCCACTTCATTATCATTTATCATTAACATAAATAAAACAGATTGTCTGTATGGTATATATACCTTTACATTTGAAAGTGCACAAATGTGGGAAAATGATTCAAGCCTGCTGGACGTAACTTTTCGGGGTCCTCCAAAAAGTCCACTGAGAAAGTCTTAGTAAATTACCACCATTTTATTGAGATTTACTGGTGGTAGGACCTCTTGCGAGTCCGCACGGGTAGGTACCACCATCCAGCCTTAATCTAAACTTCTTACTTGAAACTATCAGTCATAAGTTGATGTTATTGCCAATCTGTTTTATTAATGTTTTTGTCAATGTATCTAATGTAACCAAAACAAATTTTACTGTTAATTTTAGCTTATTAAAACCTTATATTCATTAAAGGTTTTCTCTTATTACAAGCCTATTTTCGCTGTAAAGCAGTAATGCGTTTCAGTTTGAAGGGTCGGGCAGCCATTGTAACTATCTTGAGACCTTAGAACTTATATATCAAGCTGGGTGGGGCATTTACGTTGTAGATGTCTATGGGCTCCAGTAACCACTTAACACCAGGTGGTCTGTAAGCTTGTCCACCCAAATTAGTTTTCATCCCATATCATCTCATTTCATTTCATTTCATCCCATGTTTCATTATTTACCAACTTCATTTCATTTTACTTCATTTACTTCATATTATCATTTGCAAAGTTTATTACTACATTAATCAAATTACTTTCTCAACCTAATTCATCTATACAGTCCTACGCTGCTAATTTAATTCAAACTTACACTGATATTATTAATGGCTAACATGGACAGTTTCCTTCGTTTTTTATTAATTTTATTATTCACTAGCGACCCGCCCTCGCTTCGCTTCGGAAACATTAAAACACACATGAAACCAAAAAAAAAAAAAGTAGCCTATGTTCATCAGGGACAATGTCAGCTTCTAACGGAAAAAGAATTTTTCAAATCGGTCCAGTAGTTTCGGAGCCTATTCGAAACAAACAAACAAACAAATCTTTCCTCTTTATAATATTAGTATAGATAAAACTGTAAATATAATTAAATCGGCGAAATAATCTTATTATTTGACACTGGCTAATGCACAAACCGTGCGAGCCACATTAAAAAAAAAGTCTGTTGTGTGGGACTGGGGCAAAGTTCGATTAAAAGTTTCAAAATTCAATGGTTGGTTGACTAATGTTTGATAATCATAGGATAAGTCCATATTCCCTAAACTTGTGTTGATGAGTGTCATTTTAGTATTTTATTTCCATTCCTAACCTTCAATAATTCAAAAGTATTTTATAGGAATAATGATTTCACCATTTAAGATATATTTTTATAACAATTTGGGAACAGTCAAAGTTTTGCAAAGAAGAAATTTCACGAATAAATTTAAACATATTAAAGATGTTGATTATCAGTTTCTTCAGAAAAGTAAAGTGCCCACTATGCACTTTCAAAAGTCACTACCGAGATTGCCTATCCCAGATTTACAAAAAACTGGCGATCGCTATTTGCGGGCCTTGAAACCACTCCTAACAAACTCTTTATATGATGATGCACAACAACGTACTTTGAAATTTGTAAACGGAGAGGGACTTGAAATTCAAGAAAAGTTGATTAGTAAAGACAAAATGAACAAGAATACAAGCTACATTTCGGATTATTGGTTTGACCTCTATTTGCGGGATCGAGCTGCCTTACCGATTAACTTCAATCCCTATCTAGTGTTTCAAAATGATATCAAACCTGAATATAATGACCAATTGATTAGAGCAACGAATTTGTTAATAAGTGCTGTAAGATTTATGTTATCTTTGAGAGAACATATTTTGGAACCAGAAGTTTATCATTTGAATGCGAAAAAGAGTGATACTCCGTTATTTAGAACAGTTACTGGATTATTACCTGAAGCTATCTCTTGGTAATTACCTCAAAACATACTTCATTCACAGTTAACACTATGCCTCAGATGATTTTTTTTTATTGCATGGATTGGTGGATGAGGTCACAGACCACATTGTGTTAATTGGTTACTGGAGCCCATAGATATCTACTATGTAAATGCTGCCACCCACCTTGAGACAGGAGTTTTAAGGTCTCAGTTTTAACAGTAGAATGAAATTATGATTTTACATAGATTAAATTATGAAACTTTAATGATAGTAAAAAAGTGACTGATAAAATTATTTTTTGCCAATTTTACACTTCAGGTATGGTGCATATTTATTCAAAGCATTTCCATTAGATATGAGTCAATTTGTTGGACTATTTGGAGCTACACGTTTACCTCAAATAGGTAAAGATAAATTATTCAGGGATCCTAAGAGCAAGCATGTTTTAGTCCAAAGAAGGGGAAGATTTTATGCATTTGATGTCTTAGATAAGGACGGTAAGTTAACAGTAATTAAACCACTTTTAGTTATGCAATATTACTTAATAAGAAAAACTTAGTAATAGTTACACATAATTAGAATAATAATTTATTATTACATAGTTTTCACTTACAAGATTGATCAGGTATAAAACTACTGTTTATTGTTCTGACTGGTTTCAACACTGATTATTTATTGATTGATTACCACATTCCTGAGATTCTCTTGCTTAACACAGACTTGCTACTTGAACAGAATTGTACTGAAATATAACTATTTTACCTTTCAAACAGCAATAGATTATTGTTTTAAATAAAAATACAGTAGGTACTATTAATATGCATTATGTCAGTCTCCAACATGCCCTAACCAAAGTACTTAAAACAGAAATTAGGAGTACAGTTATGGAGTTATTAAAAAGGGTGACATGATACTATTTATGGACTAGTAACAGTTGCTTTAAGTAACCAGTGAATTCGTGTAACCCATTATAAGTATTATTGACTATTATCATGTGATTCTTGCCATCTTTACTTGAAACTGCTTTTCAAATTCTTAACAAGCTTAAAATTGCTGAATTAAGGCATATATGATTTAATTTAACATATTAGAATAAAAAAAGCTATCTAACATTTAATTATGTGCTTATTTTTGCTTTTGGATGTTTCAGAGACCATTTTATTTAAGAACTTAAAATTAAGGTGAAGAAAAGTTTTTTCTATAATTTTAACCACAGCAAATTAACATTTCTGTTTACATTATGATGTGATTTGATGTACACTGTTGACTACCATTTTTTGTTAGATAGAATGATTGACTAACAAGATTTCAAGATAAGTCCATAGACTGAGAGCAGGACACACTGTAAATTCACCCTGTCTACTTCCGCAGCTAACCAATAATGCATTACACTTTNGAAAAGTTTTTTCTATAATTTTAACCACAGCAAATTAACATTTCTGTTTACATTATGATGTGATTTGATGTACACTGTTGACTACCATTTTTTGTTAGATAGAATGATTGACTAACAAGATTTCAAGATAAGTCCATAGACTGAGAGCAGGACACACTGTAAATTCACCCTGTCTACTTCCGCAGCTAACCAATAATGCATTACACTTTGAAGGATTGAACAGCCGGACTATATAACTGAATCATAGACTTTCTGTCCCAAGGTGGGTGGCACCATTCATGTTGCCATGTAACCACGTAACACCAGGTCAGCTGTTAGTTCCATCACCTGTATATATTATACAATAAATAAAAAATAAATGTATTATGAATGCCACTACTTAAGTCTTGAGATTGCAATCTCAAGCTCTTTAGTATAATTTGTGTATCTTATCCTTCAAATTTTGAATGCATGATTATATCCAAACATAAACAGGCAGGATGATAGTACTCACCTTCAGTATTCAAAGTAATTTGAAGACATATATGTGTAGTTGTATATTTGTGATCATATACCTAAATCATCTTATTAATTACCATATACTTAAACTATAAAAATGTCATCTTCTCTGGTATATGTTAACTATCTAAGGACTTCAAAAGATAATACTTGCATGTAAGGAAAATGTATTATTTCTGCGTGTGACTGTAGAATGATGATATTTCTCTTATTATAACACAGAAAATTCATAAATTATCATATTTTTAGGCAACCTATTGTCTCCTGCTGAATTACTTGGAAACCTATCTAAAATTATTAGAGATGACACCGGTTCGGCTGAACATCCCCTAGGTTACTTGACCTGCCAAACTAGAGATTTGTGGGCGAAACAAAGAGCTCACCTTGAAGAAAATGGAAATAAACAAGCATTACATGTATTAGATACAGCTATATTCAACTTGATATTTGACGATGATGTTATAGAAGATGATAAAAATAAACTTCTGAAACATTATTTGTGTGGTAATGGAAATAACAGGTGATTTTTTTAAATATACTTTTTTATATTGTACAATACCTTTAAAACCTTAAAAAAGGCAAGCAAACCTACGGTTTTTTTTTCACTTCAGGCAGAAATATACAGAGTTTGAATCCATACTACTCTTAACTACCAGTAATTATGTAAATTTTATAAATATTAGTAGATTAGTTTTTGTTAGACGAAAATTATTCCATCGTCTTGCACACCACCATTCGCTCCCATGATTTGTAAGCGGAGTAAAATGTCCCTTCGAAACAAGGTGACACTTTACAAAACTGGCATAAAGCCCGTTATGACTTACGCGAGTGTGGTGTTCGCTCACGCTGCTCGCACACACATAGACACCTTCCAATCCCTACAATCCCGCTTTTGCAGGTTAGCCGTCGGGGCCCCGTGGTTCGTGAGGAACGTCGACCTACACGAAGACCTGGGCCTCGAATCAATCCGGAAATATATGAAGTCAGCGTCGGAACGGTACTTCGGTAAGGCTGAAGGCATGATAATCGCCTTATCGTTGCCGCCGCTGACTACTCCCCGAATCCTGATCATGCAGGAACCAGTCACCGTCGACGCCCTAGAAACGTCCTTACGGATCCATCAGATCCAATAACCTTTGCATTAGACGCCTTCAGCTCTAACATTAGGAGCAGGCTTAGGGACCCCGGTAACCGTACTCGTCGAACTCGACAAAGAAGTCGACGTGTAACCTAACACATACATCAGCCCGCTGAGTTTCTCGCCGGATCTTCTCAGGGGGTCGCGATTCCGATCCGGTTGTAGATTCATTCGCGAAGCAATTGCTCTTGAGTTGTTAGGTCTCCTTCGGAGGCGCTCGGGCAGTTGTTAGCAAATCCCACCCCTCCTGGCTGAGCATTTGCTCGCCCACTAGTCCTGGTGAAACTGGAAAGGCCCTCGGGCCACCAGTAATCTTTCAATCATAAAAAAAAAAACACCATTCGTAAACGTAATGTAAGTCCGAATTTACTGACGGGATTGAAACTCCGATATGTGCAGCCGTATAGACTTTGATTTTGTCTATCACTGTGTAGATAGGAAATCACATGAGAAATTGCAATAGATACAATCTCATTACAGGTGGTTTGATAAATCATTCAGCTTAATTGTTACAAAGGATGGAGTGTCTGGGATAAATTTTGAACACTCTTGGGGAGATGGAGTAGCTGTGCTAAGGTTCTTCCAAGACATATACAATGAAACAACAACAAAACCTTTTGTACATCCAGATTCTCAACCATCAACCTCAAACATTACTGTTCAAGAACTACGTAAGTGCAAGGATGAATCAATGAATTAATTATTATAATTAAAACAATGAATTTGCATTCCATTTTTACACGCTTTATATTAGCTTCACTTGTTTGTAATTGACTCCTTTAGACGCGATTTTGACCCACTTTAAACGGCCAGATTTCATTCAAACTTTGTAGATTTATCGAGGACCGATGACAATACACTAATTTGATAAGATTATCCATTATTCAATTTGCAAAATAAGATTTTTGCCAATTTTTATCTATAGTGGATAAGGCAGGAATTGATGTTAAAGTACTTAATAGTTTTAAAAATACGCTTATATAGAAAATTTAACTAAACAATGAAAAATAAATATTAGATTAAAAAAACCAAAAAACACGTTTTATATAAAATTCAACTAAAAAATAGAAAATAAATTTTAATAATTTTAAATTGAAAATAGTGCAAAAAAGCGTGGGGTGTTTTTTAAGATATTATTGAAATAATAATTCTTCTACTCATATCTGCCAGAAAAATATTTATAACTAATAACACCATGCCATGCACCCCACGCTTTTTTTACAATAAAATATATTTTACACTATTTCCAATTTAAAATTATTAAAATTTATTTTCAATTTTTTAGTCGAATTTTATATAAAGCGTGTTTTTTCGTTTTTTTAAACTATTATTTATTTTGCAATAATAACGGAAATAAAGATCGTGTGTTAAGATAAGGTTAGAATTATCATTATAAATAAATGTTAATATTATCAACAATTATGTATAATAAATACATCAGCCCTGACTAGGGAAATAATAATTCATTAACTTAGTAGTTTCGATTTCACAAGTGTAGGAATAATTAAAAATTTGCTCCTCACACTTTTTATATGCTTTATTAAAAATGTATACGTGAGACATAGGTATAAACATAAATTAATCTATTTATAAAAAAAAACCTAGTTGTTTTTTTTTTCATTTTACTTATTCTATGGGCTAGCGGACGAATCTCTTAAGAGATCCCGCCTTCACAGCAGCTTACGGTTTAAGTGGGATCCTAGTACGGGACCCACTAAACGACTCTGCACTCTTCATCCTCAGGAGGGATACGAGAAGCGTCCACCGAATGAAAAGCAAACCAATAAGACCTTAAAAAAATATAAAATAAATTACAGAATTCAACCTTGATGAAAAATCGAAGAAGTTTATTCAGGACGCAAAGCAAGAATATGATAACTGGTGTGACTCCTTGAGCATTGATTACATATTATATGAAGGCCTCACCAAAGGAGCTTGCAAGAAATTCAAAGTTAGCCCAGATTGTATAATGCAACTAGCTTTTCAAGTAAGTTTTAATACAAATTATTATTTTTAAGTAATTGATATTCAAATTCAATTTTACTGTCTTCTATAAACAGTAATTATTGTGTAAATTTAATGAATGAATTTTTATGAAATCATCATGGCCTAAAGCAGTGGTGGGCAAACATTTTTAATGGCGGGTCACAAAGCTTAAGAAATTCTAGAGGAGGGCCAGAATTATAGAAAAAATGCGTTTTGTATTAAAGCTTTTTAATAAACAGAATACCTTTTACTATTACGCCTTGTTAGGCGTGTGATAGATAGGTGAAAAGATTTTTTTTTTTTTTCAATAAATAAACTAATACCTGTGACAGTCTGCCGAGATAATTGTAATGATGACAAATTAATTATGAGATAGTGAAAGCTCAAAACACCCCTGACGAATTGGAGCTTTCATAAAAAATTCGAAGATTATCAATTATAAACGTCAGATTTTATTTTACGCGCCAAAATGCTGACTAGAATATTAGTATGGATGGACTCTCGGTAGGGCCGGATTAAATACTTCCGCGGGCCGTGCTTTGCCCATCACTGGCCTAAAGGATGAGATGCCCGGTGCATTCGTATCGAACAATGCGACTAAGCCAGTGTTCAAAGTCTACAGGAAGGTACAATTTTTTCTAACGAAATATGTACTTGACAAATGTTTACGAATTACTTCCACAGTGAAATAGGTAGCGCCACCCTACTTCTTTCTGCCGTGAAGCAGTAATGCGTTTGGGTTTGGAGGACTTTGGTTCCCTCTGTATTTTGTACCGTATGTTCCATGGGGAGTGCTCTGAGGACCTGTCGAGATGATACCGGCATCTCGTTTTTACCATCGCACCGCCCGCCACCGGAGTAGAGAGTTCATCCATATTACCTGGAGCCACTGCGGTCATCTACAGTACGTTTCCAGAGGTCTTTTTTGCCACGAACCATCCGGCTATGGAATGAGCTCCCCTCCACGGCTTTCCCGAGCGCTATGACTTGTCCTTCTTCAAACGAGGATTGTGGAGAGTATTAAGCGGTAGGCAGCGGCTTGGCTCTGCCCCTGGCATTGCCGAAGTCCATGGGTGACGGTAACCACTCACCATCAGGTGGGCCGTATGCTCGTCTGCCTACAAGGGCAATAAAAAAAAAAGGATGAGCCAGCCGTATGTATTATAAAAACTGACATTTAGATCTCACGTAACGTGGTCGATGTCTATCGGCTCCAGTAACCACTCACACAGCGGATGGGTTGTAAACTAGTACACCCCTCTTAGCGATAAAAAAAAATCTAGTCACCTCTATTTATAGGTTAAAAAACGCAAAGTTTATAATCATATTCCTCCGGGCTGAGCCCGTGCTCGCCAATCCGTTACAACAGCAATTATTTTCCTCCCATCCAAAAAAATCTATACTACTGTTTTTATGTATTAATGTAGACTGCTGTTACGTCCTTAAAACTCCACGACCGCGAAATGATCTTATAAAAGAAATTACGGATATAACAAGTGACAAAATCATACATCATATATATTCATTTTAAAAAAAAAGAGTTAAACGATCTTATTTTGGTCACATGGGCTAAACAGTTAACATGATAAAAATACTTTGTGATTGTCAACTAATATATTTTGTGTTGATGTATATCAGGCGGCATATCATCTGATAAAGGGTAAATTCGTTGGAACCTACGAGTCTTGCAGCACCTCTGCCTTTAAACATGGACGTACTGAAACAATGCGACCGTGCACCGAAAAAACTAAGGTAATAATGTCACGCGCTGGCGTTCGGGATAAATAAAAATTCTACCGAAGTATAAATTAAAACTCTATTTAACTTTAACGAACACTAAAATTCTTGATTCACTTCTTACGCTTCGCTTCAGGTGATCCGTTCGGTGTTTCGCTTCGAGTAGTTCCGATTACTGATTTTGTTCAATTTCTGTAACGCTTTTATAATCGCTAGACATCCTTAGATTTATCGAGAACATTCTGGGCAAGTCGAGTAGCTTCGATGTCTGTTGCCGCCATGTGACAATAGATGGCGCTATACTTCTCGACGTTACTAATTCCTTAGATATTCGTTCTCGCTATTCGGCAATAGATCTTGCCGGCGTAGCAATAATATAATCTATAAAAAACAATAATACCTAAAATGCAACCACAACATTATATTCAAAAAATCGGATCCCAAACTAAGCTATCGTAAAATTTCCCATGTTCACATAAATCAGAGAACCTAACGGTATTTTTTAATGTCATATAACGATTGTTGTTTGGCAAATCCTTCCAAGGTTATAATTTTATCATAAACTGATAAAAGAATGCATTCTAATCCCATAGATGATTGCAGCAGTGTAATTTGTTATCACTATGTATATTTTCCAGGCATTCTGCGAAGCTTTAAATGTTCATAAAAAGTCGAAAGATGAACTTCGAGTAGCTATGGGCGAGTGTTCCGCCTATCACTCTGAGTTAGTAAAACAAGCTGCCATGGGCCAAGGCTTCGATAGACACTTGTTCGCTCTTATGAAGATCGCTGAAGAAAATGATATACCAAGACCAGAATTATTCGATTCATACGAATATAAGTTCCTAAACAAATCAATTCTTAGTACAAGTACTTTGTCGGCTCCCAGTGTAATGGCAGGTGGATTTGGACCAGTTGCACAGGAGGGATTCGGTATTGGGTAAGTAATTTATTTTTAAATAGTTTACATATACAGTCTAGTAGATAACAAGAAGAGTACATAATTTTATCCACTAAATAATATGTGACCGATCGTGGGTGTGTACTCGAAATAAAACAGATTATTTAGATAATTATTGTGTATTCTCAGACGGACACTCCTCTTAGCTTAAATATAAAATGTATTGTAGGTACCTACGGATTGTACATTTAAGTTCAAAAAATTTTTTTTTTTGTGATTTTATGACCTGGTAACTGAGACCTTTAAGTCATGTCTTATTTTAATTTATATTCATTTTTTTATGAAAAATGATATTATGGAGTGAAATGAAATGAAGATGATTAATTTGAGACATTAATCAACTGGGATGAAATTAAAGGAAATGAAATGGGATGAAATATAATCTCAGTAAAATGGTGGTCATTTACTAAGATTATTTCAATGGACTTTTTGGAGGATCCCGAGAAGTTACGTCCAGCGGCTTTGTTTCATTTTCTCACATTTGTGCACTTTCACAGATATTAAACAGTTAATAAACCACCATTATTACACATTTAAACCCGAAGAAACACTAAATAAACAAAATAAAACAAATCACACAACTTCACTCCTCGCGTTCCCGCCAAAAAGTCTAAGTTCTAATACGTAGTAGTGTTACCAGGCCATAAAATCTTTTAAAAAAAGTACATAATATTCAGTGGGTATGTGAAAATATTATCAGCCTAAAGACATTCGCTGTGAGACATAAATTATATAAGGTTACTAAAGGCCTATTTTAGATTATAGCATCTACGATAAAAACGTGGTAAAGATGGGCTTTCTCATATAATTTGGTAGTCAAAATTTAAATGTAGGTTATCGAAACTTAATTTTATAAAATGAGCAGTTTGACCTGTCCCTAGATGATCAGTCAGTTGGAATCAGTGATTTTATATAAGTAGTACTGTAAAATTACATAATTTAGATATTTTAAGATAAGTTTTTTATTTAAAAATTTAAATTAAGTAAATTTTTATATATTTACAGGTACTCGGCTTTTCCTGATAAACTAGGTGCAGCTGTGAGCAGTTATAAAACGCACAATAGTAGTACCGAATTTGTGCAAGCTCTTCATACATCGTTTTTAGAAATCACAAGGATTTTGTCTGGATAGTTAAATCACTTCAGTCATTTGCGAGTTTTAAATTATTGTTTTTATATCTTAAAAAAACCTATGTTCCGTTATAGTAAGTTTAAAAAAATATATTATTAAGAGTACGCTAAAGGAAACGGAAGTTGGAGGTTATCCTATTCAATGAATGTAAAATGACAACACTTGACTTCGCCTGTGTCAATGCTAATGTAATGTCACTGTTCACACTTATGCCCTTGTACAAATGTAATCAGTGATCAAATTAATAGCAAGAGCGCTGTGAGCTCGTAATTTAAAAAAAACAGAACGAACTATTGACTGCTCCTAAAATCAAAATCGGGAAGTGACCAAAAACGGAATATTTGTTGTTGCAGTATATTTAAACAAAAATATCTTCAAATCATAATTCCGCGATTTGGAGTCTACAAAAGTTTAATGTAAAAAGTAAAGAGCAAATGCCGAAAGGGAGCGGCTATCTTTAGAACATCGCTCAGTGTGCTTAGTGCGAGTTTTTTAACGTTCTCGATAGCGTAAAAGTTAACCCAATTTAGTATGCAGTTGGAACAGCGCCCCTAGCGGCAAACGTAGGTAAACGGTCCCATTCCATACAAATATGAGCTAACTTTTACGCTATCGAGAACGTTAAAAAACTCGCACTAAGCACACTGACCACCAAAGTTGCAGACATCGATCCTATGCTAGAGCTATGAGTAAGCATAGTTGATTGATAGAAAATATAATCATATTTATTTTATAAAATTTATATTATAATAAGATAATAATTTATTGATGATAAACTTGTGCCTTGAGAAAGTTACTGCTTGTAATATTTCCGTATTTTCCGTCCTTTAAAATTTTTCATACCTATACTACATCGTGATTAACCAAAATTTGAATAATTTTTTGTAGTCTAACTGGAATTTCCGCTAAAACTTAAGTTTTTTTTTATTTAAAAAGACTATCATCGTGTTATTATGGGGACGGTTGCCAGGATTACATGTTTTAATAAATGCTTTTTCACTGCACGCAATGTAACGCGCAGTCCAGTCTCGCGCGAGGCGAAAAGGCGTCCGCCAGATGAATTCGCTTGAGATTACGCGCTCACAAAATATGTATGAATTTACAAAAGCACAAGACATATTAATCAATTAACTCTTAGCACTTTTTTTTTTGCATTTACCTACGTTAAGTAATTGTCAACGTTTATTTTACACCCTGCATATTAAGCTATGTATCGAACTAATATAAGATTTAATCAAATAAATGTTGTATTTAAATTATTATAAATTTATAATATTGTTATACTTTTACATAATTTTATATACTTAAAAATGTTTGTACATAAATATATCCAAATACATAATTTGTTTTATTTATATTTTATGGTAAATAGCCTAAATATGTGTCACTGTAACAAAGATATAAAAAGCAACCTTTGTACGGAAGTGACTGTACTTTTATCATATGACGTTGATATAATTATATGGTGAACAATAATAAAAAGTAAATTCTCATAAGCGTTAATTGATCATAATACAAATCCGTTAAGAAAACTTTATTCTGCATGTTTAACTTGGGATGGAGGGATTGTGGAAGCCCAGAGGACTTTCCCACTTCTCCAAGACGAGTGAGCGATCACGGACACCGTCAGATGGGTGCAATTTTCTAACTTCCTGAGCGCCTCCGTGATGACCTCACAGCACAGTAGCAGTAGCGAGTAGTAGGGAGGGACTACTGAATCATTATCGTGACTAGCTAAGAAAATCGACAGATCTTTCCGTGGTAGCTCATTAGTGTTATACCATTATTAACTATTCTGCTTATAGACGACAATTAATCTCTAAAACCAGAGGACCCACCTATAAATAAGTACCTTATAGGAACTGCAGTGGGTTGTAACAGCATGTAGAGGTAGAAAGGGCGAGTGACGAACACCAAGAATAGCAGTAATAAATCTTGATGCTATCCACTTTCGATTTAAGTTTTCATGGAGTGAGCTGTGTTGTGGTGTTTGTCTTTTTTTTCTAATCTGAAATCGCGATACTACGTTTCTCCTAAAGACCAACAGATGCCACTATCTTTTGCTTCCGTTATTTGTAGACTCTACATATTTTGTTGTTTGCTTAAATATTTATGAGATACGATGATGAATGTTTCGCAAAACTAAAATAATTAATGGCAATCATTTAGCTATTTAAATTGTCCACCATTATGAAAATAAAGATATGAAAAGAAAGGCTGCGTACAACTTTACTGGTATCGATTTTCTCATGTCCAGTCAGTGACAGAGACCTATTCATAGTTTATATTTAAATTTTAAAACAGTTACGTAACCTGCAGACAATTATGTTTTTGTAATTTAATATCAATGCTTCTTCGTCGTAATGATATAATGTTATTTTTCGTTTCGTACATCTTGATTATATATGCATTAGGTTTATCCGGTGATAATATTGTATGAAATGAGATTGTTTTGTTCACTTTAATTGCTTTAGAATACATATGAAAAATGTGGTTTTATTGTTTTACCCAGACAGAAACGAACAATAAAAATACAAACGGTTCACCCTACGGGTATCAATATATAATTAACGATGTACGAAGCGCTTAAATAATTAATATTTTCCTAGATTATTGGCATAACTCAACTGCATCTTTTTATACTATGAATACGGGACGTGATACCTACGCAGAATCTACAACGTTCCAATCTACGATCGCGTATTTATATAATGTGGTTGTAGATTTGTAGGTACAATACAATTTTATTTACTTCATCCTAACAATTTGATATCACTGGTACTGTACAGCACATTTGGAAAATGTTGGGTGTTTAAAAGCGACTCTAAATAGTTAAAGACAATAACAAGAATACTTGGAAATAAATGTGGAAGGCAGAGCATTTTAGTTGACCAGAATATTTTGGAAAGGAATGGCACTTAAGCTATTTTGACATTATGGGAACTTAATTCTCAAATGTCAAAGTTCGTTCTGTTTGTGAGAGATGGCGAAACCGTTTTGGATTTTAATTAAAATGCAGCGATAGTAATTGTGCAAGTGAATGAGACGTACATTTTTTTGGATCTGGGTAATCAACTCCGTGTAAGTAAAATTTCATTTTGTCCCTAATGTGAATATCTTAAAACTGGTTTGTCATATTCATATCATAAACACATTCACATATTTTTATTGCTGTGATATTGTACTATATTTAAAAATGTGTTTTAATATTTCTAATATACAAACATGAATATGCAGAGTTGTGGAGACCATATCGTGGTATACCATCAACCTAGGCTAAAAACTAAATAGGAACTATCAAAAAAATTCGTCATACTATGAAATAAAAGAGAATGCAACGCTCGTTTATTATACTCTTCTTCGCAGTTCTCAGAAATTCAAATCTTGTAGATTATATTTATGACTGAAGTAGTATAGTAATTTATTCTTAACAATAGAATATTTAAGTAACAAATTGTTAAACATCATTGATGTGACAAAGTCACACTAAATAATGTAATTAGTTTAATGAAACAAGAGAACATAAATTAATTGAATTGAAAATAAAATAATTCATTGTTGCAGAGTATGAAGTAGTGTTTTATTGAAGATTTCTTTGAAAATGCTTATTAAAGAATACAGAATACCGCTACCACTCACGGTTGAAGAATACAGAATAGCACAACTTTATATGATTGCAAAGAAAAGTAGGGAAGAGAGCTCTGGTGAAGGAAGTGGTGTAGAAATTTTAGTCAACGAACCATATGAAGATGGGCCAGGTGGCAAAGGTCAGTACACTCAAAAAATATACCATGTTGGTAGCCATTTACCAGGTTGGTTTAAGAGTCTCCTTCCAAAATCTGCATTAACAGTATCTGAGGAAGCTTGGAATGCTTATCCTTACACAAAAACTAGGTACACATGTCCATTTGTTGAAAAATTTTCACTGGAAATTGAAACTTACTATTATGCTGACAATGGCCACCAAGAAAATGTATTTGACCTTTCTGGGAGTGACTTAAAGAACAGAATAGTTGATGTTATTGATGTTGTTAAAGATCAACTGTATGGTACTGATTACATAAAGGAAGAGGATCCGAAATTATTTATTTCACAGAAGTGTAATCGAGGTCCTTTGTCTGATAACTGGTTAGAAGAGTATTGGACAGAGGTACAAGGACAGCCTCAGCCATTAGCTAATGGAAAATCTCTCATGTGTGCCTATAAATTATGTAGAGTAGAATTCAGGTATTGGGGCATGCAAACAAAATTGGAAAAATTTATTCATGATGTTGCATTAAGGAAAACTATGTTGCGAGCTCATAGACAAGCATGGGCTTGGCAAGATGAATGGCATGGTCTAACAATGGATGATATTAGAGAAATTGAAAGACAGACCCAATTGGCTCTACAGAAAAAAATGGGTGGTGATTCACAGGGTGAGGAACAAGATGTATCAGATGAAAATTCTAAATCCCTTGCAGCTACAATGAGTAGCTTAGAAAAAAATGAAGAATTGACAACCCCTTTGACAAACAAGAAAAATCATAATGAAAAACGCCTTCAAAAACATTTAAGTCCAGAGATTACTCCTCCTTCAGATCGTAAATCAACATCAAAGTCGAATCTCAGATCTTCATCCTCTGGCTCAATAAAAAGTTTGCAGGCCCAAGCTGCAAACTGGCGAATGGAAACACTTGTCAGAGAATCAGAAACAGAAACGGGGTCAGAAGATGAATTTTATGATTGTGAATCTTCTTTTAACAAATGGTCTTCTATGTGCTCTCTTGATGAAGCTGATATTGATATTTCACCCATTCAAGGTAATCTAGGAACTCAAGATAGCATTTTTAATCCTTCTTTCTTAAAACGTGTTACTTCTGAGAGAGGATCTCGGAGAGTAGTAACTTTACAAAGCCACCACAGTGTTGATGGATGTCCTGACACACCAGAACATGGCTCATGCGCTACTACCGTATTGATACTAGTATTTCATGCAGGAAGTGTACTAGACGCAAATGTTGACATGACGGCTAAAAAATCTGATGTTACTACCTTTAAAGGAGCTTTTGAATCAGTAATGCGACAACATTATCCAACTTTAGTTGGACATGTTATTATAAAATTAGTATCTTGTCCTTCCATATGCACTGAATCACTTGGAATATTATCAACATTAAGCCCTTATAGTTTTGATTGTTCTCCGTCTACTGTTGAAACACCATCACTAACTAATGATCTTATACCTATTGGTGCTATACCTCTAATAGCCACAACTTGTCCCGAATATCATGAGTCTGTTACAAAAACCATTAACTCAGCTAATGCTGTATTTAACGAGTTTATTAAATCTGAGGATGGAAAAGGTTTCAATGGTCAAGTTTGTATTGTGGGCGATAGTATGGGGTCTGTGCTGGCTTACGACGCACTTGTTAGAAGTTTCCAGTATAACTCACGACACGATAGCGAAAATAGTATATTAGATACTGAAATTACGATTCCAAATGATCCCTTAGATCAACAATATCTAAACAAATCTCATTTACAAGCGCCTACGCCGCGAAGGCGATCGTCTTCTACCAGCGAAAATCAAATAAAATTCGAATTCGAAGTCAGTGATTTTTTTACTTTTGGTAGTCCATTATCATTGATTTTAGCTTCTAGGAAAGTATCAGATGACAGAAGTCGAGATATTACAAAACCACCGGTTCAGCAGGTTTACAATTTATTTCACCCAACTGATCCAGTTGCTTCAAGATTAGAACCATTACTATCAGCAAGATTCACAAATTTGCCCCCCATAAATGTTGCTAGATATACGAAGTATCCATTAGGAAATGGTCAGCCTTATCATTTGATGGAATTAATACAAAGTCATCCTCAATTGTTTGGTGACCATTTACAAATGCCACCTACACCAATTTTACGTAGACTATCTGAAGCGTCTGTACAAAGCACAGTTAGTGGTTTAGTTGATAATATTCCTTTGTTAACTATGAATGCTTTACAGCAGAAATGGTGGGGGTCTAAACGCTTAGATTACGCCTTATATTGTCCTGAAGGCTTAACCAACTTCCCCACGAATGCTCTTCCTCATCTATTTCATGCAAGTTACTGGGAAAGTTACGACGTTATAGCTTTCATATTACGACAGATCGGTCATTTTGATTTAGCTTTGTATGGACATTCAGATGATAAGGACTGCTCTATGTTTAAACCAGGACAAGAAAGAGAAAAATGGATGAGAAAGAGAACATCAGTTAAATTAAAAAATGTCGCCGCAAATCATAGAGCCAATGATGTAATAGTGAAAGAAGGTTCTTCGCAAGTTTTCGTTGCTCGTTTTATGTATGGACCTTTGGACATGATAACACTAACAGGAGAAAAGGTTGATATATATATGATGAAAGACCCACCAGCAGGTGAATGGACACTTTTATCAACTGTTGTGACAGATAAAACGGGAAGAATCTCTTATACATTACCGGAGCGTCAAAGTGTTGGTTGTGGTATTTATCCTGTCAAAGCGGTTGTTAGAGGTGATCACACTAGTTGTAATTTTCACTTAGCTGTTGTTCCACCTCAAACCGAATGCGTTGTTTTTAGTATTGACGGTTCTTTTACCGCTAGCGTTTCTGTAACTGGACGCGACCCAAAAGTAAGAGCCGGCGCAGTTGATGTTGTTCGTTTTTGGCAAGATTTGGGCTATCTCATTCTGTATATTACTGGTAGACCTGATATGCAACAAAGGAAAGTAATATCCTGGTTAGCAGAACACAACTTCCCCCATGGCTTAGTCTTTTTCTCGGACGGGTTTTCAACAGATCCCTTGGGGCATAAGGCCGCACATTTGAACGGACTTATTAACGATCATGGCATAATTCTACACGCTGCGTACGGTTCGGGAAAAGACATAACGGTCTATAACAATTGTGGTTTGTCTCCTAGACAAATTTATGCCATTGGTCGCATTGGCAAGAAATACAGCAACATGGCTACTACTTTAAGTGATGGATACGCTTCACATTTGGCAGATTTGAAACAGCCTGGGGCAATTCGCCCTGCTAGAGGTAATGCCCGTCTTCTCGTCCCTCGTCGATTGTTAGCTCCGGTTACAAATGCACCTGCTTCCCGCGGTCGCCGTTAGAAACTTTAATAATAAAGATCAAAAGGTCGAAGGGAATCTTTAACATTTATTCTTGGTGAGGTAGAATGTGATAGGTAATCATATTTATTGCTTAAGATACTTATTTTGATAAACGGGTGTGGTGAATTCGTAGTTCAAGGTTTTAACAGATATTATTTATGAATATTATAGAGTGTTATGACCTGACCTTAATCCGCTTTAAGGATTGCCGTGAAAGTGATTTGATCTATCTAAGTACTTACACCTGTTGTATTATCCAATTAATCGATTATATAAATTCGTCACCACGTAACCTACTTAATTTAGAAATTATATACTATGTTATATTAAACAGTTTTTAATAATCATAACATATAATAATAATTCCACAATTGTTATATGTTTATTTAAAATAAAAGGTAACTAAACACAAAAATAATAGTTATGGAGGGAACATAATCTCAAAATCTACTCTACTAACATTTTTACAAAAATATCTATATCTAACAATATTCTAGTCAAAATGAGCGTCAGGCGCTTATTAATTATAAACGTTGTTTATCTTAATAATATTGATAAGCTAAGTATGTAGTATGCATTTAGATGCTCTTAATTTCATAAGAAACACTATTCACATTATTTTTCAATTAGCAGTTCATTAGGATGAATTGAAAAATGTTTATTCTGAAGTGCATTTTACATACAACATGGTCACGCTATTTTGTCATTTGCGACATGATACTATTGTTGTTAATATATACGGTAAAGTGGCCCATTTTTAAGGTCAAATCAAAATCATGCTATAATCATTATAATATATTCAAAAACGATGACCTGAATGATATTTATTTATTAACTTAGCTTTTTATTTATTTATGGTAGCAGCACTAGTTAAAATAAACTTATTAAAATGTATGACGAGAACAAAAAACTTAAATTACATACCGTATTATGTATTTATAAAGCTATTTCTACTTTATTATCACCACATTAACTTTTAAATAAATATTTTAATATGACTTCGCAAATAATGTAGGTACAATTATTTAATCTTAAATTAAGATTTTGTGACAATGAATAGTGCACCGTTTAATATGTATGCATGTCGTTATTTAAAGCACTTTCCGAATTACCATTTGAGTTGTTCATTCGTGTTCTGAATTGACTAAAAATTTTACGTAGGACATATAAATTATGCTTTCTGAAAATATTATTCTAAGCAACATATGTATGTATTAAGAAGATACATTTTTGTAGAAATTACCGCGGATCAGTCGATACTACGTTACTTATATTATTATGTCTTAAAAAATGATTATATTAAATATAATTCTGTATATTTATATATAAATACTATATAAAAATTCAACACAATATCATAGTCGATTGTAATAATTTAAACAAAGATAAAATGTAGCACCACTTTGGATCATACCATACCTTTAAAAACAGGGATGACGTAAAATTTTTATGATCCGTGTTGATATAAACAGTGGTAGATTTAAAATTTACACATATAGTCTTACTAGATCCGATTTTTTATTGCAGTATATACAGTGGACCTAAATATTATATCTGTATGGAAATTTTAAAAATTTTGCTCTTTAAAAAAATATATAAAAAAAGTCTATCTAAAAAAAGACCCATTAAGAAAAGAAATAACTCAACCAACCTAGGTTTGGGATCACAATTAAATCAGCCGTTGGTAGATGTGTCATAGAAAATCCATAATACCGTAGAACGGTGATCTGATTGTTCCCTAGTTTATTTCACTCACAATATACAAAAGGTAATATTTTTATGTTAAAGTGTTTATAATATTACGGTGACATGCAGTGGTTATCTAATGAAAGATCTAATGAAATGCTGTGCTATTTTTCACAACTATGATACCGATAGTTTTAATTACTTACCATTACCGATTTTTATTATTATAAAACAATAATTGAGACTGTATAGCGGAAGTTTATTTATTTCAAATTTCTAACATTGATACTTGGACGTTATAGACAATTTAAATTTCAGAGTTATATTTTCGTTTTATTTAGTAAATTGTACTAAATTCTTTTCAATGAAACACTGTTTGATGTTTTAATATAAGAAAACAGCAGAAAATTTTCATTTGGCTAGTCCAAGTCTCTCTTGAATAATTTTATAACTTAGAAATGAGTAAGTACATGCTAGCATTGTGGCATTGTTCAAATCTTCCCAATGCTTGTACGTCGCTGAACGATTTCTTATTATGACTAAATTGCGTAAGGAATTTAACATAAGTCGAAAATATAAATACAAAAAAAGAACACTCCGCGTTCTTTATTCCATAGTATAGAACTTGAAACATTATTTGTCTTTAATTACGTGACCTCGACTAAATGTATAGTCATACCATAATCGTATATTTTACGTCACAAAATATGTACATATTATATAAATATAGCGTTCAACATTCCCATAGAGAAAAATGACTGCTTTGTTTGATTTAAGACACGCGGATTTGGTTGGTTTTTTACCGTTTTAAATGGGCGGCTCACGGTTTATCTGTTCCCGCCGCGTGTTTACTGACCATCGCTGAATGAGAGCGTGCAGACATGATGATGTATCTTAATTTCCTACCCTTAAAACAGACACGGGACTTTTTCACAGCGTATATAGTTCCGTAATAAAATACAAATTGATGAAATTAACGAATTTGCCTTTTAAATTTAGAATATTTTAAAACACTTTTAATTAAACCTTTTCATTTTAAAATAGAACATAATTTATTATCGTATTGTATAAGAAATCATAAAAAAGAATAATTATAATATGTGCTGGTAGAAAATTCTATCAAGGTTTTAGAGAAACAATTATATAACGCCTAGTAATCGTTTCATTGAAGATGTAGTCTTATTAAATAATATTATAACTTGTTAGAAAAGCGCCTTCATAGCGCGCCTGTTTTGTGCGGCTTCAGGCTAGGTCGGCTGTTTAAATTTAGCTCGCCGTGTGTCTGCGTAAATCTGAAGCCCTGAGCTTCTGCCGGTTTTACGTGTTCTGATATATCCATTGTGTTTATAAACAGAAGAGCTATTAATTCGTTGTGTAAACAATGTATTGACGTGCTTTAAAGCGAAAATTTGTTGTAACGGCTTCATTTTGATCGCCTCGTTGACCTAGTAGCGAGTGAACTGGAGTAATTCAGAGGTTTGAGTTGAATCCCTGGGCACTCTTGAGTTTCGATGCGCTAATATTGACACTGTATGTGTATGTTTTAGCGCACGTCGATATGTAACAGAGAAGCGAATCCTAGCTTGAGACTCTTGAATGATAGTGAAAAGTTTATATACTACCACGTTAGTCACAATTTGTATGCAAGTTGTGAGTGGGAAATCGTTGAATAGTTTGATAGGTCGCGCTTTTGTCCCCAAGATTGTCGATACCATGAACAGCGATTATTATAAGCTATCAGGCAAATCGTTGGCTCATCTGTTTTCCATGACTTAAAATTAAAAAGGGACTCGTTTGAATTCACTCACTAATATTTCACGGAATGTTATAATGTTGTACTATTTATTACCTACAAAAGTGTTATTTTCAAGTTACATAGCAGACAGGAAACAGTATTATTTAGTTAGAAGGCATTAGTAGAGAGCATATACGCTTTAATCAAATTATCAAGAATTTCACTCCAATGTTTTAGCGTGGCAGTATAATATGTGATAAAAAATATTTTTATAAAATATGTAATAATTTTAATTGAAACTTGAAATTCGTAGATATTTCAGATTTACCTTTTCTTACTGCTTTCCTCTGAGGGTATAGTCGAAGTGGTANTATTTAGTTAGAAGGCATTAGTAGAGAGCATATACGCTTTAATCAAATTATCAAGAATTTCACTCCAATGTTTTAGCGTGGCAGTATAATATGTGATAAAAAATATTTTTATAAAATATGTAATAATTTTAATTGAAACTTGAAATTCGTAGATATTTCAGATTTACCTTTTCTTACTGCTTTCCTCTGAGGGTATAGTCGAAGTGGTAATGGTATTAATGTAATGAAATTATTCATGTGTGTACTTACTATAATTCCATTATATCCATTATATTTTTCAATAAACCTATAATTGAATTAATTTAATTCTTCTTCCTAGTCGGATACTTTGGCAGAGTAGTCGTGGCTATTAAAATGTTAAAAATTTATCTAGATTCTACGTCTATTGTACAATCGTTTTTATACGATTATTGGGATTAATCATTGCGCAACCAAAATAAATAGAGTGCCTAAATCAATTTAAAAAATAAGCCCTATAGATGTGTTATAATATAGAATTCGACTGTATGTATGATACATTTTAACATTATCTTCTCACTTATATGAAAATAAATATTTAAAACGCGCTCATAACGTCAAATTTATGGCAAACTGTAAGCTTGACGTATGAATACAATGTTTTAGATGAAAGTCTGAATTCAATATATAAATCGCAAGCGTTTTATTGTCCAAAGTTACATACCTAACCCATTATTGAGTAATTAACTTTAATAATTCGTAAAACATCTTTCTCGTGCAAGAAGAGAATATTAAGCAGTTTTTTTTTTCTTCAAAGTATTGCAATGTTCTTAAATACAATTGAAATGCAAGTCCGCCTTAATAACGTTTTGATTTTTCAATATTTTCATAATATTGTTTTCTAATTTAACATTAATTGTTACGTAGTGCCACACAACCAAATATACATTGATGTATACAAATTTATTTTAATCTTGAAAAAATCTGAAATTATATGTAATTTGTGGCTTTTTTTTTTATGATTGATAAATTACTGGTGGCCCGGAGGCCTTTCCAGTTTCACCAGGACATGTGGGCGAGCAAAGGCTCAGCCAGGAAATTTGTGGCTTGTTTAATGCATAGTTAACGTCTGGATCCACAGAAATTGACGTATAAATCTATTTTTAACGTTGCACGTGCCACGGGTTTTTTTTGTCAGTAACAAGAAATTTTATGTGCGATAATCTACAAAAGTACCAAAAAAAAAACGAAGATATTAAACACATTTACGTTATGTAGGGGATATCTCTATGTTCATTTTTAACCCGATATAAATTGCTTTCATGGAATGTGAGAGACTAAAATCGATCAATATACTAAGCTCGAGTGACCTGATTAACTGTTGAAGCGACGATGCTCTGAACTCGTTATGATGTTGCAAATAACAGCTACACAATAATTTTTAAGCTTTGCAATTTTAAATCTCAATTTTTATGACCGTGTTCGTAAATTGTTGCCGTAACGGAATTAGTCATTTGGCAAATACCTCGATATCACTGCTATTGTTTTGGTTACGTGATAATTGATCCTGTTCGTTACGTAATGTACATAAATAAAATTGAATATAATTTAATTTATTCACTCAATATAAATGTTCTCCTCTATTTTGATCAATATTTAAATGAATGTTTATAGATGTAATCCTTGTATATGTATATTTAAATAACTTTAGAACATTTTTTGTCGCGGTAGAGATATTCCATTAATTTTATAGTATTTAAATGTTTCATGTTATTATATTAAGATTGTTAAAATAATGTTCTAAGTACTGTCCTAGCTTTGAAATTCTTTTATATCGTATTACTGTGTATCTTTCTTTGTCGAAAATTAAATTATTGTTGTTGGCAAATAGTTTTGTGTATGATTTTATTTTTAAACATTTTTACCCAAGTTAAAGTCTATCACAGTGTGGTCTCTCTTGAATATATCTTTTTCCCAACCTAGTCGTTAGTAGAATAAGGGGCCATTCCAACTACGCGCGAACGGGATAAATTAATTAGCATACACTCTGAAGAGAAGTAGGTACAGGGTTTGTATGGCGCCGAGTTGAAGCCAAAGAAAGACCAGTTGACAATATATTGCATTCCGTTTCTCGACAGGAGTTGCCCCTACTACTTCTTCCACAGACCCACATACAGCACTCAATCTCAGCGCGGGTGGGGATCTTGTAGACAATTTCAACTTCGGCCCACACAATTGTCGGTTTTAATGTTTAGACTTACCGGTGGTAGGACCTGTCGCGAGTCGGCACGGGTAGGTACCGCCACCCTACCTATTTCTGCCGTGAAGTAGTAATGCGTTTCGGTTTGAAGGGTGCGGGAACCGTTGTAACTATACTGAACTTAGAACTAAAATTTTTTATTGCTTAGATGGGTGGACGAGCTCACAGCCCACCTAGTGTTAAGTGGTTTCTGGAGCTCATAAACATCTACAACGTAAATGCCGCCACCCACCTTAAGATATGAGTTCTATAGTTACAATGGTTGCCCCACCCTGCAAACCGAAATGCATTATTGTTTCACGGCAGAAATAGGCAGGGTGGTGGTCTCAAGGTTGGTGGCGGCGTCTACTTTCTGGATGTCTATGTGCTTCGGTAACCACTTAACATCAGGAATCAGTAATCCGTTTCGGTTTGAAGAGTGGGACAGCCGCTGAGCGGTAAAAAATGAAACTCAGAACTCTTGTCTTAAGGAGTTGTTGTTGATGTCTATGGGCTCCGGTAACTACTGAACACTATTTCACGAGAGCGATACGAGATGATAAGCTCCTCCTCCTCCTCCTTGCGTCGGTTTCCTCATTACTGAGGGTCGTGGTCATGGCCTTGAAACAGTTTGTTTTTTATAATGCACCGCCATTTGTTCCTATCTGCAGCTGAGCGCAGAGCATCGTGCACTGTGGTATCAAGGGCTGCACGAATCTGGTCCGTCCAACGAGTCGAGCTCCTGCCTCTTGGTCGCTTGCCCTCGACCTTTCCAGTGACCACCAATTTCTCCAAGACGATAAGCACCCTATCGTAAATGCCGCCAACAATCCTGCTCATGCAGCAACTAAGCGCCGTCGACGCTTCAGACATGGGCCGATACAGTCTGGATTAGACGCTACCAGTTCTAACGCTAGCAGCTATGAGATATCAAACCGATTCCTAAAAGCATTCGATACCCGTCATTCTAAAATGTAGCTATCTCGTTTTTTACTCAACTTCCTTCTTGTCTTTTTCCTAAGTGTTCGGTTATGTGTGCACTCATATTAAATAATATTTATTAATTCATTGTTTTGATCCATATATGAAAGCACAGGTCATCGTGCACATCGAAGAACTCGTCAATCTTAGAACGTAGCATTAGAGCTGAATCAATCCTTCTATCCCAAAAACTCTCGAAATAAAAGGTCGATCATTTAAATATTATGAATTTGTATATTTACAATAAAGAAGAGTTTTATTCATTTACAAAGTTGAGAGACTTGAAACGATATAAAAAAGGATATCTTGATTTCACAAAGTAAATACTTTTTTACAACAAGTTTTTCCAGACGTATCACACAAAATAAAAAACTTAAATCGAGATATTAAGTGCAATTATTGATGTAGTTGTTCATTTTCTTATGTTTAAATAATATTAGAGGGCTCAAATTTTGAATTTTTATATACTATACATAAACCTATTTTTCCCATTCATCGTTCATTTCATTCATAAAATTAATTTAATTTCGGGTCAACCAACCAGACTATTTTTTACATGTATATCGATTACCGGAACAACATTATTACATAATTTCAGCTCTTGTCAGCGCTGGTTGTAAAATAATTATTTAAAATACTGTGCTTTATATTCGATATAACTAAGAATACATCAAATGCTGTTCTTAGAATACATAAAAATGTAGATTGGTACTTAATTAAATCACTAAAATTATCGTGTATTACACTAAACTGTATATATATTTAAATAGTTACCATACCTATAACATACAAAACACGTTTCACTTTTACAGAACACAATGTCAGGTGAATTTAAACTACATATATTCGAAAACAAAGGTTTAGTCTACAATTCAAGCGAAACGAAAAAATATTTAATGTATTTAATTATAATTCTAAAGACTTTCTCAAAATAATTTTCCGCCTAAACATACATACATAGATATTATATATACATGGGATTTTGATAAAAACTTATTCACTCTTTGTCAACACCGACCGTGGTCTGTTGTGTTGTCTTACATTCTGTAACATAGCGCATGCTATTTTAGTTCATTTAGATGGCAACAAAATAAGTCTAATAAAGATCTTCGCGAGTCGCCAGAGACAGAATTAAAACTATTTTTAGGGTTTAATCTCGCTTTTATCGTTTTCACTTTATTATTTCCATACTTTCGATTACTTGCCAGTTTTCGCGTTCACCAAAAATTAAGGTGTTATTCGACAACATTATAAAATAAATTCTATATACATATAATTCTATATATTTTGCTAGAAGATAATTTTAATTTGTTGTTTAGTTTTTAAACACCGGTGCCAACCCTACAGTTATGGTTAGTCAAAAACTTGTATGTGTGTTGTTATGCGTCGTACCATATTTGGATTTGCATGAGAGCGATTTAACCGCAATCATACCAAAGAATAATGACAGTAGATCAAAGTGGAGGTTTTCCAACGACAGTCGTATCTCAGACGACATCTTTATATTTATTTATTTATAACGATCGTTTCGGACATACTCAACGGTACACATTTCTCAGTCTAGACAATCTAACATCTACAGTCTACAACTTGAAATACTATCTACAGTTCATAACTATAATAATGAAATATTATATAATTAAGTATGTTGAATCGGAGCGATTCTTGAGATTTTGATTAAGCCTCTTAGCAACGTCGAGTTCAAAATAACCTTGATAAACACAAAACTAGACCCTATTTTAATCAACTTGTATCAAAAAAAAATTAAGAGCATAACAAAAACCAAACTGGTGCCTCTAAACATTACATAAGAGTCGCAATAGCGAATCCGAGACTGGACAAAGTATTTTATGCAATAATTAAGTGACTGCAACTTTTAAAGGAATGTGTTAAGGCCAATATAGAGAAAAGGAGCAACTAATTTTTAAAATGTTTATGGTCTCTAGTAACCACTTAGCACCAGGTGGGCAGTAAACTCGTCCACATATCTGGGCAATAAAAAATCTAATTTTTCACACTTAGTCTATTTTGTGTAGTTACCACTTTAACTCGATAACTAGTCCCAATGATATACGTAAACTTAGGTACGACACGGCGAATGCGTTTATTTTTGTCGAATCTAGTATTAGATTTAATAACGAAGTAGAAAGTAGGTAGATAGATCTGTGCCCTTAACGTCCTACTCGCAATCTTCAAGCTGCCAGTGATGATGGTCCTTGCAATATCAGAAACTCATTAAAGCTAAAAAACATAGTGAGGACCTGTTATACAATAAACAGTATTGTGGTTGTTCTACATACATAGTACATCTACATTTGAATAGTTCGAAAACTTGTCACCTTTCCTTGCCCAAGACAGAATTTTTGTTTGTCTGAACCATCAGAGCAGTTATTAGGTACATCGTACAACTCTACATAAAGTACACAGATTGTATTTACATAATTAAACTATATACACAACAATTTATTACTTCAATACATAATTAAACTAATTATAGCGAACAAATATATCTAATCTAGCGGTTTTAAATATTTTAATAAAGATCATAATTGTATAATTTATTAAAATTTAAATTGCATAACATGTACATTTTTTCGAATATTATTAGGTACATCGTTTACTTACGTGTTGAGATCTAATTGTACTTTTACATTAAATTTTGACAAAAAAATAGTATTTTCAATGGAATATGCACAGGGATAGAAAAATTTTATTACATAAATTCTCATTTTTTTTCCCATTGGAATGGCTATTTGCTTCCGTTTCCTTGGCACAGATTATTAATCGATATTTAAAGAAAACAAATATTTCATTTTTAATATCACAAATTATGCCGCAAAAGACTAAGTCATGTTGTTCATTTCCAAATGATTAAAGTAATTCATGAACCACACCAAAATTTTAATTCTCTATTGGTCTTTTAATCCCATACATTATTAAAGCTCTAAGGCTTATGAGACAACGGTAAAGAAAACGTGTACATAAATTAACCTTAGAATGAAAATAAAAAAATACTCGAATTTTTCAATTACCATTTGAAATCATTAGACATTAGGTTTTTATAAGCATTGTTTGATAGTGGAGACAATGGAATGTAAAATTCACACTCACTTATTCTTATATGTATTTCAATAATGGCAAGACTAGGAACTGTTAAGATACATTATGTAATGTAATTGCTTTTCTAGAATACAAAATTCATTGTATAAATTGTATAATGTATTATACGTAAACTTTAAGACCCTTTGTTACCACTTGTGTTTAAAATCAGTACATTCACAAATAAACTCTTCACAATAAATACTTACAATATTCCTTGGGTTACAAATATTTATAATGCCAAAATGTAAAAGCGACGAACACTTTATCACCCATTTTTTGTACTTCGTCTAAATGTTATATCGGTTCCTTACAGTTATCATTTATTTAGCTCGGTTTTCAATTGACATTTTTTTCATGACACTTTATTTTTCTATAGAAAATTACAAACTTAGATATTTGCAGTTTCAAATATTAAAAATAAAAATTCAACGTATAAAGCTTCTAAATATTATAATTGATATTTGATCAATAGTACCAACGGTTAAGCTGGATGAAAATACACTTACTCAAAAACATGTGTATCCCAATGGTTTTTATGTAAAACGATTATCAAAAATGTACTATTCATTTTTACTTCGACAACGGACCACAAGTGACATCCTCGTCTTTTTGTTTCATCATAAGAGATTGGGCTTTTGCTCTAACCGCGTGTATTGACTCGTGGCGATACCAACGGGGCTTCTCCGTTAGGATTCCCGTGGGCGTGCTCCGGTTGCTATGAGAACGCATTCCCATTTTTATGTGTCGTCCTTGAGAATATGACCTCTTCATCGTCAGCGTTTATACTCTCGGCGGTTGTGAGTGCGACAGTGTCGCTGTGAACCACGTGTGGGGATTCGTTAAATTCGTCCAGTTCTTCTATACCAGCTGAAAAGATACGTAAATACAATAATTATTGTCTCACACGACAGCAAAGAATACAGAGTATATATGATTTTAAAAAAAACAATAAAAGACTATGAGATATTTTTTTGGTAACAAGCCCACAACCACTTATTGTGAAATTTTCTTCGGATCCCATAGAGATCACAACCTTGAGACACGAGATCTAAGTCTCAATTTTTTCCCTACCTATACGCTGGTAGTCCAAAGGGCTATTCCAGTTACGCCCAGACGGGTAGGTGAGCTCACCTGAGAGAATTTGCTCACACTAGCCCTAGCAAGAGCGGTGTTTCGCAGAATCTACGACCAGGTCGAAATGATATATTACATTAGCTGAAATTCATAATGTAGACATATTAACATAAAATCGTATCACAGCCACATCGTACGATATAAATAAACTCACCAGTATAGTTAGGAGGCGCAAGAAGTAAGTATTGTTCTGAGCGTGTTGGCCATAACAAATGCGCCATCACACAAAAAGCTAAACAGTCCGCCGAATAAGTAATACCTGAAAATGATAAACAAAAAACATTAATTAAATTGAGTTTTATTTCCATTATAAATTTGTATATATATCCAGTATCCAGTATATTGGTGGTAGGACCTCTGGTGAGTCCGCGCGGGTTGGTACCACCACCTCGACTATTTCTGCCGTGAAGCAGTAATGCGTTTCGGTTTGAAGGGTGGGGCAGAGGCTGTAACTATACTTGAGACCTTAGAACTTATATCTCAAGGTGGGTGGCGCATTTACGTTGTGGATGTCTATGAGCTCCAGTAACCACTTACACCAGGTGGGCTGTGAGCTCGTCCACCCAACTAAGCAACAAAAAAAAATAAAAAAAAATAACATATTTAAAACAACATACCCAAAATAAATTTAAATCTCCACAACGGGTTGACTTGCAGAGCAATTAATGCTATTATTGGTAAATACACGAACCATACGAGGCTCGAAGCTCCAAAGTGCAAAAAGAAGTTCAATTTCGGCATATTATGTTCGTACATCATCGTGTTACGTAATTCCAGGACGAACCATATCATGATGGCTACCCTTAGAGCCAAAATCAACCATCCCGGCCATGTTTGGTATTCATCGATGTCTTCAATTATGTCGACCTCAATCTTGTAAAGATATTAAAATAAATATTAATAAATGTAAATATTAAATATTTACAATCACGCGACGTTGACTGGTCCCGTGGTAAGTTCGTAAAGAACTTGTGTTACAGGTACACCAGATAACGGAAATAAATGTAAGATTTTATTATACAGATACATATATTTAATATACATCCATTACCCTGGAAAAGACATTTTATATTTTTCATACAAATATCTTCCCTTGGCGGGATTCGAACCCGCGACCCCCTTGTGTAGTGACCATGTCACTTACCACTGCACCAGACTAAATTTATTAGACTAAATTTGATCACAATGAGGAATATTTGCATGATACAAAAGCANTAAGATTTTATTATACAGATACATATATTTAATATACATCCATTACCCTGGAAAAGACATTTTATATTTTTCATACAAATATCTTCCCTTGGCGGGATTCGAACCCGCGACCCCCTTGTGTAGTGACCATGTCACTTACCACTGCACCAGACTAAATTTATTAGACTAAATTTGATCACAATGAGGAATATTTGCATGATACAAAAGCAAGACAGCTTTTGGCAGTGGTTACTACTTCTGGCGTGGATGATGTCCATGAGCAACCATAACAATCAATTAGGCTATGGGCTACTAAATTATAGTACAAAAAAAATATGTTCCTCTTTTTTACTTTACCCGCTACTTTTAGTTACGGTTCACTCTTAAATCGTTAACATTTTTGTGTTTTTTTTTTTTGCCCTGGTAGTCAGACGAGCATACGGCGGCCCACCTGATGATGAGTGGTTACCGTCGCCCATGAACTTCAGCAATGCCAGGCGCAGACAAATCAAATCAAAACTCCATTTTTTAAATTAACTTAACTAGGAGCAACTGTTTACGTAAACGTAGTGACCGCATTCATTAATTGGGCTGTGAACGAAATGGTAACATTAGGCTCTTGAAACCCTTGTGCATTTGGAACCTACAATTAGCATTTTATATTATTATATATATTACATAATATAATTTATATTATTATATAAAATACTAATAAATAATAATATATAAAAAATTACATACTTACAGTATTCCATACGTACAATAAAATATGGACCACACCATATATAATCCATACTCCAAAAACAAGGGGCTTGTATGTAAGTTCCAACCGCGTCACTGCCCAACCTTTCGCCAACAGTAGGAGTAGTAACATAAACAAAGTCTGAAAGAATCCTCAGAGTTAAGTCGCTTTCAGACTACGCTTTAATATAAATATGAGCATATGCTACGAGCTCATAGCACAACAATATCGCACACAATACATTGTTATGAACACGTTCAGAATGTGTACAATACTATTGGCTAAGTATAGGCCGCTATACTATATGGCACTATAGTATAGCGTAGTCTGAAGGCAGATTTAAAAAAAAAATTATCTAAGAAATGTTCAACATCAGGTCAATCATAACCGAAACGTGCCCATATATATTTTTTTCCTATCAGAAATAGAATCGAGAGTTTTGCACATTTCCACAGCTAGAAAGGTTTTTTAAAGTAGGATAATGTTTATTTTAGTTATTCCAGGCATAATTGCTGTATAACATTGCAAGCTCAAGACTGTTATAAATCAAGACTGTTATATTGTTAAAAAAAAAAAAACTTATAATATTGGAAGCAGCTCAATAAATGACAAATTACTTAGTCGGCTTTATTTCAGCAATGCCAAGATTCCAACCACTTACTGCTTCACACAGAAAGGCAATGATGATAAGGTCTGACTCGATTCTACAATCTGATCAGCTATGTGATGTTGAAACAACCATACAAATCCTACCGATTACTGTCGAGAAAAAAATGTATTTTCCGGTCTGTTTACTTTCTATTTTAGGGCATCAGCTGGGAGGCACCATTCACCATATGCTGTCTATGTGCTCTGACTAACCTCAAATATGCTTTGAATCTGTTTTATGCTTGAAATAGTTTTTAAAGGTGGCTTTTAGTAGCACTATAGTTATTCAAACCAGAATTCTAGCACAAATTCTTTGTAGTAGGTAACATATATAACACCACTTTGAAATACTTTGAATTGTTTATTATTATGCTATTATTACGCTATTATGCTTAAAGGTGTTCTACTTACTCTACTCAAAATATCAAGAATATCTCCTGCAACTGACAGACCAGCAAACCCTACTCCATCAACAGCGAATTTGACAGTATGCAAAACATTGAAACAAAGAGCTATGAACTCTAAGACCAAACTAAATGTGAACAGTTTTGTTACCGGGTGCTTTTGTGTTCTGAAATCAAACAACATTTTTAATTGATTTATTGTGAGCCCACAACGGTAGTTGAAAAACCACCACTACCACCCCTGCCCTTTTCTGCGACTAAGTAATAGTCCATTTTACATCGAAGGGCGGTATTAAGTTATGCAATTTTGTAACTTCGATGATTGAAAAGTAGTAGCGTTAGCCAGAAGTCTGGCTCACATGCCTATATCTCCTGCTTAACATCACCGCTCAACTTCGGAAGTGGTTAAATAAGCAGGTAATAACCGGGTCACCGCTCAGGGGCGCGGAGTCTGATGCGTTCGCAGCTAACTCCGCATAACGATACACCCCCGAAATGAGAAATGGGATAGTTATTTAGAAAAACTCGCGCCCTCTCACCAAGCATACTAGCGACTAGCTAGGACCCTCAAGTCCGAAACTATCGTTACTATGCCTCCCATCGTATGCCCTTCAGGCCAACCACCGGCTCACGATGACGATGATAAGGCAGAGTTACTGGCCGACGCACCGCAAGAGCAGTGCACCACCAGTACTCAGACCGCGGAGCCCGAACACACCGAGTTAGTCGACAGGGAGGTCGAGCGTAGAGCTTCTCTGCCGCCCTCGGACGCGTTACCCCCCATTACCACAATCGAAATTGAGGAAGCGATCCACAACCTACAACCTAGGAAGGCCCCCAATAAGAGGGCATCCGCAATCGCGCCTTAAAATTTTTACCAGTCCAACTGATAGCAATGTTGGCTAAAACTAAATAAAGGCTAAATAGGCGGAAACCAATTCCGACCGGAGCCCTTTTCTTCGATATCGCAAAGGCGTTCGACAAAGTCTGGCATAACGGTTTGATTTACAAACATGGGAGTTACAGACAGACTCGTGCTCATGGTCAGCTCATACCGTGGGCCTCAAAGGTCAAATATCTAGGCGTCACCCTCGACCGAGCGATGACATTCCGTACTTACATTAAAACGGTACGCGACCGTGCCGCATTCGTATTAGGTAGGACGCCTCTATCCCATGATTTGCAAGCGAAGTAAATTGTCCCTTCGTAATAAGGTGACACTACAAAACTTGCATATGCCACGTCATGACCTATGCAAGCGTAATGTTCGCTCACACGGCCCGCACCAACTTGAAACCCCTTCAAGTCATTCAATCCCGTTTTTGCATGATTCCTAAGGAACGTCCATGTCCTGGAGCTTGATTCAGTCAGTAAGTATCTACAGTAGGCATCATTGCGCCACTTCGAGAAAGCGGCACGACATGAAAACCCTCTTGTCGTGGCTGCCAGTAATTAAATACCCGGTCCTGTGGACTGAATGGAAAACAGTCGACGTCGCCCTAAACAAGTTCATTACGGATTCGCCCGATCCATTAGCGGTGCTTTTAGGTACCACAAGCACCAGTCACCGTCCTCGTCGAACCCGTCGCTTGCGACGAAGGGCTCGACGAGTAAATTAAGCAACAGACACAGCCCACTGAGTTTCTCGCTGGATCTTCTCAGTGTAGAATCTCAGAATACACTATGCGCTCTCAGATCTCAAATTTCAGCACATTTCACTTTATAAAGGAATTTACAAAGATACTTTGGATCAAAAGTAAACAAAATCCTATCCCTAACCTGTAATTGAATGCTATCAATATGATAAAGTCACATACATTTATTTACACCTGAACACATCCCCTAAATTAATTTAGTTATTACATTTTTAAAAGGTATGTGATATAAGTAAACAAAAATAATGATTTGTGTACTAAATGCAGTGTTAATTTTTATATGGTTTACCTTTTCAAGAAATATATAAACTGTCTTGTAAAGCAATATATCTCTTAATTTTTTTTAAAAATCTATTATTAATATCAGGAATGATTATCAAATTGGCAGCAACATTCTCCTAGTATTATAACCATTGTTGCAAGCACCAATCGGCGTCTTCTGGTAGTATGTAAGGTCACAATGTCACAACTATTGGTTTCAATAACTACTTATCACCAGGGCGGCTGTGAGCTCATTCACCCATATTTATACAAAAAAAGTAAATAAAAAAGCACTAAAATGACAATGTGATAGTGAGATGAGGCACAAATGCTTCATGACAAGCCTGTTCTTGAGGCAAATCCTACAGGTAATGCAGCTGAGGGTCTGATCTGAAAAGGTTTATATGGAAGGCCATGATTCTATTAAATTCCTTGGATATTAAACCATCCTCTTATAATAAATAACAGATTTACTGGTCTCAATAATTCCTCCTATTCCAATTCCGAATAGAATTAACATCACAATTGATAGAAAAAACATATTTGATTCTTTTTGCTATACTCTTTGCAGTGTTTGTGGATGTGATGTTTTTAGTAATGAGTTTTACAACCTGATGCCACTCCCCCATTTCAGCAGCGTGTCTATGTGCAAAGGGAAAATGTTGCAGGCGTAAACTGGTTAATCTACCATATAGGTGATCTGCTGTACAGCTTGACACCCACTATACTGTTCTTTGGCATCAGGCACTCGATCAAAAGATACCCACCATATGACATGTCCAAAAAATGTCAGGAGACAAAACTACACTGTGCAGAAGAGGCACTTAATTATTTTCGGGTCTTGAAGAATAGACTTATTAATGCAAAATTCAGTCCACAATTTTCTCCAGCACCACATTTCAAGAGCATGTATCCTGCATTTTTCCCTATCTCTATGTCATGTTGTTATCATTTGTTTACTACTTCTTAATTACATTCGAGACACAAAGCCAATTATACTTTATATTTATGGTTCTCAAATAAAATTAAAAACTTACTTATCAATTTAAACTGTCATAATTTTCATAAAAAATTAATAGCTTATAATTTACTCACCTAACTGCATACAACTGGACGGGCAGCAATATAATATAACATAGCCAAAACATAAGATATAATTCCAATGTATTTTGTCGATCGAATGAAAATTGATACAACAATGTATTGTAGAATGAGAGGTTTGGACTTCCATTCACTAACCAGAAGTCATACTGTAATGCTTGTGGCATAGCTTTTAATGTTTTGTTGTCTTTTGGTGCTCCTGGATAGTGATGCCATGAACAAGTTTCTTCATTTAAGTAGCAGGCAACCATAGAAACATACCAAAATCTGTAATGTAACATTAAAATTTTATTATTTATAATGCAAATTCAGATGATTCACAAGATGCCTAAACATCTAAATGTTATCAATATCTCTTTATTATTAATTTGTATCTTTTGTAGATATTTTTTTTTATTTTTAGCCGACTTAACCTAATAGGTGTATGGCCCTAATAAAGAATACAAAAGAAAATGAAAAAAAAAATATAATTTTAATTCATACAAATATACAAATTCATTTATAGTTTATATCAGTTTACAATATGTTTGAAGTCATTGTGGGCTAAAGTATAAGAACTTTAGTGGATTATACCGAGCGATGCATCTGTGCTGGTGTTCAAATCTCGCAGGCAGGGATTTTTCCAACAAAATATGTAGGTACTTATAATTATGTTCACGAATTACTTCTGTGGTAAAATAATAACATTGTGTAATAAAAATCAAACATGCAAAAGGTATAATTTGCATAATTACTTGTGGAATACTATCTTGTGAATCTGTATAAACAGGTACCACCACTATGCCTATTTCTGCTGTAAAGTGGAAATACATTTGAAGGATAGAACAATCATAGGACTATAAAGCTAAAACTCACAACTCATGTCTCAAGGTGGTCAGTGACATTTACATTGTTTATGCCCATAAGCTTTAATAACCACTTTAAGCAATTAAAAAATCAATAGAGTTCACTTCACAAAGTGTAAAAGTTTTTTCAATATTGGCTATCATACCTGTCAAATCTGTGGGGAAAGTGCTTTGCGATGCAGGTTAAGGTCACCCCCTCAGGGTAGACTTATATAAATTGTTTGTATTGATGTATTTTTATTTATGGATATTTTTGTATTAATAATCACTATGATGTGTGAGTTATAAATCTTAATACAACTTAATAATTAATTTTTCGTCATTTGGTCAGTCAATCAATTTTTTCGGAAGATTATTTTGAATCTATTTCAAATTAAATCTTGTCCTACCAAATTAATAAAAAGTATGTACCTATATTATCTTCAAATACATACCGTGGTTGCCCTGTGTTCTGTATCACGTAGGTAAATTGATTTTTCTTAATTACATTCCATGGAGTGTCCTCGTCAATACATAGTTCAGACTTTATACAAGGTACACGTCGAAATAGGTCTTGACCGTAAGCATTACATTTTGGATGGTAGGCAGTTCCATTTAAGTTTTGGAACATTGATTGACATGCCATTTCTTTATCAATAATATCTCTATTCTTATAATAATGTAAAAAATGTCTTCTATCAAGAACTGCAAATGTTATGGGATGTTTAAAGTGATCGTTTGCTGTAATGTTTCCAAAAATATAACCATATGTTTCTTTCTGAAAATGTATGTCGGTCTTTTGGAAACCAAATTTTACTAAAAACTTGAAGAATTCTGCAGTAGAAAACTCTCCTGTTATGTGCGTCGATGATCCAACAACGAAAAGACAACAAAATATCAAGAGATCTTGAATACACATTTTGAAGTTGGCACACGATTAGATTTTGTGTTTTACATTTCTGTTTTAAAAATTAACATTTGCAATAAAAAATATTCTCCCAATTCGAAGACAGTTTTAGTGCATTGTATAATCTATGCCTTCAACTAGAGTAGAGTAGAGTTGTACACTGGGTATGGATACCACTGTTACCTATTTAAATAAAGTGGTAATCTATTTGTCAAATTACAATTTATTCACTATAAATCAGTGTAACTTAGGCTATAACCAATATCATTTTAATGATCTAATCACTTTGATCACTTCACAGTTCACGAGCAGTCATATAAAAGTTAGTTATGAGTTAGTATTTAGGTGATCTTTTAATCATGCTTTGCGTCTAAAATAGTATATATGCTACTAGATATCTATCTTAATATATCTAGAAATATATAACGTATTAACACATAAGTAAATTGTTCATCTGTTTTAAAATAACAGTCTTTACATGTTATATTAAGTTTTTCTTTATAAATAATACTATACGCCAACGCTTTCGTGAATGCTTATTTACTTTTCCCAGAGTTCAAGTCAGTTCAAGTGCTACGTATATGGAGTTAATAAGTAAAAGTTCAAGTACGTTTTTCTAGGCTTACTGAATTTGGCCTCCCCTCTTTTTTTATTTTCGGATTTTTTTTATTTTTAATTATTTGTTCGTTATTTGTTCGTTAAGATTCGAATGTAAAAATTGTTTATTCGTCTTTTATTTATTTATAATTAATTAAACAAATGATCACCCTTAGTTTGCCCCTCTTTACTAGATATCTTCATTTTTAACGCTCATATTAATTAATTTTGATCAATTATCGTTTGTTCGACAACTATTGGTAATTGTTCGATCATAAAAAACAAATAAATTAAAAAAAACGAAGCCTTGTAATATATATCAATCTATTTGATCTACGCCGTTTTAATATTGAGCGTATTAAAGAGGCTATAGAACGAAACAAAGGCTCCAAAGTGTTCGCGAGAGATTTGTCTCTTGGGAAAAGCCAGTTGACAAGACTGAAGACCGATGATGGCAGTAGCCTGAGCTTTTGAGAGAGGTCGATAAGTTATATGGACAGCTATACACATCTACTCGACAACCCGTGAAAACTCTAGGAAAAGATCCAAGAGCTAGATTAGTCCGACAATATAGCGAAGATATCCCCAACGTCAGCCTGTGCGAGATTAGAATGGCTCTCAAACAACTTAAGGACAACAAGACACCGGGTGAGGATGGAATTACTGTCGAACTTCTGAAGGCGGGTGGAAAACCAGTCCTTCGGGCCCTCGTCAACATCAATGGCGACTACATAACTCACCTTCGGTTCGCCGATGATATTGTAATTATGGCCGAGACCATGGAGGACCTCAGTACAATGCTCAAAGACCTCAGTAGAACCTCAGATCCGAGTGGGTCTAAATATGAACATGGAAAAAACAAAAATTATGTTGAATGCTCATGTAGCGCCCACTCCAGTAAAGATCGGAAGCTCTACGCTCGAAGTTGTTGATGAGTATATTTATCTGGGGCCTGGGACACACTGTCCAGCTAGGTAAGTCCAATTTCGAAATAGAGGTCAACCGTTGAATCCAGCTCGGATGGGCAGCGTTCGGAAAGCTACGTAAAATCTTCTCATCACAAATACCACAGTGTCTCAAAACGAACATGTTTGACCAGTGTGTGTTGCCAGTGATGACATATGGCACTGAGACGTGGTTGCTCACAATGGGCCTTATGAGAAAGCTTAAGGTCACCCAAAGAGCAATGGAGAGGGCTATGCTCGGAGTTTCTCTGGGAGATCAAATCAGAAATGAGGAGATTCGCAGGAAAACTATGGTAACCGACATAGCCCAAAGAATTGTGACATTGAAGTGGCAGTGGACAGGACACATTGCTCGCAGAACGGATGGCCGTTGGGGCCAGAAAGTTCTTGAGTGGCGACCGCGACTGGAAGACGTAGCGTGGGTAGGCCTCCCACAAGATGGGCCGACGATCTATTGAGGTTCGCGGGGATCCGCTGGATGCAGGCAGCACCGGACCGATCTTTGTGGCGAGGCTTGGGGGAGGCCTATGTCCAGCAGTGGACGTCCATGGGCTGATAAGAAGATAAGAAGAAGAAGAGTTAATTAATCTGTGCTGTGTGTAATGGTCGATCATAAATAATTTGTGTAATATCTATGAGGGTATTATCTATGCAATATAGTATGCATAGATTATACACATATATTTGAGAATAGTATGTCTATTGTCTATGCAGTATAATGGTGGAATTGAGAAGTTAGGTACCGCAAAATGAATATTGATAATTATTCAACTGCCTAGCTATGTGAATAACTTTATTTTATAAGGCCATGAAATATTGTTTGTAGGGCTACCACTCGAACTGCAAAAATGAAGAATTTGTGCCATAAGAACTTCCATCACGCACTCACATATTTCCTTTGTGATCAAGATACCCTTTACTCATAGTGCTTGTGAAGTTTTTACTTTTGACTGGTTAAGATAAATACAATTACGTGTTGTAAAGCAGAGGTAACGTAATCAATAATATAGTGAAATAGTTCTTTATAAATTTTCATTTAACCTCGAATGCGGAAGTTGTTTAAGAGCCGCTCTGGTTTCGTGCGTCTTGTCGTCAAGTGGTCTCAAATAGTAAAACGATAACAAATTGTTTTAGAAAATTGGATAATTATACCGCTCCTTCATCTCCTGACGATGAAATAATGGTCGAAATAGGAGTTCCACAGCAGTCACCAGAACATAGCCTAGAAGCTGCGGAGTGGTACTGGGGCGATATAACAAGGTAGGTACTTGACTAATTTTTACATTCAATTATAAAGTAAAACTGACAACAACAGAACCAATAAGTAATCATTATAAAAGTTGTCCCATAATAAATTAATATAAATAAGTTGTGTACTGTAATTGGTAGACAAATATATTATTATCTATTATACTCTTATGGCCTATTTTTTGTGTTGCCCCAGAAATATAACAATGTACTGTATGAAATAGTATTTCTAACTGTAACATTAAAAATAGAGCACGCTAAGGGAATTCAGTACGCACATATAAAATATGTGGTATCTTTTTATGCCTCTAATTGGGTCATGAGATTATCCCCCATTTCTCTTTTTTGCTTGCAACTACCACAATGGTGGTGAGGTCATCAACCAATATCTCCTTCCTTTTTCATCATTTAACAATATTCACCACTAACATAACTTGACAATTTAACAATAAACCTGTTTTAGGATTCGCTACAACTTTTTTAAGAGCTCCGATATTGGTTTCTAACAGTTTGTAATTTATATCTTATGCATTGAATTCTTGTCTAAAGAAATGCTGTTGTCTGATGATAAAAATTAGTTTCTATAAGCCAAGAACCTTGATCCCTATGTCTGTAAATTGACACTGCTGTCCCAAATTTACTTCGATACTTGAAGTCATCGTAGTAGTAAAGGATAAGAGATTTAGTGCATTTTTATCAAGCAATGAAACTGTGTTTCGAGTCCTGCAGACAGATACCAAGTTTTCGAATGAAGTACAGACTTCAGAAATCGTTGTTGATTCCCATATCAGGCAAATGTTCAGGTGATGAACAGGTTTTTTGCTCTTTGTCAGGGTGTTCACTATATATGCATATATTTAAATGTATATAAATATTTATGTTAGTCTCTGGTACTCATAACACAGGTGATCCTAATTGAGTTAAACTCGACAATTTTAACCCAAATGGTGAACTTGCATCATCTGGGTGATCAATGTATAACTATATTTTGCTAGTCTGGTTAAACAATGATTGTGCAATTTTTTGTCAGTGATGCAATAGATTGCAATAAATAGCAACAATTTACAATGTGATTAGATTCAACGTTAAGTCTTCTTAAATGCTACAGTTCAGTTTCAGACATAAAGTAATGTCCCCATTGTTCTGAAAAAACAGTTGTTCAACTGCTGCAAATTAAATGCATGACTGTTTTTCTGTAAAAATAATCAAGATGATGGTACTTAAAATTGTATATTGCAACATGACCTGCAAGTTTTTTAGATAAAAATTTATTAGGAACAGTATTACTTCTATTGTCATATTATAGGAATCTTGTAATTGGCTATCTGTATTTTATAATTTATACCACTTTACTCTCAAGTTATACACTATTGTTGATAGTATTGATTTCATTTTTCAGAGATGAAGCCAATGAAAAACTTCGAGACACTCGTGATGGAACTTTTCTTGTTCGTAATGCATCTAATAAGGATAGTGGATATACATTGACAGTCAGGAAAGGTGGTGCAAATAAGTTGATCAAAATATACCATCATGAAGGTCGATATGGCTTCCGTGAACCTTTTGAATTTAAGTCAGTAGTTGATCTTGTATGCTATTACAGTGAATACTCCCTGGCAACATGTAACAGTAGTCTAGACATCAAACTCTTGTATCCATTGTCTAGACATCAAGAAAATGAAGGAGGTGAAAACATAAGTGATGAAACTTTAGCAACTAGGTATAAAGAGATACATAAGAAGTATATATTAAAAACTAGGGATTACAATATAAGATTTTCTAAATATACAAGATTAAGGGAAGAAGTTACTTTAAAACGACAAGCTTTAGAAGCGTTTAGAGAAGCTGTAAAAATGTGTGAAGACCACATTAAACTACAAGAAAAAATACAAGCAGAAGCACAACCTCATGAAAAAAATATAGTCTTGGAAAATAACCGACAGCTCATGGCAAAATTACAAAGTTTGAAACAAGCCAAGGCTGAACTAAGTGAAATCCTGAGGACTACATTAGAATGCAATTTAGTTGTCGAAAGAGATTTAACAAAGTTAAAATCAGATGTAGTAAAGCTCTACAATTTGAAGGATCGCCACAAAATGTAAGTATTACTCATGTAACTTAAGAATAAAAAATAAAGTACATACTTAAATATGTAAGTTTGTAACACTTTCAATTTTGTAGGTGGTTGCAAGGGAGAGGGAAAACTGATGAATATTTAAAAGCTTTAGAGGAGAACAATATTCATAAATTAGATGAAATTAATGCTCATCGTGATATGGACACTTGGAAAGTTAATTGCACGCGGGAGACAGCTGAAAAACTGCTTGCCGGAAAACCACAGGGCACATTCCTGATAAGACCAAATTCTACAGGACAGTTAGCTCTCTCTATTGTCTGTAATAACATGGTCTATCATTGCATTATAAATAAGACTGAATGTGGATATGGTTTTGCTGAACCATACAATATCTACGAGTAAGTAATTTTTTTTGTGTGATACTTTCACTGTTGTCCTAGGAATATTAGTGGACTAGCTGTACCCGTCCACTATGCTGGGCATTTAAAATTAACATTATTATTTCTCCCCCCACAAAGATTCTCATCATTAACATCCCCAAAACAGGTGTAGGGAGTCCAACACTCATAAATATTAGCCTATCCATTAAGTAAATTATGTATTTTATACATGGATACCAAGTCTCAAGTCAATCGGATGCATAGTTCAGTAGTTATAACGGAACATCCGTAAAAACCACTGTAGATTTATATATTAGTATAGATGATACCTAAGATATTGATAATTACTGTCTGAAAATATTCTAAGAACTAACTTTTTTCGTTTTGAGGACCGCAACCCTAAAGAGTGCAAATAATACTATACAATGATTACCACATTTTACATGTTATCCATGTAACCTTCTACATTTTATAATTTCACTCTGTCTAAAACATTGAATACTTAAGTGTCTTTGTGTAAGTTTGAAATAAAACAGTTTTTAAAATTTGGTATTCATTTGATTTCAGAACATTGAATGAATTAGTACTACATTATGCAGGAAATTCATTGGAGGAGCACAATGATCAGTTGAGAACTGAGTTAAAATACCCAGTTAATATGCATCTGGCAAAAAAACCTGAAAAGAATTGAGAGTACCAAAGAGAGGAATGCCAGAGGATTGTTAAAGATTTCACAGTGAGCTATTTTTGTAAGTCTTGCTGTTATTTTATGTACCTTGTCTTCTATTTAGAAAATAGAATGACTAGAGTAAGAATATAAAATTTAATATTCATACCTAACTTGGACATATTACATTTTGCTCTCAAAATATTTACATTTTCACCTAAATGAAAAACATTATTTTATTGAAATTGTTGAATGCCCAGGAGGCTGAGCTGTAAAATATGAATAAATAAAAAATTAACTTATTTGATAATTGTTTTTTGTCATTAAAATGCTACTACCAATTGTAAACATTAGTATACTTAAAATTTGAAATGTAATTTAAAAAATGTAATAAGAATTTGAGCTTGGTCATTTAAATAGTTTGCCCAAAAATTTAGTCAATCAGGGTACGCAGTGTTGGTAAGGCTAACTTTAAAGCTTTAGTTATTCTATTTTTGTTGATAAATAAAAGATCATCAAACTTGTTTACTAGCAAACATTATTTCATCACTTGTAAAAGTCAGCAACATAGTTCTGATTTATATATTTTTTCTATTAATTAATTTTAATCCCACAAAAATATGATATAATTTTTTGGTAGAGAGAAGAGTGTGTTTAACTTACATAATTCAAGTACTGTTAATATTTGTTTGGTGAAAATGAAAATGCTTTAATACACTACATACACATAAGTACATTAGGATCTTGATTTTATATTTATATTTTTATAATTAAAAAAAAGATCGAATTGATCTATTTTGTAATTTAAGGATTTTCGTCAATTTGATGTCTAATTTAATAATATTGCAAATAAATGTAATACATATTAGGTATGTAGTAGTTTTGATACTAATATTTGTTTTTCGAATTGAATGTTTTTATAAACAAATTCCATTTCACATTTGGTAACAATTTAATATCTTGTGTGAAGAGAGATCGTCTTTGATCAACAAAATAACGAATGAACGATATCTAAAATTTATCAAGACTCGGAAAAAGAATATTGGTCACTTTGTTCTAAGTAGCAAATTTTAATTATTTGACCTTAGACATTTTGGGGAAACTAATGAGCCTTGCAATTAGTATTATTATTAAGTGCAAGACGGTCCCCTGCAATAAAAATGTAATTCTGAATCAAGAATTAAACAGTTTCGGTTCCATTGAAAAAGTCGATTTGTAGATTTGTTGATATGTATACTCGCCGGCACGTAAGTTGGCAAGGTTTTGACGTAGTGGAGGTAAGGTCGCGCATAGTGCACTTGATGCAACAAAAAATTGTCACTTTTGTTGCCCACATTATTCTACGGTTATTGCCATAATTTCTTTTTAATCATATCTGTTTAGCAGAAAGTTAAAAAAAAAAAGAGGAATTCGTGAAGTTTATTAGGTGTTATCAATAAAATACGATTAATAGTTAAGAAGTTTACTTAAAAAAATATACTTAATATTAAACATTATTTTGCCGTCGTCACTATCATTTCCTAATAGTGCTACCCCTTCCATTAAATTTATGGTAGCACCTGATCTGATCTGATCTGATCTGGTGGAAGGAGTTGGCTCTTCATCCTCGACAAAACTCTCGTCGCTGGAAGAGTCGCTGTCGTCACTGGCGTAAATAATAAAACGTTCAGTGACTGAATCGACTATATGATCACTTTGGATGTAGTCAGCCTCATTTTTTTTTACCTTCCCACACAATAACAACTCGTAACAAAAACTCAACATAAACAAAGGGTACAACTTTAGTACACGCAAGTGCAATCGGGATCGAACAGAACGTTGCGGTGCGGGAGGCAGGGGTCGACTGACGCACCAATCGCGCGGTGCTACGTCATTCCCCGCGTCCCGCTTGACAACTAAAGATACTTTAAAAACGACTTGTGCTCATCTAACGACTCTTGCCAAGTTACGTGCCGGGAACTGTAAAATCACAAAAGAGCGAAAATACTGTAATATTTATCATTTAAAGCAGATAAACGCAGTGTTGCCGTTTGTCGCTATTACCACGAATAAAAGGTATCCTTTATCCAGGTTATAAAACGTTTTTATGCAAAATGCCATCCAAATCCGTTCAGTCACTTTTGCGTGACTACTTTAACATTTATAATATTAAGTATGTATAGATTATAATTTCTATAAGCTCTCATGTCAGCTGTATATTAGTATTCAACTAGTACGTTGTTTCATACGCGTGTTATAAATGAACATGTAATTGTAAATACTTATATGCCCAGTCAATGAATAGGGATGTTAAAGCTTTTTAAAATATTTTCACCAAAAAATGTACGGTATCCAAAATAATGTTTTTATTTAAAAAAGTTCTCATTTCCTTTATCAGAACATTTGTGTTTTATGGTATTTGCTGTCTCGCACAGGATACGCCATAAACAGAGAACATCCCTATTGTTTCAGTACATAAATATTTGTAAAGAACAGCAAGTTTTATCATTTATTTCCGACATTGGAGAAAGATTGTTAAAATTGTATCAAATTCCATATCATTTAATGTCACTGGAATGAAAAAAATCTAAAGCTATTGAACTTTGATGTTTAGTTAATTATGAGTTAATGTCGGCTAGTTTCTCATACAAAGTGATACTAACATTAAATTTAAACTTGTAGTTGTATTAAATATTTGTATATTAAGCCTGTGATTATATTGTAACTAGTGATTAATGTAACCTGAAACCCTAACAATATAATAAAAAGCATTTTTATGTACATCTGCAGTTGCCGAAATGTACAGATTAGCATTCAAACTAAAACCTGAGCATCAACAACGTATGTAGTATAGAAAGAGAATGCTGAATTGTTATTCAATCAAGAAATCATTGTCAAACAATACTCGAAGCGATAAGATTTCAGATTGAATAAAAAATGTAATGTCTAAATTATAATATGTTTTATTTTTATGTTTGGAGATGCCTCAGAATGAGCACATTTAAAATATCACGAAGCTACATTGTTTGTCTTATAGTTTCATCATAAACTGGTACAGCAATTTAATTTATTTTTCGTAAATATTATACTTATTACATTTCTTCGTGAAATGAATGGGCTTTTGCATATATACAATGTTTTTTATGCAATGGAGCATATAAAAAGTGCAATCATCGCGACTATAAAGACTTATTTAAGAACTTTCATGATTCTCGTGACAAGCGTTCGTATCAAGAGTTAAAGAATAACTTAAACTGACAACGACATAAACTTCATTGTAAACTTTTTTTAATAATATCTGATTTCGTTGAAATTAATTCCGTTTTTCATAATACAACAACGGGAGAATTTGGAAAATAGTATATACTGTTTTTAATAGTAGTGCGTTATTACGTGTTTTAGATGGCGGCGGTAGTAAAAATATTTTTTTGTTTTTGATTCATTCACAAAGTAAGAAAAATACCGACTGCAAAATTAATTGCTTTCCATAAAATAAAGAACACATTGCATCGTACTATTTTGTTCAATTTTGTTCTATTGTCTCCATATCCATCGCTAGATTAACTATGAACCAGTTTATCTAAGTCACTCATAAGCATTGGCAATGCTATGCTGCTAACAACCGTAGTTCTACTGTAACGATGATGTTTAAACAATCCAACTAAGTACTTGAGCAAGTTGCAAAACTCATTAACTGGAAAAATGTGGCTTTGAAATACATAAACATTTTTGATATGTTTACATACTACTTTAACTTGCATAGAACTTGAAAATATAAAAAAAAAACATTTGACGGGAAAAATTGGAGCCATGTTATGTTTGAAACAAGTGACGCATGCATCACGCGTTTAAACGTAGAAGTTAAAAGTAAAAGTTAATATTATGTACCAAAATACAGTTTTCGACCTTTTTTAATTAGAGGTACCTAAGATTGTAATATAATATGTATTTATGATAGGTTGAGAGAATATTATAAGTGAGATTATTGAAGTTATTTTTGTATCAAGAGTGAAGTTATGAAAACAGATGACGCAATATTGGTTATAATGTGGGAAGAGAATGTCATGAAATGATCTCAATTTAAAACGTAGTCTTATAATAATATGATGGTTATTTTGAAACCAAAATAGAAGAACGAAGTCAGAGTCAAGTCTGCATCCATAAATATGACGAAATTGTCGCCATTTTGTAAACATTGTAACGGTAGATTTTTAATAAAGCGTTATTAAACAAATACCTATCAGTGATTCCCTGTTTTATTTAAATATCGTATCTTGTGACAAATACGTAGGTACCCGAATCGTAATCGTTTAATTACACGTATGGAATCATATTAATATGTTAATTCATGTTTATATTCCCTGTCTTATTTTTCCTTTTTAAACGTTTTCACGTTGTTATATTTAAATGAGACCGATTATTAAAAAAAACGACCTAAACTTTTGTAAACAGCTTTTGACACAAGTAAAAAACTTTGTAGCGAGTAGGTAAGTATTTGCATAAGTACGACTAAACGCAGCTCCACATTGTTGATTTCGATAAAGCGGCACGACACGAGAACCCTCTTGTCGTGGCCGCTGGAAGCTACATACCCGACCCTGTAGACCGAATGGTAAACCGTCGACGTCGCCCAAAGCACGTCATTACGGATCCTCCTGATCCATTAACGGTGCTTTTAGGCACCACAAGCACCGGTCACCGTCCTCGCTATCAGCTTAGGTAGGAAAAAAAGAAAAAAAAAACCACATCGTATGATGCCTATGCCATCTCACCTGACGTTTTTATTACCAGCCAGTTTATTGTCAATTAGTTTTGTATAAAAGTGTTGTAATACGAGGGCGGGATGATAAGTAACTAGCCTCTACTATTTAAAAAGTTAAAATTAAAAAAATATAAATGTCTTTTTTAAATTAGTATCCCTGGCCACCTGTGTTCTAAATTTGAATTTGGTGGCGTGAAAATTTTATAGATTTTTTTTTCATTTGAAAATATATTTCGTCAAGTGTTTTCAAAATGGATAAAATTGAACAAAGAGCGGTGATAAAGTTTCTTCATGTGAAGGGCACGAAGAGGAAAGATATCTATGACGAGTTAAAGAATGTTTTGGGTGAATGTGCTCCTTCTTATGCCACAATAAAAAACTGGGTGGCTGAGTTTAAACGCGGTCATTCATGTGTCCAAGATGAAGCCCAACCCGGACGTCCAAAAAGCGTCACGACTCCGGAAATGGTCGTGCAAGAACATGATATAGTTTTAACAGATCAACGATTGAAGTTATCTGAAACAGCTGACACTACAGGTATCTCAAAAGAACGGGTACATCATATGCTAAGTGAGGAATTAAATATAAAAAAGTCATCGGCCCGTTGGGTGCCGCGATTACTTACGCACGATCAAAAAAGGATTCGGGTGCAAAACTCAAAAGAATGTCTGGACCGTTTCAGAGTAATAAAGCCGATTTTTTTACGTCGATTTGTAACAACAGATGAGACATGAGTTCATTATTACACGCCAGAATCAAAAATTCAATCAAAACAGTGGACGCAATCGCAGTGCCCGGCTTCAAAAAAGCCATGGCTGTAAAAGTGATGGCTTCCGTCTTTTGGGATGCACGGATCGTTTGGAACCTCTGGGTCTGCGGAGGGACTTCGGTTCCCTCTGTATTTTGTACCGTATGTTCCATGGGGAGTGCTTTGAGGAATTGTTCGAGATGATACCGGCATCTCGTTTTTACCATCGCACCGCCCGCCACCGGAGTAGAGTTCATCCGTACTACCTGGAGCCACTGCGGTCATCCACAGTGCGTTTCCAGAGGTCTTTTTTGCCACGTACCATACGGCTATAGAATGAGCTCCCCTCCACGGTGTTTCCCGAGCGCTATGACATGTCCTTCTTCAAACGAGGCTTGTGGAGAGTATTAAGCGGTAAGCAGCGGCTTGGCTCTGCCCCTGGCATTGCTGAAGTCCACGGGCAACAGTAACCACTCACCATCAGGTGGGCCGTATGCTCGTCTGCCTACAAGGGCAATAAAAAAAAAGTTCTAACTTACAACGGCTGCCCCACCCTTCAAACCGAAACGCATTACTGCTTCACGGCAGAAATAGGCGGGGCGGTGGTACCTACCCGCGCGGACTCAAGAGGTCCTACCACCAGTAAAAGCTGAAGCTGGCTGAAGACTTAATCACACTTCACCTCGTTTGTTGGACATGTCCAGCAGTTCCTGATAGTGGGGTGAATTGTGCTCAATTGACTAGTAGTGAGATTGGGCACGGGAGATGACAGGATCATCTCAAACAATTGTTTATAGCACTCCCTGTGAAACATGCGGTAGCAGACTGGATGCGTGTCGTTAGCACCACCCCATAGGTGCCAGCGAGAATAATGAAGAATTCTCACCAGAGAAAAGACAACACTCTTCTCTAAACTTTATACCAACATGCATTTTACAATTTTATTAATTTGTGATAGGGCATAACATGACGCTCGCACCGATGCACTCAGCATATTTCCAAGGTCAAATATTGTGGAACAGTCGTTTTACAATAAAGTTGAGTCTACCCAATATTTTAGGGTGGGTGACCGTATTTACGTTGTTGTGTGTGGGTTACGGTAACCACTAACCACCAGGTGAGCCGTAAACTTCTCCCATTCATCTAGAGCCATATTAAAATCGTAGTTCCATATCTCAGTAAAATGAGGATTTGTTAGGTAGAGGTTCTGACGCATTATAACCCCAAAAAAAAAACTGCATGTGGACATGAAATCGTAGTAGGTATTTGCGTAAACGGCCTTATCATGTCTAGGGATCCCAGTTTTCGTCTAGGTACGATCAGCTGCAGTATATGAAAGTTTAAATCAAAATTAATAAAGGAGTCAGGTGGTAAGTGGTAGGATGTAAAAGTAATTTCTCATCTTTACATCCTTAATTCTACGCAACTTATCGTTTACTACCTAGTGTTCGCCAAATGATTGAAAATCGACCATACTCAGTGATACCTCAAGATTTATGTTTTGTTTTGAACCAGCGAAAAACATTTTGTCGCTGCCTATTCTAATAATGTATAGACCAAAGAAGTTAAACTAAAGGCAGACCAGAAGGCAGTTAAACTAANAATTTCTCATCTTTACATCCTTAATTCTACGCAACTTATCGTTTACTACCTAGTGTTCGCCAAATGATTGAAAATCGACCATACTCAGTGATACCTCAAGATTTATGTTTTGTTTTGAACCAGCGAAAAACATTTTGTCGCTGCCTATTCTAATAATGTATAGACCAAAGAAGTTAAACTAAAGGCAGACCAGAAGGCACTTAAACTAAATAATGCATTAATTACTGTGCTTCAGTACTAAAAATTTATTTTTGAACCCTTCTTACCTTAACCAGGAAGAAGTATGAAACTCATGGAAAATATTTTTGTAACATAACTGAAGTCGTCGTGACCTTAAAGATAAATTGGCCTGTGTACTAGATTGAGAGATGCGACTATGCAGGCTGTTCAAATCTCGCCGGCAATTAAAAATGTTGTTATGAAAGACTTAACGTGTACAAGAGACTTCTATGATGAAGAAATATGCTGTAATGAAAATTAAATCCTCATACGACATATTCCTGGACACTTACGGGCGGTACTCTTGTGAGACCCTCAGGTATGTGGTATCATCGTACTCATTTCTGCCGCAAGGCAGTACATAATGTTTTAAGAGGGACGAGAAAATTGTTGGTATACAATACAAATAGACCTCATTCGTTGAGGGCGGTAGTGGCATTCCTTTGATTGTTTAGGCTTCGATAACAATTAAAACCAAATGGGCCATGACGTTGTTCACCAGTCTACGCATAAAAATTATGGGACAGTTTTCAATCAAAATACAATTTTCAGAAACATCATTTTACTGATATATATCAATTCAATGTGGTTTCAGTCAATTTGTTGGACCTATAATTTTAGCTCAATCATAGGTTTATTGGTGTGGTAGCTTCAACATAGCCAACTTAAATTGTCATTACTCTTAAATCATAATACATCTAATTCGATTTCTTGGAATCTTTAGACGGCGACCGTGATCGAGAACGCGACATAGAACGTGCCTTCGAACGGGAACGAGAGCGTGAGCGAGAGCGGCTGCGGGATCGAGATCCAGACCTTGGAGAGCGGGATCGGCTACGCCTGCGGGACCTCGAACGACTGAAACCATACATATTGTTCTTGTTAATGATCTATAAATATATTTTTTTACATCACAATTCACCAGCAATTTCGTTATTCAATACAGTTAGTTACATATGTTAGTATGTATTTTAAATTGTTATAAAATAACTAGTCAGGTCATAAGTATTGTCACACAGTAAAAACTTTTCTTTTAGAATGCTGGCCACAAAAAAGTTTATTTAATTCGAATTTCGAATTGTTCATGAAAATAAAAATGTATACTTTTAGAATTTTACTCATTTTTAAATATGGAGTGGACGCTTAAAGAAGACCGTGTTGCAGTTATTGCGTTGCATCGTTGCGGTTACGCGCCAATTCAAAATTTTAACATACTGAAAATTTTGAATATAACCAAAAGATTCGGTTATCATACCATCAAACGATACAATGAAGACTCTAGTGTAGATGACAGGTCTAGAAGTGGTCGCCTTCGGTCTGTTAGGACTCCAGCAGTGATAAAAGCTGTGAAGGCGCGAATTCAAAGAAATCCCAAACGTAAGCAGAAACTGTTGGCCCTTCAGATGGGGTTAAGCAGAACCACGGTGAAAAGGGTGTTAAATGAAGACTTAGGGCTTCGGGCATATCGAAGAAAAATAGGACATCGTTTGAATGCTCGTCTAATGGACCTGAGACTGAAGAGATGCCGCGCTTTGTTGAAGCGGTACGCGGGAAAAAAATATCGGGAAATTCTTTTTTCGGATGAAAAAATTTTTACCGTAGAAGAGAGCTACAACAAACAAAATGATAAGGTGTACGCACACAGTAGTGAAGAAGCGAGCAACCGTATTCCGCGTGTCCAACGAGGTCATTTTCCATCCTCGCTCATGGTATGGTTGGGAGTTTCTTATTGGGGCTTAACAGAGGTACATTTTTGTGAGAAAGGTGTAAAAACGAATGCAGTTGTGTATCAAAATACAGTCCTGACGAACCTTGTGGAACCTGTTTCTCATACCATGTTCAATAACAGGCACTGGGTATTCCAACAAGATTCGGCGCCAGCTCATAGAGCGAAGAGCACACAAGACTGGCTGGCGGCGCGTGAAATCGACTTCATCCGGCACGAAGACTGGCCCTCCTCCAGTCCAGATTTGAATCCGTTAGATTACAAGATATGGCAACACTTGGAGGAAAAGGCGTGCTCAAAGCCTCATCCCAATTTGGAGTCACTCAAGACATCCTTGATTAAGGCAGCCGCCGATATTGACATGGACCTCGTTCGTGCTGCGATAGACGACTGGCCGCGCAGATTGAAGGCCTGTATTCAAAATCACGGAGGTCATTTTGAATAAACTTTAGTGTCATAAGAATCTATGTTTTGTTAAGTTCATTTTGGTATATGAATGGTTACATAATGAATAAACTTGTTTCAATTATTTTACATTAAACATGTGACAGAATTTATGACCTGACTAGGTATATATATTTTTTTAATTCAGATATTTTAAATATGATTAAACTTGTTTTTGCCTCAGTGCGGAGAGGTTATGTTGTGTCTGATTGTAATTATTATAAGACGAGGTCATCTGAGTCAACAAACACATTTGTCACCTGTAGTGAGCAAACATATTACGAACAATTTCATAAACGGCTTCTAATCTTTTTTCTTAAGAAGGTAAGATTCCTGGGGCCCGTTGGCCTGGATGCCTTTCTAGTTTCACCAGGATAGGTGGGCGAGCACGGGCTCAGCCAGGAGGGTTGCGAGTGGTTAACCGCCGCCCGAGCGCCTCCGAAGGAGACCAAACAGCTCAAGAGCAGTTGCTTCGTGAATCCATCTATATACTACCGGACCGGCATCACGACCCGCTGAGATCCGGCGAAAAACTCAGTGGGCTGATGTATGGGTTAACAAACTCTTGTATACAGGGTGTCTCACAAAGGGCACATTCAAGCCGAAAACGGTAATATTCTATTAGTCGATGTGACAAATAAAAGTTCCTCAGTAAATTACTTAAAAATTACAAGTAAATATTTGAACATTATGGATCAAACTATTTTTCTGCCAATCCTTGAAATCTGTTTAACACGAGATACCGTAATATGATTCGTAGTATAAAATAAGACTGGCCACACATGAAAAGATGCGATTTTGTATCGGAACTAAACGTAAATAATATGAATAATGGTCGTACGGATTGAGTGCGCACACTGAATAAGTTATGTTCGTCAAATAGGCACTGTCTCCGTGACATCGTTTTCATTAAGCTCTCTCTGGCACGCGTTGTACAATCTGTATCTTCTAGGTCGAAATCACGTAAGTGGTAACTCAACTCACATTGATCTCATAAAGTTTTATGTGCTTAACCCGGGTTCAACACACGAATATTTTTTCAATAATTTATTTGTAATATTTATATATAATTTTTTTTATAATTGTCTAATTAAAGTAGAAATCCCAACAACTTCGGATTGCTATAAGAAGACGGAAGTTATAAGAAAACGCAGCAAACGCGATATTGAGGCTGACCTAATCAAGCGGATTCTCACACACTGGGCTTTCACGAGTTAAGATCGAGTACATATCAGTAATAGGGTTGTATTCATTGTTTGAAACGAGATGAACGAATTCTATAGAATATTATTCTATTATATTCTATCTATCTATCATATTGTTCTAAATTCAATAGTGTCTATTTTGTCCTGACGCATTCAGCTGAATAAACGGCTTAACCTACTTACCTAATACATTCAGAGCTGTCATCGAACAATTGAAACAATTAATAAATTAGTTTTGTATGAAACTACCACTTACAGCTGAGATTTTTTACATTTTTAAAGTGTTCTACATTGTTGATGTTAGAACCACATTTAGACTTAATATATATACCTACCCCCTTTATGGGACACCCTGTACACAAGAGGCTTTTCTTTTCCAACATACTTCAGTCGAGCTATGCGTATCCAAAACTACATACATACTTAAAGTTTGTACCACATGCATCTAAGACATCTTCAATATTACCGATATTCAATTTTAACTCTTTATCATGTTAAGAATCACAAACAGTGCACGGTTTTGTTTTTTGCTAAAATTTGGATAATACAAATTTCTAAACAAATCTGTATTTTGAATATGAATTTTACCAAAAAATATCAGAACTTTTTTAATGATTTAAAGATCAGTTTAGATAAGACTGGCTTGGAGAGCAAAGCATGTATGTATTGATTAAAAAGTTTAATACCTAAATGTTAAAGGAAAAAAATAACCCACATATTTTAAAGTAAGGGGTTTGCACGTCACCCCAGTGTTGGTAATGTAAAATACAATAACCACTCAGCTCCATGTATGTACTCTTTCAAACTTTAACACCAAAATCTGTAGGTCATTTCTTTTAAATGCCAGACATCATTAATATTCTCTTGATAATATATTAATATCATTCTCATTATATTTATAAAAAAAAATGTAAGTCTGAGCACACATATTTATATAAATACATCAATAACAAAAATTAGACTCCCAGAGCCTGACTTCAAAATAAATGCTCTCAAAAATTATCTGCTCAGTTGCTCTCCCAGTCAGCCTTACATGGCCTTACAGCACTAGTCATCAAATTTCCAGTCAGTGTGGAAAAAAGTACTAGAAAATCTTTCCCAAGCCAGTATATGTAAACAGCCTTAAAAACTTTCTGTAATAGTCACACATTTTACTCACCTTATTACCATTTAAGTTATTGCCACCAAAGGCCACCTATCCTACTTTAGACAAAAAAATACAATTCATTGATATCCAGGCATATTTTTGAAATCAATGTTTTTCTTAAATAATTTTGTGGTCATATTCCTCAAAAACATGAAAACATGAATTCTGTTCATTTTGTGGCCTCTGAACACTATAATGTTAATATAATGTGTAACTCACTGAGTATACGCAGTGATTACATTAGACGTGCGTCGCTACTCGCAGTATGAACAAACTCAATGAAGTTGTCGACAAGTGAAGTGTGCACGTAGGATGTAGCTACGTAGTTCACAGAGCGAAGTTACAGTTGGGGCCAACTCATTCGGAGTACACGCAGAGAAGTGAAAGCTACGTAGCGCAGATAATAAGAAGTGCAGACACTGACGAGTTCGTTCTCGGCGCACAACCCAATGATAACCTATAACATAGTTATCATTGGTATACAAATCCAAAACCAATGGAATGAGATCTAAATTCGAATATTTTTGTTTTTCCCAATGAGTTTGAGGTTGGAAGAGTAGCGAGATTTTATTGCCAATGAATAAATAGGTTCCTCACACCGAATTTAAGCCTTTACCTGCGTCGCCGACGACGTGAACAGTCACGAGCGTAGTGTCCTCTGTCGCCGCAGTCGTAACAACGATCATCATACGGCCGAGGAGGCAGACGCGAACGAGGTGGTGGACCCCGGCTGCCATAACCGCGACCCCCATTAGACATTTCTACACGGGCTCTACGACCGCAAATCGTCCGTCCATCCAAACCACGTACCTGAAATTTTGAAATTTGGAAGCTAAAATCCGAAAAGCTGACAACGGGCACTGAAAACAACATAGTTCAATCCACTATTGTACAGCGATGCCTTATTAACATTCATTTTATCGATTTGTACGGAGCAAATAAAATTTAGCAGTGGACATTAGTGGTCAACTGGGATGACAGTGATGGAACCCACAACCACTCAATAAATGTGGTAAATCATATAGTTATGCAGTTTATCCAAAGAATCGAATTTCATGTTTTTTAAAGGGTCAAACCCTTTAAGGTTAAGGTTTATCTACGATCGAAAACAGTGCGTTTACGATATGGCATCTTGTAAGGTTGAAGCAATTTTTCTCTTATATACGTATGGCATGTTTCTGAATTTCAGTAGCAAAATTAACTAAATTGAAAGAAACACTTACTGCGTCTTCAGCATCCCGTGGATCTTCGAATTCAACAAATGCGAAGCCTGGAGGATTTCTTGCAACCCACACATTCCTCAGTGGACCATAATATGAAAAGGCATCTTCAAGTTCAGGTTTACTAGCATTATTCCCCAAATCTCCAACATAAACTTTGCAGTCACCATAGCGTGACATCGTGGACGATGCTGTTAAATATAAAAACCACGCCGTTAACATTTTGTTCCTTGTCATGCACAATACGTTTTAAATAAAGATTAATATTATTCAGCGAGACTATTACCTTTTTGGATGGTCAATTAATATTTTAATGCGTTTTATCACCAGACCATTACATTAGTTGCCCTCCGTTTTTAAAATCACTCTTTCAAACAAAATGGCGGTAAGACGCGTACCCTACCGGTACCGGTCAAGTTAGTGAAGTTAGCGTTTTCAATCTCTGTTCTCGTTGGATAGTTCAGATATTTTTTTTTTGTGGAGTTTATGGCCTGGTATCTAGACCTTTAGGCCAAATAGTTCCGAGTTCGGATACCGGCACCGTGAGGGTACCAGGTCTAATTCCTCCGATTTCCCCGTTATAGTGAAATTGTTTCCCCAAAATGATATATTTTTCAAAAAGCAATCAAATTGTTTTCTATTGTAATAATCTACTATATCGTCAAAACAAAAGTTTTACAAAGGGTACATAAATAACTGAAACAGCACTTTAATCACAATTTATATTAAATATTAGATACATTTTTGTAAATAAAATAATTATTTCAAACAATTTCCCTAATTAATTCTAAATTCCACAGGTTCAATTATTTTTCCCAAAATGGTGAAAAAGCCCGTAACGTAACCACGGCGTCGGAATTCGGAAAATAGTCTTCTTCTTCTTTTGTCCAACTTCTTGCGGTCATATCTCATGGAAGATCGGTTAGAATTTAGATCAAAGGACGACACTAGACAGGGGGCAGGTACGGAGCAAAAAAAAAAAACGGAGCAGCGTGACGTTAAGAATAATTCACGAATAGTGGCAAGACAACTGCGTTTTTGGGTGAAATAGGTACTAGTTTTATTGGCTCCTATTGGAGACGAAGTCGGTTTAATTCCTGATAGAAAAAAAAAATGTACGGATCAGCGTGACGTTAAGAATAATTCACGAATAGTGGCAAGACAAGTAACTGCGTTTTTGGGTGAAATAGGTACTGGTTTTATTGGCTCCTATTGCAGACGAAGTCGGTTTAATTCCTGATAGTGCACGCCCGCACTATTAAGTGAGCGTAGTTGTTGAATACCTTCTCTGGAATCGTTCCAATCAATCCTATAGAACGGGACGGGGTGAACTTGAGCGATAAATTAAGAAATATTGTCTTGCTAATTTCAAAGATCTTCAAAAACGTATTATCTGAAGAATGGAACGCGATCTCTGAACATTTTAATGAGAAGTTTATTAAAGTACCATAGAGTTAAGAAACAGTTTGTACGGGGAAACGGGGACTGGTTAGATCACACAAGCCTTTCCTAAGCTTTTATTTAATAAAAGATAAGTGCTACCTACATAAATGTTTATAATTTTTCTTCAATTGGTTTTTTTTTTAATTTGTAAGCAAGTAAAGTTGAGTACCGGTAAAATGGGGTGATTCAGGACAAATTCCAACTTGATGAAAATGCTATATCAGGATCAAAATGATTGATTGATTGATCATGGGGCTATCTTTGTTATCCAATTTAAAGTTATGCAATTAGCATTCCAGTTTAAACAAAAAAAAGCAAAAATAGGTGCTATCCCTATTTACCCACAAATTGCGGTTATTGGGGACGAAATTAGTGTTAATAGAGAAATTTGCTAGGGCTGGCACTCCTTGGTTTTAATTAATTTATTTATTTAGTTTAGTTAAAGTGATCATCAATAAAAAAAACATTGAAAAAATGACAAATGACAAAAGTACATGGCAGATGGCATGAATTATAGGTGCAATCGACAGTGTATTGACAACAAAAATAAAAATATATAACCAAAACTTGATTACATTTAATTACTTATGATTAATTTATATTTACTTGGAAAATTATTCGCGACAGATTTTTCTTGTAAGTTGTGAGACAATTAGAAAAAACATCTATTTCATTACTTAAAATTAGTTCATCGCAATCGGACAGCTCCAAATGAACATTGACGGAGACTGAGCTACCGTGGAGATTATTGTAGTCCCAAAGGATTCTGTTTAAGGGAGAGTAAGCACCTAAATTCGAACGAGCGGGTTTTCTTATAAGCGGTTTATATTTCTTTGTTCTTAGTAAGTACTTAGGGGCTGATATTTTTATCTGGGTTAAGAGATTAGGTGTGTCCGTTATTCCATGAATTAATCAGGTGGATACCCCCACTCTGAACAAATATGAATATATTTTATTATGTATTACTTACACATTTTTGTCCACCTTGAGTTTTCATCGTTCTTGTTGCATGTCTGTGCAAAACCGATTTACTTATGGTAAATTGCTTAGGTATTTCAACTAAAGACTTATTCCTAATTTCATAAGCTTCTATTACCGTTTTTAGTATTAAGGGATCATATCTCTTAAAAGGATTTGCACTCTTTGATACGCACATGCGAGGCATATCTAAAAATAGAAAACATGTAACTGATAATATAAATATTTGCCAAACAATAAAATAACACTGCATTGATAATTTTGAATAAAAGTTCTATACAAAAACATCATGAGTAAACCAGGTTCTTACCAACAAATTTAAAAAATATTGTTATAACTACATAGACAATCCTACAAACCTGTACCTATTTATACTTAGTTCGTTTCCATTTTACTTATTATCATCCCAATTGACCCCTTTTTCGTAGTTATTTGTACCTGAGACGTCCCCAATATCCCCAAAAACAACAGATTTTACATGTATTTTTATTTTATCAAAAACATTAAAACCAATAACAACTGAGACTTACCTTTAATATATATGATGGTTCAAACACTAAACAACTTTTATAAATCACAGTCGTCTTCTATTATAATCAGCAAAATAAAAGAAATCAAAGTTTCTAACACTAAAATAAAACCACCACAAGAAGTTAATTTGAAATGCGATTTTTATAAGTTAGCAGCTATTATCATGCATATTCAGAGTTGTTTTGTGAACTTTTAACGTTCTACTATTACACTACAAAAAATAGAAGATTTTGCAACGATTAAAAAACTAATATTGAGCGTCGAAAGATTTTCCTGGTTTTTTCCCCATTCGCCTCTCAATCCGTAATGGCTCCATTTTACGATATGGAAAGTAAGTTAAATTGCATTTTCGACGTTGGCAATTTCAAATTTATAATTATTGAGTAAAATCCAAATCAATAAATTAAACTGTCACAAATACTTAGTGATTTTAAATAAACACAGTTTTTTCATGAAAGTACTTAACTCGTATAGTTGGTATATCATTATTAAAATATATGTTTCAGCGATAGTCCTACAATTACAAATTAAATAAATACACAGCAGAGTTCATTAAAATTAAGTTGCATTGACAATATACCCATTTTGTAACGTTCATGATATGAAAAGAAAAAAAAACAGCAAAAAAGTTTAGGATAAAAAGAAATAATACAATCTATATTACCCGTTCTTATACTTTCGCAGTTGTGGCCGACTTTTTGAGACTGTAACGCCATCTCAATTCATGATATATAATTGAAATTCTTGTTCCAAGCATCGGAGCTCCTTTACATTTTTCCCTGTCTAATCGTTAGTAGCCAAACAGACTATTACAACTGCGCGCGGACTGGTAGAAGAGCTAACTTTTTTTCCCATACCTATGCTGATAGCGTTGAGAAGCTATATCATCTTCACCCTAACGTGTAGGTGAGCTCACGGGGCTCAAACCGGAGTGGTGCTAACACTGGCCCTAGCAAGAGCAGTGCTTCGCAGAATCTACCACCGGATCGGAAACGCGACCCATTGAGAAGATCCGGCGCGAAACTTAGTGGGCTGTGTCTATGGGTTAATTCGCTCGTTGAGCCCTACGCAAGCGACGGGGTCGACGAGGACGGTGACTAGTGCTCGTGGTACCTAAAAGCCCCGTTAATAGATTGGGAGGATCCGTAATGACGTGTTTTGGACGACGAGGACTGTTTACGATTCGGTCTATAGGATCGGGGATATAGTTTCCAGCGGCCACGACAAGAGAGTTCTCATGTCGTGCCGCCTTCTCAAAGTGGCGCAATGATACCGATTGTAGATACTTACTGACCGAGTCAAGTTCCAGGTCATGATGGAGATCCACGATCCTCAGGAACCATGGCACTCCGACGGCTATCCTGCAAAATCGGGATTGAATAACCTGAAGGGGTTTCAAGTTAGTGCGGGCCGCGTGGGCAAACACTACGCTTGCATACGTCATGAATGAGCTCACGGTGCTCAACTTAGTAGGACTTTTTGACTTGATGGACCAGAGAGCAATCGCGATCAACTGAGAAGATCTGGCGACCACAGAAACCCATTCTACTTTTGGATGGTGTCAAACTAAATCGCCAATATCTTAAGCCGTAGTTGTATTTTTTTGTGACTGGAAATGGTATAAAATTGCACCCGTCCGAGTCGGTACTGCTATCATTTATGCTACAAAGCAACAGCAATAATATTACGCGACTTAGTTTAAACGTACCACTTTAAATCAACGTAGACAGCACAGAGATGTTCTTTCAGATTATGGTTCTGATGACTACTTGACAGCAGTTAATCTCGTCATTTTAACCATGTAAGATCTATAAAATCTATAATTTACATCGATAACATTAATTCAGTTGAGTTTAGTACTTAATCCCTGTAGGTTTTTTATGTTAGAAAATCTAACCGTTTGAATAGGGCAACATTTTAAAAGCAATGTAGCGAACGGACGTCGATGAGACTTTTCTTTCCGTCATGCAATAATTTTTGTCATTCATGAAATCGTCGATAAAAATTATTTTAGATGGTGGCACATCTGTGGACGTTGTTTGAAAAATAGTATTTAATAATGTGTTAGTATTTCATTTTAAATAGTTCTTGGTCATAGTTATAATAGGTGTGTGACAAGTTTAGTTCGGTAATGGTGGCCATGTCATGAAAATCCCTACAGCCATGGATGATAACTCCGTATCTCATCACAACGGAGGGCAAGTGGGATCTCAAATTGGAGTCAGTGTAAATAATAAACAAAATGAAGAACCCAGTCAAAGTGTTCAGTATTCAATACCGGGCATTTTGCATTTTATCCAACACGAATGGGCGAGATTCGAACTGGAGAGATCACAATGGGAGGTGGACAAAGCAGAATTTGAGGTATTATTATTTATATTTTTTATTTGATAACATCTTTGTCGATTACAGTGGTTTGCTATGAATATTATACCATATTCAATAATGTGCTTTGGAAGTAGACAATTGAAGTACTTTATCCTACTAAAATTAGTATTTAACATTTTTATGTATATGCTACTTAGAGAATTACAATATTTTTAACTACTAAATATAGTACTACTAAGTATATGCTTAGAAGTGTTAAGAAATAAAACATTTATCAGTTAAAAAGCAACACCTATTTGACTGCTTTATTACAATGTTAGTTAACATCCTGTAATAAAAAATAAATTGAGAAATTATAATTTATAAGTCTAAAACCAACAAAGAAACGTATTCAAATTATCTCTTTCATAATAAATTGAATCGCATGTATAGTGAGAATATTGTCAATGTTAGTTAAACAGTAAATTATTTTTTTTTGAAAGCTAGAAAATTTATATTTGTTTTACCTAAAAATTAACATTCACATATTTGAAAGGAAAATATTCTGTGCTACATTGTTTAAATGGTATATATATTACGGCTAATTCAAAAAGTTTTTACCCAACATCTTTGTATAATATTACTTTTGAGGGGTAGTACATTGCGCCAATATGATTAGCTCTTACCGTTATGAGGTTCGGGAAATTTTAGTTTATTCCCCTACACCGTTTTGCTTATTTTTGCTGGTTCAGTTTGAGCGGGTTGTTTTAAAGTGAATGATATTGCATGTGCAGTAAAAAGTAATCATCAATTTTGTTGTTTTTATAAATGATGATGGGAATTAATGGTAATGTTAAATAGGCAGTGGTTTGTCATACAATAAAGATGCTAAACAATTAAATACTTTAAAAGTAAACTACATAATTGTAACCAGTAACATGTTTTTAATAAATTCATTTGAACAAGTTCTTAAGCAAGGCTATTATTAGATAAAACTATGTTTTATCACTCAAGTGACTAAAACTGAGTCAAACCCAGAAGCCTCCAATCTTCAAAATATCAATCTTAGAAACCTCTGTAATCTTGGAAGCTTGCAGGGATACTTGTTGGTACTGTTGCATTAAACAGGTCCATTTTAATCCAACAGTAATCAATAGTTTAGAAGCAGTAAGGACCAATGGTGATTTTGTTGCGCAGCCATAAAAAGCTAGTAAGTCCTCCATCCCTCTCGGATTCTGTGAGATAGCTACGTTGTAGAAATGGTCTATGGCCTATCTAGAAGTTTTTAAAAAGTATTGATAAGTATTTGTCTCTCACTTTCCAAGTTTTACCCAACTAGAATTGAGGTATTTTTCTTTTTGAGGAAGAACTGAGCTACAATTGAAAACTTAAATTCATAAAATAGTATATTTTAGCTGTTATGATATTTTCCCTCTAAGATTACAGATTGATTAATAAGTTTATAAAAGGTATTCCACAAGCTTTTGTTTCTATTCTATTTTAATTCATATTTTATTGTTTACAAGAGTAAATGAGTCTATACTATACTCGGTATAAATTGGTTACTATAGCCCATAAACATCAATGTAATTTGTACCACTTTAAGTCATGAATCAAAGCTGCCATTTATTGTATGACAAATATCTCACCCTTCAAACTGGAATGCATGACCACTTCACTGCAAAAATAGGTATAGTGACCTGTTCTACCACCGGTAGTTGCCGATTAGCGATTCCAGTGAACTCTTATAATAAATACTATGAGAATGCTGGTGCCCTATCTCAGGTGAATCCTCAATCGCCTTTAACGACATCCATGAGAAGATATGGGCAAAGCTATTTTAAGCTGACACCACAGTCAATTCTTGCAAAGTGCTCACTAAGCAGGCAAGTCTGCAAGTGTGCAGTTAAAATTTATTTGCAATATGGAAAAAGAGAATAGGAAAGTGGGTACTAGTGCAGGTTTTGATAGCCATGCAATAACCTTCAAACCTATTAAAGCTGTGGCAAAGGAGAATGGAATTAAGAAAATTTACTGGTGGGTTGAAAGTTAGGGATTATTGCCGAGAGAGAGATGGGTGCTAAGCCCCAGCCTTAAACTGAGTGTGAAATGTTCTCAGTCACAATTTACCAAGCGAAGTACGCGTGAATCAGTTCCAGAAACACCAGACCACGATGCGTAGTACCCTGAGATTGCAGACCCAGTGTCCTTATCGCAGGGTTCCAGGCGTGGCTCGCCTCGCTATTCGAAGTCTGCACCGAGCACCTTATTTTGGGTCTCAGAGCCATGTTCTGACCAATATAAATGATACTTCGAAGAAGACGATGCGATATCCTCGAATTGCGCTGACAGAGAACACATCAAGCTTGGTTGTCGCGAAAATGCAACGATTTGGCAATTCAATTCAGGGCGTAGAGCCAAACGGGAAATCTAACGTCATCAAGCGCATCACTCTTATCCACCCACATCAAGGGAGCCATAAGCTCGCTTATTTACTTAAAGAAGACAAAAAAAATATCAGCTTTTCTGTTTCTATTGAAAGTACATGAGCTTTACGGCTCACCTGGTCAATGGTCACTATCGCTAATGAATATCAGCAATGTCAGGAAGCATAGATTGACTCTTTTCAATCGCTAAGGGCTTTTTGAAACTACTTTTGTAGGAAGTCATATAACTGCTGAAACATCTAGGAGAAGGATCCCTGAAAACGCAGTATCAAAGAGTTTAATGCTTCTAGAAATATGGATAGTAATAATGAATAGTGCTACGACGGGTGGTGTGTAGTATTAAGGGGAACCAACTGGATTAATGGAACGTGTGCGTGTATACGTTGTCGCAATATTTAAAAAAATACTAGTAATTTTGAAACGACTTGTCTAAGCAGTCTGAGGTCTTCCGTTATAATGAACCAATAATGAGCAAGATCGTTGGAATGTGGGTTTTTTCTTTGAGAGTTTTGTCATCACCGTTCGAAACTTTTTTGATACACTGAATAAGGGAAGCTATAAGGAAAGCTATTGAAGTCGTCTCGTGGCCTAAAGGATAAGACGTCCGGTGCATTCGTTTCTAGGTACCGATGCAACGATATTCGAATCCCGCAGACAGGTAGCGCAATTTTTCTAATGAAATACGTACTTAACAAATGTTCGCGATTGACTTCCACGGTGAAGGAATAACATCGTGTAATAAAAATCAAGCCCGCACAACTATAATTTGCGTAATTACTGGTGGTAGGACGTCTTGTGAGTCCGCGCGGGTAGGTACCACCATCCTGCCTATTTCTGCCGTGAAGCAGTAATACGTTTCCGTTTGAAGGGTGTGGTAGCCGTTGTAACTATACTTGAGACCTTAGAACTTATATCTCAAGGTGGGTGGCGCATTTACGTCGGAGATGTCTATGGGCTCCAGTAACCACTTAATACCAGGTGGGCTGTGAGTTCGTCCACTCATCTAGGCAATAATAAAAAAATGAAAATTACTTTGCTTCTTCATTTTGGTTCCTATCTTTTTTAAATAATTTCTGATGTTTTAAAGGAGTAAGTAAAGGAACCGAATCTATGTGATAGCATTACGTAAAGTCCATTGAGATTTTTAAATTTCCGCGTAGTATGAGTCGAATGAGCTTGTACACCGAGCAATCGATGTATATATGTAACTAGCGACCCGCCCTCGCTTCGATTCAGAAACCGTAATTTATTATTGGTTCCTCCACTATTTAATGGATGTTATTATACACAAAAACCTTCCTCTTCAATCACTCTATCTATTAAAAAAAACCGCATCAAAATCCGTTGCGTAGTTTTAAAGATTTAAGAATACATAAGGACAGATATAGGGACAGAGAAAGCGACTTTGTTTTATACTATGTAGTGATAAAAGGTCTTCTGTTTGCGATAAAAAAAGATCTGGCCGTAATATTCCTTTTATAAAGGCGACCAAGCGACCCAGCAGTAAAGGAATTAATGTAAAGAAATCCTCTTCGAAAACAAAAAAAAAAAACATCTAGGGAAACTTACTTACACAACTGGACATTCGACATTTTATATTTTTCCCTTCCTATTCGCCGGTAGCTTAGGGGGCTATTCCAGCTACGTCCGAACGGGTAGGTGAGCTTACTTACTCAGGGCTTATTCGGAGAGAATTTGCTAACACTAGCCCTAGCAAGAGCATTGCTTCACAGAATCTAGCCACTGCGCGCGAATCGCGACCTACTGAATCCGGCGAGAAACTCTGTTGGCTCAACATTGTATGTAACTGGCTGTTCATTTGGACCCCAAATAACGGCAATCGTAGTGAATTTGCGGTCAGTCGAGTGTTTTAAATATCACCAAATTGTCGAATTTACAATGTTATATTTTTTCTGTGATGTAGTTTGGATTTAAAGCATTGAAATTTGCACCTCCATAATTTGCAAGGAAACTCGGGTTACGTTTAGCCCATATTGATGGTTCTTCTTTGGCCTGAACGACCCTGGAGCAAATAGCACACTATCTATCGCTTCCATGCCCGTACCTTTTGTTATATAAGTAATTATTTAAAGAATTTCCTTCCAAAATTATGATTATTAAAATATAATAAAACTACTGATTTATTTAATTTTTAGACACCCAGAAAAAAAAACAAGTTTGCAATAATTTAATAAATTTTGCTTATTTTAATGAAATTAATTTGGCTTAGGTTAATTTTGAAATAATGTTTAAATTGCTTTAGTTTCGGAGGAAGAAACAGTAATATGAGTCCCTACGATCAGTAAATGCCTCTTGGCGATGGTAGTACGCTGGTATAATATACAGATAACTCTGCTGCTCATTCTAAGGTTCTATTCTACGCGCACACCATACAGCCACGTATATTCCATTCGCACAGAAGTTAATCCGTGTTCTAGTCTTAGTGTAAGTATGTTCCTTAATTTTGAACAAAATAGAGTATCTTGAAAAATGACTAATTTCATTGAAACCACAATCGATGGTTACCCTGATATTGTTTTATTTACGACATAATATTCACGACTTTTTTAACTTGAGTATGTTTAACAAAGATGGACAGACTTACCCATGGCCTACCGGCCCACAATCTGCCTTCTGTTAAGTCATGTCTGTTAATCTCCCCAATCGGTACGAACGATTGCTTCGTTAGGAAGAGACATGCGGTATCGACCTGCGTGTATAAATAACATCAGTACATATATTTATAAAACTTGCGGGTTACTTTTATTGTAAAACGTTGTTCATTAATTGCAGTTACACTATAAACAAGCATTACAAAATTTGGGGTTGACGCAAAGTTTGAATCACGTCATAACCAAAAAGTACACTCGGACTACAAATATTGGCATACTTCATTGTCATTTGTTCTATTAGGTATGAAACATTGATTTGATTTATTGGGCTAGGAATCTTCCGAGGGTTACGTAGCTGTCTGACAATCCATACGACGACACAGGAATTTTACTTTGAGACTGTTTTTACTGTATACTTGAAAATCAGACAGAAATTGCCTTCCAATCTTGCAAAACCACAGTTTTCTTAGACTTAAATTTGAGATTTCGTCTACCACTGAGTTGTAGTAATAAAAAACTTAGAGGTGTCATATTTATTTTATATAGTAGTGGTAGGACTGTCGTGGGATTTAGTAAGACTCATGCCCAAGCGCTCTGCCTTGCTGGGCCGGACCGTGAGTTAGTTTGCGGAGCGCAGATTTCCATCAACCTTATAGCTCTTTATCATAATAATAATGCCCAAAGCAAGAACCCTTGTCTTCATAAGCTACTTCACCGGTACTGCCCTGATGCACGGGGAGGGTCGGCTCTAAAATAGAAAGCGGAGTCATCACTGTTTGATCATGTCCAAATACAAAACCTGGCGACCAAGTCTTCACGTACCCTATATACCGACGCATATTTTTTCTAGATTAGTGACCATATACTTAATACGGCTTCATGATTTCGGATCTCTTTGAATTTTCTGATCTACTTGCCTACCTACGTACGATCCACTACGTGGTACGGGCTGTCATACATTGATCGGTTGGTTTAATTTAAGCACACACAGGGAATACTTTTTATTTTTTATTTTTGCTATTAATTATTTTCAGCTAACGAACTATGGCTAGATTAAATAGTGGATTAAATTGTCATTATAATGAGATTAAATTGATACAAATGCAGTTATTTACATTTATTACAACCTACTCACAAATTTTGCAAACGCCACCTAGATAGATAAATTTACAAAATTCAGTATCAATCGACTTCTTAGACTGTTTTCGTAAATCGTTGCGATTAAAGGTGTAGGTAAGCATAGTATAGATAAAATCTTAAGTAGGTGGATACAAAGCTTAAGTTAAGTTAGCCTTCATTCCATTAATCAGTTAGTTGGTGAATGAAGTTCATGAATGATTTTTCCGTTACAAAATTTGTACGATATGTTCCCATTAACTTTTAAAATACTTCTTAAAATTTTCGGCGTAAAATGCAGAATATTGAGAAATCTTCGGGAAATTCTTCAGTGCACTCACTGTACCTGAGTATTTATCTTTTTTGTACTAGATTTGAAGGAACTAAACCTTACTCTAAGACGTAAACTATAAAAAATATCTTCATTGTAAAAAAGGCTTTTATTTACATTTAATCATGATTTTTTTTTAATGGATAGGCACGGATCGCCTTTCTCCAAGGTGAGAGGAAGGGTCAAGAAAATTTAAAAAATGATCTCGTGAGGCGGATTAAAATGCTTGAATATGCATTAAAGCAAGAAAGAGCAAAATTCCACAAGCTCAAGTATGGAGTGGAGTTGCAACAAGGAGACGTAAGGCCCCCGCCGGAAGAGTCAGCGACAGAGCCCGAACCAGTGGAACGCACGCAATGGAAGCAGGGAAGACAATTTATAAAACAGTACTTGCAGGTTTGTACAATTGAATATGCAATTTCGAAAAGGGCACATGTCGCATATTTTGTCAAATACGTTTTTTCATATACATGTATAGTTTTGAGGCTTACCTACACTGGTTTTATAATAATTCCAGTAATTTTCAATTGCTAATTAACAATAAAAAATATCTCAAAAGTTAATATTTTAAATTTTACACTGCTTTAGAAAATAATCAGTTTTTTTCATTTCCTGAACATTTTACATTTTCAGAGATGTGCCCTTTTCGAAATTGCATATTCAATTATTTTGTTAAATATTCAATAAAACGCTTCTTATAACATCATCATAAATTTGTAAAACGTTTATTGTCAACAAATTTGAACAATAAATTAAAAAGAATATTGTTTGACAGGAAATAGGCTACACGGATACAATTCTGGACGTGCGCTCGAATAGGGTACGCGCTCTCCTCGGTTTGAAGAACGAGGATTCAGATNAATTGCATATTCAATTATTTTGTTAAATATTCAATAAAACGCTTCTTATAACATCATCATAAATTTGTAAAACGTTTATTGTCAACAAATTTGAACAATAAATTAAAAAGAATATTGTTTGACAGGAAATAGGCTACACGGATACAATTCTGGACGTGCGCTCGAATAGGGTACGCGCTCTCCTCGGTTTGAAGAACGAGGATTCAGATAACTCGAACTACAGAAACTATGAAAAACAACAGCACGACAGATGCGATTACTCTGCGAACCATATGGTTCGCAAATATGACTATGGTAAGTTTTTGTTCATTTATTTTGCATTGTGACAGTGTTGAAAATACATAAATCAAATTGAAATATTTGTTTAAGTTTTAAATCACTCTGAATTCGGTATCGCATATGATTCGAAATTATGACTAGAGTGACTACTACCATTTAGGTGATCCTGCGTATTTCTGCCACAAAGCAATCATTTCATCCGTGCAGTTGTTGGAAGGGTGGGAAAGTTGTTGAAAGTTGTCTACGATGAAATTAAGATTGACATCATGTATCAATATTGTTGTCAGCATTAATTTAACATTTGTCTAATTACACAGGTAAAGAGCCACGTAAGACGAGCGGTTCGTCTGGAGGCGGTTACAATGATGAAGGGATGTCCGTACAGGAGACAGCTGCAGTATTCGCTAACTTCGAGTTCTTGACCAATCAAGAAATGGATATGGACGAAATTGACGATCTCGATGCCAAACAGACTCTTCACGCTTCTGGTAAACAGGGTAATAGCATTTTCTCATGGTCAGTCATTCTCTACACAAGTATGAGACAATTCAGGAATTTTCAATCTGGGTTCAGTTTATCAGCAATATAGGAAAGGCTATAAACAAGAAATTTGTTGACGCATCAGATTGAGGAGGAGTGGGACGAGGAGGAGAAATCACTATCAAATCTAAAATAAACAGTAGCCACTCACTTACCTTTTCATTGCACCGGATAGGTAGACAAGATCACAGCCTAGCTTGCGATCATTGGTTGACAGAGTTGGTAGATATCACAAATGTGAATGCTGCCACCCATAGACATGCAGTAATACTACCTAGGCTGATACATTTTCTTATCAGACTGAGAGCAGAGTAATTTTATTCAAATGTATGTCTATTTCTTTGGCATGCTTTAAAGCTTAACCCTTTGATCATCATAAGATGTTTCTTTTGATTTATCCTAGCTGTGTGAGAATAATTACGTGCCTGTGAGCGCCCACTGAGTTTCTCGCCGGATCTTCTCAGTGGGTCGCATTTCCGATCCGGTGGTAGATTCTGCGAAGCACGTCTCTTGCTAGGGTCAGTGTTAGCAACACTCCGGTTTGAGCTACGTGAGCTCACCTACAAACGTTAGGGCGATGTTGAAATAGCCTCTCAAGGCTATCAACATAGGTAGGAGAAAAAAAAAATGTGCCTGCGAAAAAAAAGAGTATTAATGTGCTATTTAAACTTCCTCAAGGGTAATAATACCTTTACCAGTATTCAAGTTGTGTTTAAAATTATAGTCTACTTATTATTTTTCGATTTTCAGTTATTATTTAGGCTTTTTATATTTAATTGTTTTTTACATCTAATAATTTATTTCTAATGTAATAATTATTGTATTCTAGGTGAAGAGGTCGATCATGAAGCAGAAGAAGTTTTGAATGAGCTTAATATGCTTACTATAAATGAAGTCGTAAGTGCTGGCCAGGGGGATGAGTATCAAGGTGGTAAGTAATGTGAAAAGTTTTAAGTTATTTTATTTTGTTGCTTTTTAACTAACATGGATGAGAAGCTCACTACAGGCCTGAATGCATTATGGTATTGTGACAAAAATAGGTATGACAGTGGCACTAACCTATGTGGGATCCAATATATCCTAAAACTCAAAAAAACAGTTAGCAGGAGGAGTAGACGTAGTTAGAGATACCAAAAATAATAATTTGAGCACACTACAACTATGGATTAGTGGTGTAGAAGGTACGATAATACCATGTCATAGGCAATTCACATGTAAGTTATGGTTTGATACCACAATGCCTTTTATTAGTCTAATGTGACAACTTATATAATTTGAGCATAACTAGGGATTTTGGATAAGGATTATAGAGGTAGGCAGCGGCTTGGCTCTGCCCCTGGCATTGCTGAGGTCCATGGGTGACGGTAACCACTCGCCATCAGGTGGGCCGTATGCTCGTCTGCCTACAAGGGCAATAAAAAAAAAGGTATTATTAGTACCTGTTTTTTAAATCAATGATTTTAGATTCATTCTATGAACTAATTGGTCTGTTTGTTATTCATTATAAGATGGAACCATCAGAATAGGATTTTTTCACTTCTTAATTATTTTGGATATCTGCGGATGGATTACCAATTTAAAAACTATTCTCAACATTTCTCATGATAAAATTTTGTACACACATGAAGAAAATGTTTCAATAAACCCAAGAATATGTGTAAAATGTTGCAATATGCTCTGTTCATAAACTTTTACAAAGTAAACATTAAATAAAATTCAAGGTGATAATTTACAAAATACTGTAAATATGTATTTAAGGCATAATATAGTCTGTAAATATAACAAAATAGAATATGGATCTTACTAAGAAGAAACGGAAGTTATTGCATTCCACAAAATGTCAGAATATAGATGTATTTTTTTTAACCCAATACAGTATTGGATAAAACTACGATTAGATAGATGTTAAACTAGATAGATATATCGAAGTCGATTAGAAGTCGTCGTGGCCTAAAGGATAAGACGTCCGGTGCATTCGTGTTGAGCGATGCACCGGTGTTCGAATCTCAGGCGGGTACCAATTTTTTTAATGAAAAACGTACTCAACAAATGTTCACGATTAACTTCGACGGTGAAGGAATAACATCATGTAATAAAGATCAAACCCGCAAAAATTATAATTTGCGTAATTACTGGTGGTAGAACCTCTTGTGAGTCCGCGCGGGTAGGTACCACCACCCTGCCTATTTCTGCCGTGAAGCAGTAATGCGTTTCGGTTTGAAGGGTGGGGCAGCCATACTTGAGACGTTAGAACTTATATCTCAAGGTGGGTGGCGCATTTACGTTGTAAATGTCTATGGGCTCCAGTAACCAGTTAACATCAGGTGGGCTGTGAGCTCATCCACCCATCAAAGCTATAAAAAAAAATGTTTAATATAATTTGGAATGATATAGGAGTAACGAGCGGCGGCAGTGCGAGTGCGAGTGCGGCGTCGAGCAGCGTCGGCAGCGGGAGCGGCGCCGGGGAGGCTGACGAGGAGACGCTCGGACTCGGAGAGCTTGCCCAGCTCACCGTCAGCAACGAGCCCGAAGCTTATGATGTTGCCGGCGCTAATAAAGAATCTTTCCGCAAGACGTGGAACGCCAAATACACGCTCCGCTCGCACTTTGATGGGGTACACCTCTGACTTTAATATGCCGTATTTTAATTTTTAACAGACCCAACCTTTTGTGCTGTCGCTGACAAAATTTTCTTTTCAGGTCCGCGCTATCGCATTCCATCCGACAGAAGCGGCGCTGGTGACAGCATCCGAGGATCACACATTGAAGTTATGGAACTTGCAACGTACCGTACCTGCGAAGAGATCGGCTGGTCTGGATGTGGAGCCACTGTACACGTTCCGCGCGCACTCAGCGCCCGTGCTCTGTCTCGCCATGGGGGCGCCGCGCTCTGAGGAATGCTTCTCCGGAGGGCTCGACGGCANATTTTTAACAGACCCAACCTTTTGTGCTGTCGCTGACAAAATTTTCTTTTCAGGTCCGCGCTATCGCATTCCATCCGACAGAAGCGGCGCTGGTGACAGCATCCGAGGATCACACATTGAAGTTATGGAACTTGCAACGTACCGTACCTGCGAAGAGATCGGCTGGTCTGGATGTGGAGCCACTGTACACGTTCCGCGCGCACTCAGCGCCCGTGCTCTGTCTCGCCATGGGGGCGCCGCGCTCTGAGGAATGCTTCTCCGGAGGGCTCGACGGCACCATTCGAGTCTGGAACCTACCTCCTCCCACCGCTGACCCGTACGATCCGTATGATCCCGCTGTCCAGGTAATCTCGTGCTTTTTACACGCTTTATATTAGCTTCACTTTTTTTTATTGCCCTTGTAGGCAGACGAGCATACGGCCCACCTGAAGGTGAGTGGTTACCGTCGCCCATGGACTTCAGCAATGCCAGGGGCAGAGTCAAGTCGCTGCCTATTGCAAACTTGTATTGTATGTTTGTAACTGACTCCTTTAGACGCGATTTTGACCCACTTTAAAGGGCCAGATTTCATTCTTTGTAGATTTATAAAGGACCGATAACAATACACTTTGATGAGATTATTCCATTATTCAATTTGCAAAATAAGATTTTTGCCAATTTATATACTTTTTATCTGTAGTTGATAAGGCAGGAATTGATGTTAAAGTACTTAATAGTTTTAAAAATACGCTTTTATAGAAAATTTAACTAAAAAATTAAAAATAATTAATAGTTAAAAAAAACTAAAAAATACGCTTTATATAAAATTCAACTAAAAAATTGAAAATAAATTTCAATAAATTTTAATTGAAAACAGTGTAAAAAAAATTTTTTTATTTTAAAAGAATCGTGGGGTGCTTTTTAAGATATTATTGAAATAATAATTCTTCTACTCATATCTGTCAGAAAAATATTTATAACTAATAACACCATGCACCTCACGCTTTTTTTTAAATAAAATAATTTTTTTGTACACTATATTCAATTTAAATTTATTAAAATTTATTGTACTTATAATATTACAGCTTTCTGTGTTTGGGTTATTGATTTTAATGAGCGATGGGTTTTTGTACAGGGTGCGGTTCTACGCGAACACACGGATGCGGTGTGGTCGCTGGCGAGTGCGTGCGGACGACTGGCGTCTGCATCGGCGGACGGCACGGTGCGGCTGTGGGCGCCGCGAGCCCCGCGCCCCCTGCTGGCGACGCTGCGTCCGGACGACGGCCCGCCCCCCGCCGCCGGGCCCGCCTTGGCGCCCTCGCCCGCGCCCGCTGCTCTCGACTTTGCCGACGCAGCCTCGCGAGCCGCAGTCGCTTACCGCGACGGATCTCTTCTGCTCTACGACCTTGAGACTGGCCAGGTTCGTAAATAATGTTATGACAGCTTCTACGAATACCTACTGTAGTTAAAAGTTATCAATGAAGCAAAAAAAGTATACTACTGTAGGATTGGTAAGAATGGAACGTATGAAAAGAGTGTGAAATGGAGCGTTAAGATGTGAGTGAGAGAAAACGGAAAGAAAGGGAGAAGAGAATGACAGACAGAATGACAGAGGATTGGAAGATGGCGAAGACGGCTGAAAAATGAGCAAGACGTAATAAAAGTGTTAATTATTAATTATTATTAGAAGAAAAGATTTTGGAACAGGGAAAGTTTTATTTTATGCGCTGCGATCCCCTATTCTACACTACTTTGATTAAACGTTTGTTTTGTCTCAAAATGCTAAGAATTTGCAAGGCTTATTTTACTATTATAAAATTGGAACTGTATAATTGTTCTTTATTTGTTAAAATTCCAGGCCGTGTTGCGGTTGGGTTGCGACAGTCCCGCGAACCGCGTTCGTTCTCATCCGACGCTGCCGATGTTGGTGACCGCGCACGAGGACCGACACATTCGGTTCTGGGACGCGGTCTCGGGGCAGTGCTCGCACGCGATGGTGGCCCACTTGGACGCCGTCACGGGACTCGCTCTCGATCCCAACGGACTGTTCCTGCTATCGGGCTCGCACGACTGCTCCGTGCGCCTCTGGAATCTCGACACGAAGACTTGCGTGCAGGAGATCACCGCGCACCGCAAGAAGTTCGACGAAAGCATCCTCGACGTCGCCTTCCACCCGTTGCGGCCGTACATCGCTAGTGCGGGCGCCGACGGTCTCGCCAAAGTATTCGTCTGAATCGCGCGCGTCGCTCTATAAATAGTATACATACGTGTTATTTTGTTTTGAATGCGAACGTTTTGTAAGCGTCGGCCGCCGCCGTGTCTAGTCCCCGGGCCGACCGGAGCAAGCGACGCGTGTGCTGTGCATGACCGCCTACGACTGCGGGACCGGTTCGCGTCGTCGTATCTAGTATTGTAATGTAATGACGCGCGCTAGACGCTCCCTTTGGGCGCGTACTGAACACTCATCTATGTATAGACATTTGAAATCTATTATAATATATTTTTAGACTTTCAGTACGTGAATTTTAGGTTTTATCGCGACTTTTTCACCAGTTTTACGATATGCAGTGAGAATATTGTTCGTTTGTATGCATCGTTAAGCGATCTTATGATAAAAATATTATATAATAATATACAGATGGACACCGATGATATTTCTATTATAAGTTTTTATGTGTCTGTACAGTTAGTATGTTACGCAGTATTTTGTATTCTATTGCAAAGAATGAATTGTCTTTCTTTAGCTTGGATATTTAATTTTAAATCAATTCAATTTCTATGAAAAATTGTTTAAAATGCTCTCATATATAAATGTGAGTGGTGAGCGTTCGAACAAAAAAGAGTAGTGTTACTATATCGAAACTATGTAAGTAATGTTTGTTCGTAATGAGTACTGCGGTTGTAGAGTATAATTGTAAAACATTACGTATTCCTTTATTTTCCTCGAATTCATACTTGTACACATACATCCCAAAATTGATAGTAAAAAGCAACATAACCGAAATCAATGTTGTTTTTTTGTGCATCTTTTAAATCCCATCAATCTACCTCCAACAGAGAAGCTAATCGCAGCAGACAGTTTTTTTTATTAACAGCGTCTATGGACATGATTAATGTGGTCCATAGTATCGCCAGGTTTTGATTTATAAGAATAGGTTTAGACATACAAATGATGCTAAATATCACTGCATTACTTAAACATATAACATCGATGAGAATTTATAACTTAAATATCTTTAATAGAGGGTAGCAGTCTATAATACATTCTGTATAAAGAGTGCCCTAGTAAACAGTGTTATTGGTAGTATTCCCTGGCGCGTATACAGAATTTTGGCATCATGCCTAATGCATGAAAGAGCTACATAAAATAATGGGCATTTATTACAAAAGCTATGATTTCAATTTTAGAAAATACTAGCTGTGCCCGCGACTCCGTCCGCGTGGAATAGTGACTTTGGGCAGGAGTTTTTGGACATATCTTTTGGGTATTTAGAAAAATCTAATTTAAAGTAATGCTTCTCTATACACGACATTAGACGTATACCCATCGGGGATCAAAACATTGCTAGGATTGCTAACACTTGACAGATACAAGGTTTTTATTATACGGCTTTAACTGCGTGATGATGATGCGGAGATTCATTTGAGATACAAGGTAGGTCCTACTCCTTTGAGGAGTATCTAAATAAGAAAACAGATCTACATAAAGCTGACCGTGTGAAAACTAGTTAACACCCACAACTTTTAGCGCTTGATCTTGGGCTTTATTTATTATCATCACGAAACATAGGCTCAATGGAAACGCGATCGGCAGTGAGTCGTGCTTCCCGTTCTTCTAGTGTCTCCAGAGACCGGGCATTTGCTGTCCGAACCCTCTCAGGGCTCAGGCGGGATTCCCTATCAGTGCAAGTCTCAGACTCACGCGATAGTGCATGAGATTCACGATCGATGGACAAACGTGCGTCACGCTGTTCCCTGTTCTCCCTAATTCGAGTGGCCATCATGCGACAACGATGTGAACTCAATCGAGATTCTCGCTGAGCCGAAGTTTCTGTAACACGAAACCTCACCTGACGTTCCTGAGATGTAGTGAGTCTTGCCTCATAATCTTCAGATTCCTGTGATCGAACTAATCTCATTCTTTTATTAGGTACATCCTATAAGTATTTACAAGCCTATAATTTATCTCACAATACATCCTGTAAGTATTTACAAACCATGTTAACCTTAAACTAATGTCATGTTCTTATCACAAGCGACTAAATTGTAAGTACTTACTTTAAGATTTTTACACAAGTTTTTTTGNTTGCCTCATAATCTTCAGATTCCTGTGATCGAACTAATCTCATTCTTTTATTAGGTACATCCTATAAGTATTTACAAGCCTATAATTTATCTCACAATACATCCTGTAAGTATTTACAAACCATGTTAACCTTAAACTAATGTCATGTTCTTATCACAAGCGACTAAATTGTAAGTACTTACTTTAAGATTTTTACACAAGTTTTTTTGAAGTCGTCATGGCCTAAAGGATAAGACGTCCGGTGCATCATTCGTATCTAGCGATGCAACGGTGTTCGAATCCCGTATGCGGGTACTAATTTTCCTAATGAAATACGTACTTGCCAAACGTTCACAATTGACTTCCACGGTGAATCGTGTACCTAATAAAAATCAAAACCCGCAAAATTGTAATTTGCGTAATGACTGGTGGTAGGATCTCTTTTGAGTCTGCACGGGTAGGTGTACCACCACTCCGCCTATTTCTGCCGTGAAGCAGTAATGCGTTTCGGTTTGAAAGGTGGGATAGCCGTTGTAACTATACTGAGACCTTAGAACTTATATTTCAAGGTGGGTGGCGCATTTACGTTGTAGATGTCTATGAGCTCTAATAACCACTTAACACCAGCTGGGCTGTGAGCTCGTCCACCCATATCAATAAAAATAAATAAAAAATAATAAAAACATGTATGCAATTCACACGTGATAGAAGTGAAACCTTCAAAAACTAAAATACAATTATCTTATGTATATGTATGTAAAATGTTGTCCTTAGTAGACCAAGTACATAATTGCAAATCATCATCTTTTATAGTATGAGCTAATGCCCTCTGGGAATTAAAATCTTAACTTCAAGTGTTATCCTAAATTAAAAATAATAACAATAGATTTCATAAACATTATTAATAAACCACCTCATAGATGGCGCTGTATTAAAAAACACTGTAATGCTTCCTATCTCATTTTCTCCCACGTTAAATCTTATAAATGTATGTGTCCATCTCTTTCTACTGTCGCTTTTTCGTTTCATCGACTTTCAAATCACAACGATGCTAAAGAAGTTTTCACTTCAATAGTATTTATATTTCTGTCTCATTCTTTGCTGGCTTCATCCTACACATTTTTGTATTTGTGTCTCTTACCTGTCGTTTTTTCCGTTGCATCCGGTTTGAAATCACAACGATTCTAAAGAAGTTTTCACTTCAACAAAATGAAGAAATAAAGAAAATCAAAAAAAGAAATGTCTAACCATACTAAATAAACACATGTATTTACAAACCATATAAACCCTAAAGTATAAACAAATAAAATATGCAAACAGTCAAGTGTTACCGAAGACAACTAATACGCTACCACCTAGGCGCCTCCGGAATACGTGCGTTCGCTCCGAATAATATAATGCCGTAGGCAGCGACGCTTTTTTTCTTTCTGCCTATGCTGTTAGCCTTAGAGGCTACCTATTTCAATTTCTCCTTGACGTTTAGGTGAGCTCACGGGGCTCAAACCGGAGTGTTGTTAACAATGGCCCTAGCAAAGGTAGTGCTTCGCAGAATCTACCACCGGATCGGAAATGCGACCCTCTGTGAAGATCCGGCGAGGACTCAGTGGGATGTGTCTATGGGTTAATTTACTCGGGTTCGGCGAGGACGGTGACCACAGAAATAAATCAAGACTTCTGTGACTGTGCCCGAGGCAGCGACGCGTAGTCGGCGCGCTTTACATACCCGCGCGACTGCGCAGGCGTAAACAATCTATAAACGCCCAGCTACGTGATTCTTTAAATTGGCATAACTTTTTTATTTATGAACCGATTGACATGAAACAAACACTAAATGTTAAGTAAAGCTTACCACAATAAATTAGTGAAAACCACATCTAAATCGAATAAGCTGTTTCTGAGATGAGTGGGCACAGACGTACAGACAAACAGACAGATTCTACTAATCATTATTTTGCGTTCTATTGTGTTCATAAAGTTCCCTATAATAGTTTTCCTGAGATGTCTTCAATGTACAGACAGCGACTAGTTACGATTTTATTAAATGGTATGTATTGATAGACAATTTAAGAAATTAATTGTATTTTTTAAATATTCACCGTAATTATTTCCCAAAAACTAATTGAAATGTTAAGGCTTTTCCTGGTGATGACATTATGTGTGGTATATAGAAAGGATGCACAGTTGCTTAAAAAAAAAATTTGTGACATGATAATCCTTTCATCTTTCTGTCATCCATTTCTTTTTACAATACCGGTAATAAACGGGGTGATTAGGGACCAATTCCAACTTGATGAACAATTTTATGGTAATTGTTAATTGTAAAATGCTATTTCAGGATCAAAATGATTGAGTCTTCGGAGTATCTTTGTTATCCAATTTAAAGCTATGCAATTAGCATTCCAGTTTAAACTGCTTAAATAACTTAAGCAAAAAAATAAAAAATAGGCGTTATCCCTATTTACCCGGAAATTGCGGTTAATGGGGACAAAATTTGTGTTAATAGAGAAATTTGTTAGGGCTGGCACTCCTTGGTTTTAATTGATTAATTTATTTAGTTGCAACAACAAAGTGATCATGAATAAAAAACATTGAAAAACTGACAAAAGTATATGGTTGATGTCACCTCAATTATAGGTGCAATCAACAGTGCATTGACAACAAAAATAAAAAATAAAATAACTAAAACTTGATTACATTTAATTGCTTATGATTAATTTATATTTACTTGGGAAATTATCCGTGACAGATTTTTCCTGTAATTTGTGAGACAATTAGAAAAAACATTTATTTCATCACTTAAAATTAGTTCAGTGCAATTGGACAACTCTGAATGAACATTGAGGGAGACCGCGCTACCCTGAATATTATTGTAGTCCCAAAGGATTCTGTTTAAGGGAAAGTAAGCAACTAAATTCGAACGAGCGGGCTTTCTTATAAACGATTTGTATTTCTTCGTTCTTGATAAGTACTTAGGGGCTGATATTTTTATCTGGGTTAAGAGATTAGGTGTGTCGGTTATTCCATGGATTAATCAAGTGGATACCCCCCCACTCTGAACAAATATTAATATATTTTACTACGTATTACTTACACATTTTTGTCCACCTTGAGATTTCATTGTTCTTGGTACATGTTTGGCAAAGCCGACTCACTTATGTTAAATTGTTTAGCTATTTCAACTAAAGACTTATTCCCATTTTCATAGGCGTCTTTTGCTATTTTTAATATTAAGGGATCATATCTCTTATAGGGCTTTGCATTCTTTGATACGTACACGCGAGGCATATCTAAAAATAGAAAACAATACGTAATTGATAATATAAATATTTGCCAAACAATAAAATAACACTACATTGATTATTTTGAATAAAAGTTCTAGACAAAATCATCATGAATAAACTAGATTCTTACCAACACATTTAAAAAATATTGTTATAACTACATAGAAAACCCTACAAACCTGTACCTATTTATACTTAGGTCGTTCCCATTTAACTTATTCTCATTCCAATTGACCCCTTTTTCGTTGTTATTTGTACATGAGGTGTCTCCATTATCCCCAAAAACAACAGATTTTTACATGTATTTTTATATTATCAAAAGACATTAAAACCAATAAGAACTGAGACTTACCTTTATTATATATGATGGTTTAAACACTAAATAATGTTTATAAATCACAGTCTTCTTCTATTATTATCAAATAAATAAAAGAGAGCAAAG